ATTTTTCCAGGGTCGTACATCTTCTTCAACCTCATCTACTGGTCGGTGTATTGCTGAGAGTCGACCAGGTCAGGACTGAGACCAGAGGGTTTAAACTGGACTTTTTTTATGCTGCAACACCAACCAGGGACTCTGCTGGACCTCAAATAGAATTACTGGCCCTCATTTATCAAGCTTGCGTACAGCAGAAAACTTGCGTTCACCTTGCGTACGACAATTTTGACGTGAGGATCGGCATTCATCAATCAGCACGTGAGCGTATGCTACAACCAAATCTCACGACAGGTCTGACATTGTGTACGCAAGTTTGAGTCAGTGTTGATCTGGGGTGCAGCAAATGTCTGTCTCAAAATAATTGATATACAAACCTCAAACCTGTCATTAAGCACAATCAGCCAGATTTCATTAAAGATTAAGACGTAAATAAAATAAAATGAATTTGTTATGTCCTTGGTAAATAGGCCTATTTGATAACCCTGCCCAGAAACACTGGCACAGAGCAGGAGCGCTGTTTCAACATTATGCACACATGCACACACGCCACTGTGGAGTGTTGCGTTTGACTCCTAAAATGCAGGTAGCTCTGTCTTGGCCCAGCAGCGGGGACGTTGTTGTACACTCCTGAAAGGGTGTGTGACATCACTTGGGCCAGTTCAGTTTTGCACAATGTTGCACTGGCGAATGGAGTGCCGTTGGCTGTGCCAGTGCAACGTGAGTACCCAATGCCCAGAGAACAATAACTAGTAGAGACTCCACAAAGGTGCTGTACAGAGGGGACAGGACCTTATCAATGGATTCTGACATGTAAAGTATAAGTTTAGAAAGTGCTCTTGCTATTTATACAGTGATAAAAATAAAATAGAAATCCATAAAAATGTGCCTCAGGGGCAGCAACACACCATTTGGTGAGGTTAATAATTATTTTTGTTCAGCCTCTGTCAGACTCTCCAGTCTGCTCTACATTACAAAGACGCAACAAATTAAAACTAAATACTTTTAATAATAGGAGCAATATACCCTATGTCATGACAATAAACAAATATGAGGCATGTATGAGATATTAATTTATCATCATGAGCAATTTATTGACGAATGATTTATTCTGTCCACACTGTCCACTATTCTGCGGCAGCACTATTCGCCGCCACCATAATCCTGCTCCAGACAGGAGTTTTCTGAACTGCTTTTATACCAGTTTTGATGCTTACAAAGAGAAAATCCTTGTTAGTTTCCACCACAGACGCGAGGATATCCACTTTCAGCTCGGAAAGTTTCGCATGTTTGTCATATTTCTCCTCTTTCATGTTTGACCTCAGTGGGCGAGGCTTCTGAACCACGAATACATAAGACCGTAAACATGTTAATGGCGATCAATTTCAGCCGCCTAATTTATCAAGACCCAATAATACGTACGCTGGGATTGGTCAGATACGAACCCTTTCATAAATCTCACGATGAATCCTGCGCTCAGATCTGCGCAAGATTGATAAATGAGGGCCACTGTGTCTAAGAATGTGGAGAGGTTTAACGCCTCAGACTAAAACAGACTCAAAAACTCCAACAGAGGTTTAGCTTTTTTAAGAAGAGCTTTTAGTTTCTCCTCATTCAGCACTTTGAATGTTCCTCATTTACATAAAAAACACAAACCAGCCAGATCACATTATTCTGACATGAAGAGGGTGCTCAAATCCTCTCATTCTGTTTCAGCTTCAACTGCCCACAGAAAGATCTTTCAACTCAACATCAGAGAAAAGAAGTCTTTATTTCAGCTGAATTATCCACAAAAGAGACTTAGCTTGGACTCATACAGGGAGCTGTGTGTTAAGACTGGGAGCTGTGTGTTAGTAGTCTCTTTGTTTATCAGGAAAGGTGGCACTTCAGTCTAAGTGTCAGCGTTGATCAGATGAGGTTCTTTTGTTTGATATGTTTATTCTCAGTGTTTTAAACTTTGGGTTTGTTTTAAACTTTAAGCTTGTTTCACACTCCAAGTTTGTTTTAAACTTTGGTGGTATAACTTAGAGAGGTTCTGCTGTGACTGACTCTGTGTTCAGACCTAAACTTTGTTACTTTTCTCGCTGCATGAATAAAAGAGTTTGCTCATGCACTTTATATTCTTTATGTATTATCAACACAACATAACATGCAGATCTTCCCCATCACACTCAGTTCAAGGATGCTGATCTGGATGCATGACTAAACGGTCACAGCCCAACTCCTGGAGCTGGCCCAGGTGGCTGACTATTGTGCAGGTAAATGCAGTGTTTTTGAACCAGTATTTGGTTGTGACCCTAACTTTCTGAAGGAGAATACAATACAAATATTTGAAACCAAAGCTAGCTGTGGTCCATCCGACATTACGTGGACAGTTTTCATGAAATCACCCTCTCACAGGTTTGATTTCAGGAAAAGTGAACTGATGCTGGTGCTGATGCTCGTCACTGTGCATGCAGATTGAAGCTCATGTGACTCTTTGCAGAGAGATTAAGTTCCAGTCATGTTTTTCAGAAAGTTATGTTTTGGTCTGATATCAGGATGATCTTTCACAGCAGCTCTCTGCACCCAGAGGCTTCCTGCTAAATGCAGAAGATTTCTGAGTAGTCCAGCATAATTGCATATTACAAGTGGTTTCTAGTGGTCCTCGATCCTATTCTGTCCTGTTTCCTCTTTGTATGGTTCAGTTTTAACCTTAATTTGTGGGTGAAGTGATGAACTGTGTTCACAGTTAATGGATTTTGAAGTAATTTTGAGCCCCTGCAATGAGATCCACTACAAAGTCCTGTCTCCTTTTAATGCAGTACTGCCTGAGGGCCTGAAGATCAGGACCATCTAGTATTGGTTTCAGTCCTGGTACTCTTAAGAACAGAGATTTCCCCAGATTCTCTAGATCTTTTAATGATATAATGTTCTGTAGATTATGAAATCTACTCATTCTTTCACATTTGGCACTCAGGAACATAAATCAGAAACTGTGAACTATTAGCCCATGCAGTCTCTCTCAGAGTGGTGAACCTCTTCCCATCTTTCCTCCTGACAGGTCTTTTTCCTGTGTGGTTTTGTTCCTTTAACTAAAATTTAAAGTTATCAAAGATTTTCCTTTAGATAAAAACATTTTCTAATTTTAAAAGTTAACGTTTTCTTGAAATGATTTCAAAACCTCCAAACTCTGATAAACAGTCTCCGGACTCTTTAGGAACCAAAGTTGTATTTGGTGAAATCAGATGCAGTAAATCTAAAAACAGTTTCAAAAGGGGCCAAACTTGAAAAGAAGAGTTTTTTTTTAATGAATCAGTGATTAAAAACTAAAAGGGGGTTTGAAACAGAACAGAAATGACAGTGGAGGATTTGGTTAAAGAGGAAAACAAAACAGCATTTTAGATGAAGCTGGTAAACGATTCCCTCCTGGGATGTTGAAATTGGACAAAAAGCTGCTACTTTTTTTATTCTGTTGAAACCTGCAGACAGACTGAATCATTCTGGGTTCTCTTTAGACATGATAAACAAATAATAATAACCTCTCTGGAGGACACCAGCTCTCAGGGTTTCCACAGCTCTGCAGTGTTTCCTGGGTTAGTTTCTATAAACAGAGGTTAACTGCTGTGTCCCACTGTAATGAGGAAAAAACACAATGGAGCTGTGGTCTTCTGATGAAAGCCTGAAGCATGGCCCTCTTACTTTGGATTCATTGGACGAGTCCTCCTGAGGCAGGGATAAGTTAGTGTTCAAAGAGCAGCAGGATGTGGTTTCATTTGAAGTTGGACTTGCTGCCGAGCTGTTTATTTATGATTCTCTCCAGCAAAGCCCTGCCACTGAGATGAAGAGCATGAACAATGTAAAACAGAGTAAATCAGTTTTAAAGAGGAGAGAGCAGCTGAGTTTGAAGAAAAACTCTGATGCTTCAAAACCATCATCTATTTTCGACCAATGCTGCTCGGTAAACTGAGGCCTCACTCACCTCATGATGGTTATTAGTTATACCTCAGGGCACTATGCTAAAGACTGATATAAAATATTAATTTAACATCCTGATATTTTCATCATTTTACATCAATTCTGTATCAATTAAATTCATTAATTAATTAATTAAAAAGCATCATTTATAACCTGGAGTCATAAATCTGTAGTCATGTTTCATGTTGAGACTATATCTAATAAAAATATTTGGAGTGAGCTCTGCAGCAAACATGATAGTGGTGGGATAAATGTACTGTAAAAATGTAAAGTACAGTGGATATAAAAAGTCTTGTGTGCATATTTATGCAACCAGGTTATTTTAACTTTTCTAGCTTTTATTTTTACCCTTAAAAGTTTCACTTTGTTTTCAATTGCATTGTACAGGTTATAGGTCACATTAAAGGTGGAAGAAGAAAAATATTTATCTTGCTGTCATTTTCTTACATCACTAAAACCTGGCAGTTGAACAGGGGTGTGTAGACTTTTTATATCCACTGTATTTATAAGCTTTTTCTATGTGTGACTGTGGCCTTTTATAAAGCCAACCAACACTCATTTATAGTCTGAGGGGGGCTGTGATTCGGAGGTCTGATAGTACTTAACTGTTAACAGTCAATAAGAACTAAACTTTGGCAAGTCTGCTCTTTTATTACATTGTCCTTCTTACAGGCTTTTTAATGAACATGATTGATAAACGGACGGATGTATGTTTGATGGTTTAATGTCTCTGTTGATCTGCTGACAGACTGAAGCTGAAATAAAAATGAGCTTTGCTCTAACCCTTTCCTCAGTTGAGTTTTTCTGGATTTAAGCCTCAAAACATGGAAAGTCATTCAGTCTATGTACACCTTATCATAGAGACTACAGTCTTTGCTGCAGCAGTTGCTGTTTTACTTCTCAGCACTATGTTGCACCATGAACAAACTGGGGACAAGGCTGCAAACCCGCAGAGGACAGTTTAAAGGTTTACTTTAAAAAAAACAGCAGAACTGGAACTAAAACCATGTATACACATACATTTATCCTGATCGCTTCAATATGATTTTGGTGTTTCGACAGAAAATAGTTTGGACATACTTACAATGAACACATCGTTAGAGACAAGTGTGTCTACACCTGTGAAAAAAAACTGCATGTACAGTGTAATGTACAGTGTAATTTGCGGCCAGGAGGAGCATGGAGAGAGGAAATTTTCAGATAACTTCATGCAACTTCTCTCACTCTGGCCGATGATATCACCCACTCTGGCACAAAGATTCCACGTAATACATATGTATTATAATCTCATAATTTCTCCTAAAATGATCATGGTCAATGAACAGTGAGTGATCATGAACTACAATAGCTACTGAAACATGGATTCATACACCAATAGACAAGACTTGTGTCTACATTTTAAAACTCAAATGAATAACTGTAAAAAAAAATTGGAGGACCTTCTACAAAAGACTTGAACAACTTAAAGTTTACATTTTCGAAAGACTCTTCCTCTCTTATCGGTAAGATTAATACAATTAAGATAAGAATAAAAACAAGAATAAGAAGAACTTTATTAATCCCCGAAGGGAAATTCAATTGTCTGTGGTCTCACATAATAAGTCTCCAAAATGTATCTACTATTTACACAAGAGTTATTAAGTCTGATAACCCCTTTCTGTAGATGAAGTCTATAGTCTTAGACCAGTCCAACTAATTATCCAGATGTACACCTAGGTATTTATATGATGTCACCACTTCGATGTCCACTCCACAGGTGTTCACTGGTTGAAGCGGGGGTTGGATCTACAGATCTATGACCATCTCCTTTGTCTTTGAGGTGTTGAGGAAGAAGCCGTTTTTGTGACTTCAGTCACTGAAGGCTCTTATCAGATCTCTGTATTCAGCTTCTTGTCCATTTCTGATACATACCACAACAGTGGTGTCATCTGAGTATTTCTGGATGTAGCAGGACTCAGTGCTGTGTTTGAAGTCTGACGTATACAGTGTGAACAGGAATGGCGCAAGCACTGTACCTTGTAGAGCCCCTGTACTGCTCATTAATGTCCCAGAAACACAGTTCCCCAGCCTGACAAACTGTGGCCTTCCTGTCAGGTAATCTGTGATCCAGGAAACTCAGGCAGGATCCACTCCCATCTCTGTGAGCTTGTCTTTGAGTATAGTAGGTTGGATGGTGTTGAATGCACTTGAAAAGTTGAAGAACGTGATCCTCACATAGACCCCAGGTTCCTCCAGGTGAGACTGGGCACGGTGAAGCATATAGAGGACAGCACCATCCACTCCAATGTGTTCTTTGTATGCAAACTGCAGGGAATCCAGTTTGTCTTTGACCTCAGACCTCAGAGGGCGTAGAATCAGCCGCCCCAGGGTTTTCATAATGTGTGAAGTGAGGGCCACTGGTCTGTAGTCATTGAGTTCAGCAGGACTTTTTTTTTTTGGTACTGGCACAGTGCAGGATGTTTTCCACAGAGTAGGTACCCACCCCAGCTGTTGACTCAGGTTGAAGATCTTGTGGAGAGGTTGACACAGTTCTGCAGCACAGTCTCTAAGCAGCCTTGGACACACACCATCTGGACCATTTGCCTTCCCAGGACAAAGTCTTCCAAGCTCCATCCTCACCCCTGTTTCGGTGACAGACAAGGACTGGTGTTCTAGGAAGGAGGCAATTGAAGTGGTTGAGACATTTGAACAAGATGGAGGAGGAACGGAAGAAGTTGTAGTGGAGATTTGTTGCGGAGAGGAAGGTGGAATAGCAGTGGGAGTGGGTGTGACAGCAGTGTCAAATCTGTTGAAGAACAGGTTTAGTTCATCAGCTCTTTTCACATCACCCACCACTGGCTGTCTTTTTGTTTTACTGCTGGGTCCAGAGATGATACTGATTCCTCTCCACACTTCACGGAAGTTGCTTGTAGCGGTTTGAATTTATAATGAATGTCTGAAGATTAATATTTGATAATTATCTTCATTTATAACATTTATGCACTCGTTGAAAGGGGCACCACCCACGTCTAATGGTGGGAAAATAAAGAAAAACAAAAGTTTAATTCAGCAATTAAACATTAAGTCAATCTTAAATTAATCAATCTCATATCTCAAGCCGAAATTCTCATTTCAGGGACTCCACTTCTGGAAGAACACTAACAGACAAGAACTTAGAAAAATAATGATCTGTTTATTACAGGATAAATGATGGTACAACATACATACAATAAAAGATGATAAGATAATGAGGATAAATAACAATAGGCGATCAATAAAAGATTCTGAGTCAGGCTAGGAGCACTGAAATTAATGATAGTGAGTGAATATGCTCTAACATATTAACCTATACTAACTTTGGTGTAAAGATAAATTTGGATGTGGATCTGGATGAATCTAGGATTATGAAAATAAGTGAATATCTAAGTCATGACCACATGTGGGATGAGACAGCATCAGCCCTGTTTGGAGGTTTGCATACTGGCGATTCAAATCAAATCAAATCAAATCAAATTTATATAGCGCCAGTTCACAACAGTCGTCATCTCAAGATGTTTTTCAAAGAACAAGAGCAGGTCTAGATCACGCTCATTGTTTGATGATCAAGAACTAACCTAAGATGGGTTTTGGCCCATCTCAACTAACATGAGTAGCAGTGGCAAGGAAAAACTTCCTTTTAACAGACAGAAACCTTGGGCAGGACCAGCCTCATGTTAGACAGCCACCACGCCCCTGCTGGGTTGGGGAGGAATGTAGAGAGATGGAGGGAGAGAGAGGAGAGAGAGAGAGAGAGAGAGAGAGAGAAGACGGGAGAGGGCAGGGGGAGAGAGAGAACAAGATAAGGGGAAGGAGAGAGAGAATGAGTAAGGAGAGGGAGGGGGAGGGAGAGAGAGTAGAGAACGAGGGTGAGAGAGAGAGAAAGGACAGCAGAAACAACAGCAACGACAACAACAGCTCATGTACTGGTGAAACAGAATGAGTTCAGTTTACAGGGTTAGGATATGAGTGATTATGGACAATGTTAAATTAATTAAATGTGATTACAGTCAGCAGGCCTAATCGTAGTCAGCTCTAGTTTTATGTTCTTAATGTCAGTGAGGCTGATGTTCATGTCTGCAGTAACAGTCCAGAGGAATCCAAGAGAAGAAGGAGCTCAGGGCCTGAGGTGGACAATAATAGATGATGCGGCTAACAGTCCAGAGGAATCCAAGAGAAGAAGGAGCTCAGGGCCTGAGGCGGACAATAATAGACGATGCGGCTACATCATCACCAAAAACAAAAATATTGCACGCGCCCTATATACCACAGTCGACAGGCTAACAAACCCTCCAGTATCAGTAGCCTCTGAATTTCTGTCCGCCAAGGCTTGTAATGAATTTTCCTCCTTCTTCTGGAGGACATCATACTAAATCTGAACTCCTCCACCTGCTGCCTTGATATTCTGCCAACAGGTTTCTTTAAAACAGTTTCTAATTGCATGGCCTCAAATCTTCTACAGATTGTCAACATGTCTCTTCTGTCAGGTGTCTTTCCACAGGCCCTGAAACTGCTGTCATAAAGCCTCTCCTAAAAAAAAGCAACCTAGACAACTCAGTAATGAACAATTATAGGCCTATATCGAACCTCCCGTTTTTAAGCAAAATCATTGAAAAAGCAGCCTTCTAACAGCTTCACAACTTCTCAGTCCTAAACAACTGTTTTGACGTTTTCCAGTCAGGGTTTCGACCGCACCACAGCACTGAGACTGCTCTTATCAAAGTCTTTAACGACATCCACTTAAACTCAGACAATGGCAAAATTTCAGTCCTAGTATTGCTCGATCTCAGTGCCGCTTTCGACACGGTTGACCACAGCATCCTACTCGACTGGAAAACTGGGTGGGACTTTCTGGAACAGTACTTAACTGGTTTGCCTCCTACTTAAAGGATAGAGACTACTTTGTGTCTCTAGGTAATTACACATCAGAGCAAACAAAAATGACATGTGGGGTTCCCCAAGGCTCCATTCTGGGGCCACTCCTATTCAACATTTATATGCTCCCTCTAACTCAAATCATAGCAAACAACAAAATATCTTACCATAATTATGCAGAGGACACACAGATTTACATAACCATATCACCAGGCGACTACAATCCAATACAAACACTGAGTCAGTGTATTGAACAAATCAATGATTGGATGTGTCAGAATTTTCTTCAACTAAACAAAGCTAAAGCTAAAGTAATTGTATTTGGAGCAGAAGAAGAGCGATTAAAAGTCTGCGCTCAGCTTCAATCGATAATGTTAAAAAGCACAAACCAAGCCAGAAACCTTGGTGTTGTCATGGATTCAGACCTGAATCTTAACAGCCACATAAAGACAATTACAAAATCAGCCTACTATCACCTGAAGAATATATCAAGGGTTAAAGGACTGATGACCCAGCAGGATTTGGAAAAGCTTGTCCATGCATTTATCTTAAGTAGACTCGACTACTGTAACAGTGTCTTCACAGGTCTCCCCAAAAAATCCATCAGACAGCTCCAACTGATTCAGAATGCTGCTGCTCGAGTCCTCACTAAGACCAAGAAAGTAGATCATATCACCCCAGTTCTCAGATCTTTACACTGGCTTCCCATCTGTCAAAGAACTGATTTTAAGATACTAATGCTGGTTTATAAAGCAGTGAATGGTTCAGGACCAAAATACATTTCTGATCTGCTGGTACGTTACGAACCATCCAGACCGCTCAGATCATCAGGAGCAGGTCTGCTCTCTGTCCCCAGAGTCAGAACTAAACGTGGAGAAGCAGCTTTTAGTTTTTATGCTCCTCATATCTGGAACAAACTCCCTGAAAACTGTAGGTCTGCTGAAACTCTCATCTCTTTTAAATCACAGCTGAAAACGCATATGTTTGCTGTGGCCTATTATTGAATCAAACCTGAGGCCTCTAATCAACATCCCCATCATCTGCCTGTCTTGATCTTTTTTTCTCTCTTTCCAATCTAACCTTTGTTTTCTTTTATCTCCAACCTTATTTTAGCTTTGAATGTAACTTTTAATTTGTTAAATGTCTTTTACGCTGTTTTTACTTTTCAAATTGTGTTGAATGTTTTGCCTGCTTGTTTCATGTAAAGCACCTTGAATTGCCCTGCTGCTGAAATGTGCTATACAAATAAACTTGACTTGAGTTGACTTGACTAGCGTCAGGCAGGTCTGCAGCAGCCATCAGTCCAGAGCAACCAAGGGACAGGGGTTGTCTGCAGCAACGGTCCAGAGGAGCCTAAGAGATGGAGGAGCTCAGGGCCCAAGGTGGACAATCAGGGATGATGCAGCTGGGGTCAGGCAGTTCCGCAGCAGACCGTCTGCAGCATTAGTCCAGTGGGAGCTAAGAGACTCAGAGACACTCAGAGAGACAGAAATCTGGTAAGTGACTTATATGGGACATAAAGATCTAAAGGAGAGATAGAGACAGACTCTAGCTCAGTGTGCCAGATAACCCCGGCAGTCTAGACCTATAGCAGCATAACTAAGAGCTGGTTCAAATCAGCCCCAACTATAAGCTTTATCAAAGAGGAACGTTAAAAGTCTATTTTTAACATCCAGAAACGCCGCCGGCTTCTCTGGGCCCAAGCTCATCTAAGATGGACTGATGCAAAGTCTACTCTTGAAAGTTGAGAGGGTGTCTGCCCCCCGAACCTCGAGCGTTAAATGATTCCAGAGGAGACGTGCCTGGTAGCTGAAAGCTCTTCCTCCAATACTACTTTTAGAGACAGTTGGTACAACGAGCAGGCCTGCAGACTGTGTGCGTAACGGTCTAGATGGAAAGTACGGTATAACAAGCTCGTCGAGATATGATGGAGCCTGGCCGTTAAGCGTATTATATGTAACAGGGAGGATTTTAAACTCAATTCTAGATTTAGGCCCAGCAGGATTTGGAAAAGCTTGTCCATGCATTTATCTTTAGCAGACTCGACTACTGTAACAGTGTCTTCACAGGTCTCCCCAAAAATTTATCAGACAGCTCCAACTGATTCAGAATGCTGCTGCTCGAGTCCTCACTAAGACCAAGAAAGTAGATCATATCACCCCAGTTCTCAGATCTTTACACTGGCTTCCCATCTGTCAAAGAACTGATTTTAAGATACTATTGCTGGTTTATAAAGCAGTGAATGGTTCAGGACCAAAATACATTTCTGATCTGCTGGTACGTTACGAACCATCCAGACCCGTCAGATCATCAGGAGCAGGTCTGCATCCAGAAACGCCGCCGGCTTCTCTGGGCCCAAGCTCATCTAAGATGGACTGATGCAAAGTCTACTCTTGAAAGTTGAGAGGGTGTCTGCCCCCCGAACCTCGAGCGTTAAATGATTCCAGAAGAGACGTGAAAGCTCTTCCTCCAATACTACTTTTAGAGACATTTGGTACAACGAGCAGGCCTGCAGACTGTGTGCGTAACGGTCTAGATGGAAAGTACGGTATAACAAGCTCGTCGAGATATGATGGAGCCTGGCCGTTAAGCGTGTTATATGTAACAGGGAGGATTTTAAACTCAATTCTAGATTTAATCGGTACCAATGAAGAGAGGCTAAGACAGGGGAGATGTGCTTCCCTTCTTCCGAGCTACTGCATTTTGGACCAGCTGAAGAGTCCTTAAAGACTTACTGGAGCAGCCTGATAAGAGAGAATTACAGTAGTCCAGCCGAGAGGTAACAAAGGCATGGACTAGTTTTTCCGCATCACTCTGAGACAGGATGGGTCTAATTTTTGAGATATTGCGCAGGCGGAAAAAGCTATCCTAGAGATTTGTTGAATGTGGGAGCTAAAGGACAAATCCTGATCAAATAAAACTCCCAGATTTCGCACAGTGGGGCTGGATGCCAGACTGATGCCATCTAGAGTAGCAAAAGTATTTGCCTCTCTAGGGTGTTTAGGACCGAGGACAAGAACTTCAGTTTTGTCTGAGTTGAGCATCAGATAGTTATTGGTCATCCAGGATTTTATATCTTTGAGACAAGCTTCTAATTTGGTAACCTGGTTTGCTTCTTCTGGCTTCATGGATAAGTATAACTGGGTGTCATCTGCATAGATGAAGTGGAAATTAATCGAGTACTTTCTCATAATTTTACCCAGAGGAAGCATGTACAAGGTAAAGAGGATTGGTCCAAGCACTGACACTTGTGTGACTCTGTAGCAGACCTTGGTGTGCGCAGAGGATTCATTATCAACATGGACAAACTGGGATCGATCTGTTAGATAAAATTTAAACCAGGAAAGAATGGATCCTGCTATGCCGATAGACTGTTCCAGTCTCTGAAGCAGGATGCGGTGGTCGATCGTGTCAAACGCAGCACTAAGATCCAACAGGACAGAGAGAAGACCACTGTCCGAAGCCATGAGTAAGTCATTTGTCACCTTCAGCAGAGTGGTGTGCTGTGATGGGTTCTAAATCCAGACTGGAAGTCCTCCAACAAACTGTTATGAAGAAAATCACAAAGTTGCTTCACAACAACTTTCTCCAGGACTTTAGAAATAAAAGGAAGGTTGGATATTGGTCTATAGTTAGCTAGGGTGCTTGAGTCAAGAGTAGGTTTTTTAAGGGGACGCTTAATCAATGCAGTCTTAAAAGACCGGGGAACATATCCTAATAATATAGACGTGTTGATGAAGTTAAGCTAGGACGTACTGATCAAAGGAAGAGTTTCCTTCAGCAGTTTAGATGGAATTGGGTCCAAAAGACTAGATGGTTTGGCTGCCAGCACCACTGACTTTAACTCAGGAAGGTCAATAGGTGCAAAGTTACTAAGGTGCACCAGAGGCCTTTCAGGGTTATCTAAGAGAGAGACACCTGATGAAGGCAAGAGGTTACTAATTTTACCTCTTATTTTTAAGATTTTTTCATTGAATAAGCTCAAGAAGTCGTCGCTGCTGAGGGCTAATGGGATACATGGTTCAGCAGTGTTCTGACAGTCCTTCAGTCTGGCCACAGTGCTGAAGAGATATCTGGGGTTATTCTTATTTTCTTCAATAAGAGACGAGTAGTAATTTGTCCGAGCATGCCATAAGACCTTCTTATATTTATCAAGACATTCCTGCCAGAGAAAACGAGCTTCAGCTGTTTTGGAAGAGCGCCAAATCCTTTCTCGTCTTCTTAATAACTGTTTCAGCTCATGGGTTTCAGCATTATACCACAGAGCCAGCCTCTCGCGTGTCAGAGTTTTCTGTCGAAGGGGAGCAACTGAGTCAAGAATGGATCGCAGTGTGCCTGAGGTATCATCGATGAACTGATCAAGTTGCAAGGGACTGATGTTCAAGTATGAGCTATCAGCGAAGTTCTTCTCAAGCACAGAATTAAGAGCAGATGGAATTGCCTCCTTGAACTAAGTCAAAGCATTTTCAGACAACCTTTAAGTTAGCACGGCTTTGTTATGAGGAGAATAGCCTGAAAGCACAAATTCAAAAGTTACGAGAAAGTGATCCAATTAAAGAGGATTTAATGAGCTGACCGACAAGGCTTCAGCTTCAAGGCCATAAGCCAGGACAAGGTCGAGGGTGTGGTTAAAGCAGTGCGTAGGTCCATGTACACACTGTGTAAACCCAATTGAGTCTAGCAAGGACAAGAAAGAAATGCTTAGGCTATCATTTTACACATCCACATGAATATTAAAGTCACCAATGAAAATGACTGTGTCTTCAAGAAGGACTAGATCAGATAGAAACGCCCTTTATCGCCCTCCGAGCCCATACTCTGAGAATTCTGACAAAAACTCAGAGTATGGGCTCGGAGGGCGATAAACTATAGCAAATACCAGTGGTCTCATGGTCTTTGAGGCTGGATGCGGAAGACTGAGAACAAGACTTTCAAAAGAGTTATAATCCAGTTTTAGTCTTGGGTTAATTCCAAGACTGGAATTGTAAATAGCTCCACCACCTCGGCCAGAGTCCCAAGGAATGTGAAAGCTTAGGTGGCTAGGAGGAGTGGATTCATTCAAGCTGACATATTCATCCTGACGCAGCCAAGTTTCAGCTAGGGAGAGTAAATCAATGCAATGATCAGAGATTAGTTCATTTATTAACACAGACTTGGAACTTAGAGACCTTATGTTCAGTAGACCACATTTTATCTTACTACTACTCAGTTCAGCTACGTTAGCAGTTTTAATTCTAGTAAGGTGGTTCGGACTAATAAAATCGTCCAGATTTCTGGATAAACGGGCCACTCCATCTCGAGTGGGATGAATGCCGTCCCGACTAATCAGACCAGGCTTGCCCCAAAATGACTTCCAATTATCAATGAAGCCAACGCCGTTTTGCGGACACCACCTCGACAGCCAGCGGTTGAATGATGAGATTCGGCTACACATCTCATCAAGTTTCTGATCGGGCAGGGGACGAGAGAAAACTACAGAGTACGACATGGTTTTGGCATATTCACACACCGATTCCACGTTCAATTTCGTGACTTCCGACTGGTGGCGTCGGGAGTCATTAACGCCCACATGTTTTACAATCTTACGGAATTTACGTTTAGCCTTTGCCAGCAGTTTTAAACTACCTTCGATGTCACCTGCTCTGGCCCCCGGAAGACACTGAACTATGGCCGCTGACCTCACTAGTTTCACATTTTGGACTACAGAGTCTCCAATCACAGGAGCGTTGGACTCAGCAGGTGTGTTGCTGAGAGAGGCAAATTTGTTTGAAATGTGAATATGGTGGTCAAATGTGGGCTTCTTAGGCCTGCTGCTATGCTTCCCTTTCACAGTGACCCAACCACTACTACATCCCGGCTGCTTGGGATCTGCCTGGAGGGAAGCTAAGCTTGGCCCAACCGCACCAGCTACCGTGTCCTGGCTGGCTACTGCTACTCTAGCATCGGTGCAGAGCCGCTTTTCTAACTCTGTAATCCTCGCCTCCAGAGCTAAGAATAAACTACACTTAAAGCAGGTATTGTTATCGTCTAAGGAGGACAAGGAGTAACTATACATCTGACACACTGAGCAGAAGCGAGCAGGAGACCGGGGGGAAGCCATTGTTAGAAAGTGAAGCTAAGAGAAGCTAAGCTAAGAGAAGCTAAGAGCTAATAAAGTAAACTACCAGCGGTTCAGATCAGATGACAACCGAAAATCAGCCAAAAGATGGGCCAGAAGTTGCAGCACTTGGGCCCAAAGCAAAAGCAAGTGCCGTATGGATCCTCTTCGATGCTCCATCTGCAGGGGTCTCCATCTGCAGCAGAGACCTTGGATCTCTGATTATTTGATCTAACTTGTACTTTTGGCTGGTAAAAGAGTCCCCTTTTACCATACTGATACTCACTCACTATGATTAATATCACTGAATGCTTGGTTTCATGATAAATAATTTGATACTAAACACGTGTAATTGAAATATAGGATCACATCAAACATTCTCATTATGTTTTAAGTATCACACCGAACATGCTAAATTACTCTGAAATGAAAGAGATAGTAACACATAGAAACTGTGAACAACAAAAGAGTAAACACGTGAATAAACTTCATCATGATTAATAATGGATTCTAAATACTCACATTCAGATTATTCAGTGACATTATAACCACCTAATGGTTAAAAATACTAAATGAATGATTAAAATATAAACCAAACATTTCTAAACTATTTCTGTTACTTAGAGTAAAGTTATGATTCATACTCAATAAATTTAACTCTTAAAAGTTCATGAAACGGTCTGAAAAGTTGTTGGTCTAAAGAAACTAAAGAATAAAGGATTTATTCTGTCGTATTGATAACTTGACTTGTGGAGCACATAGAAAAACGGGAAACATCTCATTTTAACACAAATTTCATGATTAGACAGATTAGTACATTGCTAAATGAATAAGATGTCATTATCAGTCATTTGTATTCTTACTCCAAAGGAATGCAGTTCTTATCAGAGTATGGTTGAGCAGGGTTTTACAACGGAGGCCTGGAGGTTAGTGTCCAGCTCTTCAAACCTTTTCTTGGGGTTGGTGTGTTCACACATTTTAAGACAGTAAATCTCAAATGGGAGACCTAGATTGAGGGATGAATGATTATTTAGATGGTCAGCAATGGAGTCAGTTTGAAAGGTAATGTTTCTGTTCTCCAAATTAATCAATTGTGAAGAGTCATAGGTTTGGTCAACCTGCGGTCGGGTCAGTTAGGTAACCTAAAAGTGCAAACAAGTCTGGAAAGATTTATATCCTGTGTCCTGGGACCAGATAAAGAAACTTTTCTGCGAGGAGTGTGTGAGTTTCACATACAGGGTTGTCTTGATTGCTACATGTGTGTATTCTGTACTTTATGTTGTTTTGTGGTGCATTGTATTATTTGTACTGTACAGTATATATGTCTGTAGGACACCCTTGAAAATGAGTTGGTCCTTCTGAAGAGGCTATCCCTCTAAATAAACAAATAAATTATGTTCCAAGTTCAGTCATATGAAAACAATACCTGTTTACATCACATCAAAGGCAATGGCTGAAGTTCCTGAAGTTGTTTGGTTTCAAGTTTCATTTGATTAGAATCAAGTCGGACTCAGTGTAGGATGTGGTGGAGAGATGCACACTGAGGAAGGTGGAGGCTACTCTAAGGAACATGGATCATCATTTCATAATACCTGGATGGACCAAAACAACAATGGTGGTGGACAGCTCCTTTCTCTTCGCTGCAGGAGGGAGAGATTCAAAAAAACCTTTTGTACCCACAGCCATCAAACATCTTATTTCTGTTATAAATAGTAGATGAGATGAAACTCCAGACAAACAAATTTCTGTTTGAGGATAAAATTCTTGTTTTGAATTCTCAGACTCACTGAGGATGAACCATCCAGCTGTGGTATAATAGCTGACAAAGTCTGATGCTCATTTGAACAATGACAGAGAGTCAATGAGTAGCTATAGGAAGAAAGAATGAATTACACTTGAAAACACTAGCCTGTGAAAGTGGGATGACTGAGGGGGGAGGAGAGAGAACTGAGGAAAGAGGACTGAGAGGAGATGAGTAAAAGGGGAGATGACTAAGTAGCTACATTTCTCTCAGTGTAAATCAGTCCAAATGTCTCAGACTGAGATTCAGAAATTATCTGTTAGATGTACCTGCAGATCAAGTGATCAGAAATGCTCCCTTTTCATGTTGATTTGGGACAAAGTTCAGGTTTTTCCTGAAGGTTAGCTACTGATTCAAATTAAGAGATTTAAACAGCTTATTCAGTATGGAGAGCTTCTAAACTCAGATGTTTTCTGGCTGTCGAGGCAGAGGAGAGCTGTAAGATTGTATTATCTAACATTATTGATATCAGTTTTACTGATCAGTCGATTCTTAAATTTTCATTTCAGACCAAAATTACAAATAAAAGAATAGAAATAAAAACATTAAGAATGAAACTGTCCCTCTCTGACCGTCATCCTGTTTTTGATGCTCAGCTTTTGTCCCCAATCTGAACCCTTCATGATCATAATCACAGTCTCATCTTAAAAAGAACATGGTCTTTGATTCTTGCTACGACCTGGGAGAATGGTTAGGGGAAGATGGGAAGTAACAATAAAATAAAACCGGGCAGGGGAGACTAACTGCAGAGTGGAAAACAGGAAATCAGTATAAGCGAGTAATTTATTTACAATCAAAAACTAATAACAAAAAGATCAAACAACTAAAGGCGAGCACGAGGTCGATTATCAATGCGTTATTCAAAACCAAAATTCACTACCAACTATTCAAATAAACAAAAGAAACACCACAGGCTCCTGCCACCAGAAAACCTGGATTCAAAAACACCAAAACGCACAAGATTGAAATCACAGTCAACAAATCGGGCAGGCTGCAGCACGAGTGATGATCAAGAGGGGTGAGAGAGAGAATCAGTGCAGCTGTGCCTTCTTATAGCCGCTCCCACTCATCACACCAAGCAGGTTCACCTGAGACACCTGGGGAGGAACCTACCAGAGAGAGACACACAGCAGAAGACACAGGACACACCCACACCCACAGCCGAAATACCCCCTCCCTGAAGAATAAACTACTAGGGTAGTTTAATTTCTATTCATACACAACATTGTTCAACAAACAACATTGCTCAAAATTTTCAATGTCATTAACTCATCTTTTAACTCAAAAAACAAACGTGCTTTATAGCTCTCATCCACGAGACAGTGCGTCGGCCACCACGTTGTCAGCTCCCTTTTTGTGCTGGATGTCAAGGGTGGATTCCTGGGCCAGGAGAGCCCAGCGCATCAACTGCTGGTTGTGGTTGTACATCTGCGTCAGGAAAACGAGGGGAATATGGTCTGTATAGACTGTGAACAGAGGAGGGGAGCTTGACCCAACGTCAACTTCCAAGTGCTGTAAAGAAAGCAGCATAGCTAGTGTCTCTTTTTCGATGGTGGAATACTTTAACTGATGTTTCTTGAACTTGACAGAGAAATAGCCGATAGGGTGACACATCCCTCCCACCATCCTGCAGCATTAAAAGCATGGTCACACTCTTCTGTCCACAAGAAGGGAACCACAGGTCTACACAACCTTGTCAGAGGAGCAACCACTACAGAAAAGTTTCTGCAAAAGCACCGATAGTAACCTACCATACCCAGAAAACGCCTCAGTTCATGCCTGGAAGTGGGAACTGGACATGCTAGCACCGCCTCCACCTTTGCATTCACAGGACGAACCTGCCAATGTCCAACCTGCTTCCCCAGGTAGATGACACTAGCCTTGCCAAACTCACACTTGGCAAGGTTAAGCGTCACAGATGCATCTGCCAGCCGTTTGAACACTGTACCTAAAACAGAAACATGATCATCCAAACTGTTTGAGTACACCACCACATCATCAAGGTACACATTGCAGTTTGGCACCCCACCCAAAACAATGTGCATAAGGCGTTAAAAGGTAGCAGGTGCATTTATCATCCCAAACGCCATAACTGTGCACTGCATAAAAGCATCAGGAGTAACGAAGGCAGAGATGTCAGATGCATGGGATGTTAATGGAACCTGCCAATAACCCTTAAGCAAATCTAGCTTAGTGATGAACTTGGAGGGACCAATGCTGTCAATACAGTCCTGCATACTAGGCAACGGAAAGGAATCTGGCACAGTGACTGCATTAACCTTCCTGAAATCGGTGCAGAAGCAAGGGGTTCCATCAGACTTTGGCGCAAGCAAACAGGGAGAGCTCCAGGGGCTACTGCTGGGCTTAGCTAAACTGCTCTCTAACAGGTAGCCGACCTCTTGTTTCATACTGTTCTGTTTCTCCATGGAGCAGCGGCATGCTGTTTAATAGGCTTAGCATCACCAACATCAATATCATGCTCCAAAACTGCGGTGTGTGACGGCACATCACCAAATAAAGTAGGATCAGTATTGATCAAAATAAGAATGTCACTTCGCTGCACTTCTGGCAGATAAGACAAGTGAGAATCTAACTCAAACAGCAACTTAGAGTTCGGTAACCTGCCACAGTGGTTACCGTCAGTGGGAAACACCAACCCATCAGACTCAGATGCACAAACTAGTAGAGAAGTGCTAACTACAGGAATTGCAACACAGGGCATTGAAGGAGAGGGACCCAGCTGCAGCCAAGATGGCAGACCCAGAAGATAAACTTCAGCAAAGCTTCCGCAATTTTGCGGCAGAGAATAACTTCCGGGTCATTCTTGTATTCATTCCAGCAGACGGGCTTTGCGATGCCAGAACAGTAGGAGTATGCACCTAAACTTTCTCACAGTTTGACTACTCAGTTATAAGTACTTTTCAACATGCAGTGTCATCCTCAAGGTTGTATTTTGTATTGTGCACTAAAATGAAATACAAACAACAATTTCAGCATGACATGCCTGTTTTGCGGAGATGGTGGTGCCTGTTGCTCTTGGAAAACAAAGCTTTGAAGAGGTAGACAGTTTAAGTAAATTAGATGCCCTAATTAACTGGAAGACAATCAATATATTGTCATTACAGTTATGGGAAAATCTTTGCCCACTGGACGAAGGAATGTCAGGAGCTTATTGCTGGAATGCATACTCCAGTCTTAAGGCTTAAGAGGAAGGCCGAGCAGCAGGACACAGAGGTTAGAAAATTGCCTTCTAAAAACAGTATTATCTCAGTGGGAGTCCTTCAAAATGCACACAGTTGTATGGATCAACATTGTCTCGATGTATTTGGTAATTGATGTTACTTTTCAAATTGACTTGTTCAGGAAACCATGACACAGACGACATCTGATGTCCAAAGAGTGTGCATGGCAGATTGCATGAAATTCTGTGTCTACCAGACATCCAACACCACAGGAGAGATGTTTGTTGCAGACTCAATTTAATAAATGAAATTATCGGGGCCTATTCGGTAATTTTCCATGAAGTGACCACTTTCACATTTAGTTTATTTGCACGAATCATGCGGGGAAAATTATTTATACATTCAAATGTGCTGCAGAGGTACAATCAATTGGATAGGGTGTGTGTTTAATATTAAGTTTTTCTCTCATTTGATCAGATCGCTTTACCCTGAGGTAAAGTTTGTAAAATGGGTCCAGTGCAAGACATGCAGGGGCTGGCTGCATCAAGATTGTGCCGGAATTCACATGGAGCCCTTTGACTGTGGCTGCGAGGACTTCATTGAGCATCCTCGGTATAACATAATTTATCAGAGAAACATAGTATCAGTAAAAAATATGAGACGCAAAGGATGAAAAAATGAGGGCTTGCTCTTTTTCTTATTTCTCTGCAGGATCAAGGATGCTGTTGACCGTGGAGGAATTGGTGCTGTCTTTTCTAAGACACAGATCAAGGTTGCAATCAGTTATTAAAGCCACTGTTTCTTTTTCAGATGATTACATGTTTGTCTCTTGCTCTTTGGTTTCAGACATTACACAATGATCTGCTTTCTGGAAACATCCGCTCCGGCAGGATGTTTCTTTGGAGGAAACCTGCCACCTCACTCTGGCTCAAGCAGCATCTGAAGATAAGGACACTATGTTGGAGTGAGCAGCGCGTAAGTAAAAATGCCACCTTACTCTGGCTCAAGCAGCATCTGAAGATAAGGACACTATGTTGGAGTGAGCAGCGCGTAAGTAAAAATGCCATCCATCATGAGTATTTTTACTCTCAGAGGTGTTACATTTGAAAGCTGTTTACTTTCTATGTTTTTCTTCAATAGATCTTCGAGCTCCTGCGGTTAATTGAGGAGGCAACGACCATATCTGACAACATCAAGAGAGGCGAGATTCACTTGCTAGATTTTGTCTTTGATGTCATGCTCGCAGAGGTGAGTAGATCAAACTATATACAGTAGCTTGCTTTCAAAATTGATGATATTGTTAAGAGGTTGTTTTTATTCATTTGGAAAGCTCAAGAACAACAATTAACCCATACTGCATAACTTCAAATGTTCACATTATTTGACTGTTTTTCAGCTTTTGATCAAAGTACTTCAAGACCATGGCATCACCCGACTCAGGGTGGAGCAGATGATGACCTGTGGCAACGTTCTCAATTATGGGACGTGGAAGCCTGTATATGTATATATAATAATATTTTTTTTACTGTGTGTTTACAAGTTATTGTTTTGAAAATATTAAAGCAATCTTTGAAGCAGTTAAATGACAATTTCCCATTTCTTTACACAGTCTGTAATGATAGAATATAATAGAATATTCCTTTATTGATCCCCCCATGGGGGAATTTTTTTTGTCACAGCAGCATCACAGACAAAGAGTGCAAAAATGCAGTTATAAAAAAATAAGGATCGTAATATTAAGAACTTAAATAAATGTAATATTAAGAACTTAAATAAATGTAATAATTAAGAAAAAATTTAGAAAAAGGAAAAAATAAAACTATCTACAATTTACACAATTTAAATGCCAGAAAAAAGTGGTGGTGTGAGTCCAGTTTTATTACAGTTCGTTGTAAAGTCTTGTTGCAGAAGGGAGGAATGACCTGCGGTAGCGCTCCGTCTTGCAAGGTGGGCGTCTAAGTCTGCTGCTGAAGGAGCTGCTTAAAGCCCCCACAGTCTGGTGCAGTAGGTGAGAGGGATTGTCCATGATGGATACAAGCTTTGTTAACATCCTCCTCTCACCCACCTCCTCCAGGGAGTCCAAAGAACAGTCCAGGACAGAACTGGCCCTCCTGACCAGTCTATTCAGTCTCTTCCTGTCCCTCTGATATCGCAATTCAAGTGTTTTTCCTAAATGGCTCTTCTGAACCTTGAACAGATCATGTGTCTTGTGTCTCTACAATTATTGTATATTTGCATTTTCCACAGTCAAGCAATCCTGAAGAGGCTCACCAGGAAGCACACCATGTCATAAATCATGTTTGCTGTATAATTATCAGGCTATCAGGACATCAGTCTATATATACATATTACTGTAAACTTCAGAATTAAATCAGAACAAAACAGTAGTTATAAATAATACATAAAGGTTTTATTTTGGTTTTTAGCTCAATAATAAATTCAATTCTTACGGAATGAATGGAGCGAAAAAAAAGCTTCCAGCAACTAAATCCGACTACCAGAAGTCCCTTCTAACGAAAAATTATTTCAGCTGAAAAAAAATCACTTTAAGAAGCCAGCAGCCCTCAGTCTCAGCGCCTGAGTATTGTCTTCACTTCCAATCGGGTTGCTTTATTTGATTTTATTTTATTTTTCCTTTTTCATTTTTACTCTTCAAGTTTTCCTTGTTTAGCTTTCTCTTTTTGTTTTTACTTCTTAGTTATCCCTTTCTACAGTTATCCCTATCTTCAGTTTTCCTTTTTTGGATTTTCCTCTTTGTTTTTTGGCTTCACTTTGCTCTATAGCTTTTTTCTCTTCAGTTTTTCCTTCTCAGTTTTTTGATCACAGATTTTGTACCATTTAGTTTTTCTTCTGTTGTATAAGTTTTTGCTCTTTAGATGTTTTTTCTTAAATTTTCCTCTTCAGTTTTCATCTTCAGTTTGCCCACTTTACTCTTCCTTCTTAAGTTTCTCATCTTTAGTTTTTCCTTTTCAGTTATCCTTTTTTTTTTCTCCATAGATTTTCCTCTTTGAATTTTCCTCTTTGTTTTTTTTCTCTTCATTTTTTCTTCAGGTTTTAACAGCCCGTCAGTTTTGCCTCTTATTTTTTTCCTCAAGTTTACTTTCTAGTTTTTCCCCTTTTATTATTTCTCATCAGTTTTTTATCTTTACTTTGTCCAATTTACTCTTACTTCTATAGTTCACCCTCTTTTTTATCTGTCGATTTTCTTCTACAGTTTTTCCTCTTAATTTTAATTTCCTTTTTTTAGTTTTTTTTTCTCAAGTTTTTTCCCTTTAAGGTTCCTTTCTTCAGTTTTTCCTTTTTAGTTTTATTTCTTCGGTTTTTCCTTTTTAGTTTGACCTCTTCAGTTTTTCCATTTTTAGTTTCCCCTTTTCAGTTTTGTTTACCTTGATCATTTTTTTCTGTTTCCCCCTTTTCAGTTGTTCTTTGGTGATTATTTTTTAAGTTTTTCCTATTCAATTTTCCTCCGAAGTTTTTCCTTCTAAGTTTTAATGTCTTTTTTTCCTTTTAAGTTTTTCTTTTTCAATTTTTTTCTCTTTGTTTTTTTCTTCAGTTTTTTCTTTCTTCAGTTTTTTCTCTAGAGTTTTTTCACTTAGTTTTTTCCCGTTAGTTTTTCCTTTTCAGTTTTTGTTTCTGTTTTCATTTTTTAGTTTTTTCTTTTATGTTTTTCCCTTTAGTTTTCTTTTTTGTTGTTGTTTTTTTATTTTTTTCCTATTAGTTTTTTAAGGATATAGAAATATATATTACTGGATTCTTATAGTGCAAGTCACGGTTAATATTTACAGATGAAATACAATAGTCACAGATGATAATGCAGCAGCAGTGGTAGTGGTAAGTATATTGCACTTGCTGCCTCATATTGAAGGCTGGGGTTGTTGTCTATGGGAGTTCAAAGTGGTGATGGCTCTCGGGAAGAAAGAGTTTTTCACTCTGTTAGTCCTTGCTTCGATGCACCTGTAATGCCTCTCAGAGGACAGTAGGTCAAATAGCTGGGCAATCGGGTGTGAAGTGTCCTGGATGATGTTGTGAGCACTCCTGAGGCACCAGGGTGAGTAGATGTCCATCAGGGAGGGGAGAGGGCAGCCAATAATCCTCTGTGCTTTTTTGACTGTCCTCTGGAGCCTCCCTCTGTCCGCCTCGGTGCATCTCTTGTACCAGGGGGAGATGAAGTAATGGCTAAAGTCAGCAGGCTCTCAATGGATGAGTGGTAGAAGGCCAGCAGTAGGTCCCTGTCCAAGTGGTTCCTTCTGAAGTCCACGATGATCTCTTTTGTTTTCCTCACGTTCAGTGCCAGATTATTGTTAGAGCACCAGGGGGTTAGCCTCTGGACCTCTGCCCTGTAGGCTGCCTCGTTTCCCTCTGACCATCGTGGTGTCATCAGCAATTGACAATGATGTTTTTACCGTGGGCCGGACTGCAGGCATAGGTGTACAGAGGGGGCTCAGCATGCAACCTTGTGGTGAACCGGTGCTCAGAGTGTGGGTGGAGGAAAGATGGGGGCCGAGTCTAGGCCCAGGGTGGCTAGTTTAGTGATCAGGATGTCCAGGATGATGGTGTTGAACGCTGTGCTGTAGTCCACAAAGAGCATTCTGGCATAGCTCTCCTGTTGTTCCAGGTGACACAGCACAGCATGCAGCGCTATGGTGATGGCGTCCTCTGAGGATCTGTTTGCCCATTATGCAAACTGGTGGGTGTCACGTATGGGGGGGGGGGGGGAGACAGTCCTTGATGTGCTGGAGAGCCAGTCTCTCAAAGCACTTCATAGTGACGGGTGTGAGGGCCACAGGGCGGTAGTCGCTGAGGCTAGATGTTGGTGTTGTCTTTGGTATGGGGATGATAGTGGCCGACTTCAGGCAGGTGGGAATGACTGGGCCAGGGACAGGTTGAAGATCCTGCAAAAGATGTGGGACAGCTGGTGGGCACATGCTCTGAGCGCCTTTACAGGTACTTCGATAGGGCCAGGGGCAGGGGCAGGGCTGGAGCAGAAGAGGAGTGTCATTGCGGTGGTGTTTCAAACGGGCAAAGAAGCTGTTGACCTCCTCTGCCAGCTACATACTCAGGTCTCCTGACGTCACATCACAGCTTGAAGTTAGTGATGTCCTGAAGACCCTGCCACACCTCCCCATGTTGCTGGCAAGACGGGACTCTATCCTCCTCTTGTAGTCCACTTTGGCATTTTTAATCCCTTTCTTCAGGTCAGTTCGAGCCACACTGTAGAGAGCTTTGTCACCTGACCTGAAAGCGGGCTTTAAGGAATGAGTAGACCTGGCTGGTTTCTGGTTGGGATATACCTGGATGACTTTGTCCACAGATGCAGTTCCCAAACAGAACTTAATGTAGTCCTGTACATTTTTCCTCCTCATTGTTTTCACTTCAGTTTTTCCTTTTCCTTTTCAATTTTCCCTTCTTGTTTTTTTTTCTCCACAGTTTTCCCTCTTTGAAATCTCCTCTTTGTTTTTTTTTCTCTTCACTTTTCCCTTCAGGTTTTTTTTAACCTTCAGTTTTCCCTCTAAATTTTTTCTCTTAAGCTTTATTCTCTTAAGTTTTTCCCCTTTTTTTCACTTCAGTTTTTCCTTTTTAGATTTTCCCCTGAAGTTTTCACATTTTGTTTTACCTTTTAAGTTTTTCTTTTTCAAGTTTTTTTCACTTTAGATTTTCCCCTTTGTTTTTATTCTACTCGGTTCTCCTTCTTTTTCTTCTTAATTTTCCCTGTTTAGATTTTTCTCTATTTTCTTCACTTATTCCTCTTCAGGTTTTTTTAATCCGTGTATCATTCTTTCATTTGATTTTCAAAATAAAACCAAAAATGAAAAGACGAGAAAACCAACTGTTTTCTAAATATTTGTCTCTAAAACAAAAATGAAAAAATTGATAACTGTATAAAGTTTTGTGACCCGGAAGTGAACCTTTGGTGTCATGGCTAGACCCAAGAATTATTCAGAGCCCATACAGCACTTTTTTTTAGGATTGCAAAACTCATACAGAGATTTGACTACACTACAGGAGGCAGGAGTGCCGAGGTGATCTGAAATGTCTGTCAGAAGGTTCTGTGCCCAAAACAACCTGAGGAGAAAAGGACACGTATCAGACACACAGCTGGATAACGACAGATAAAACTGTCGTTATCCATTTATCCCATCGGAATCAGAAAATGAGCCAGGGTCCATGTATAATCCGTGTACCATTCGTTCAATTGATATTCAATCAAGAATCAGAAAACAAAACATTGAAAAAAGGTTTGTTTTCCTTTTTTCCCTCTTTGAAAAGAAAACAAATAAATGAAAATTTGTTAGTTTTCCAATATTCCGTCAGTTAACATAGATCAAATAAACAGAACTTGAATTATGGGCCACGGGCTGATTTTGTTTTTATTATTTAATTGGTATGCTCGTCGTGACCCGGAAGTTGTATCGTCTGTGTTTTTGCCAGTGTGTCAACCTGATCGTATCAACTTATAGGGCCTTTGAGACATGAATGTTAGGGGGAATGAGTTTATTGGGTCAAAGATGAAGATGAAAGCATGAAACATAAGAAGACGCAAATTGGTGACCGTGTAAATGCCTGTCCAAAATATAGCTGTCACTGAGTGAGAAATTTAACAAACCTTTTCGTTGTGAGAGGAACTTATTTTGCGGTATCTTTGTGATCAATAGGTGCGTGGGTAGTACTCACAGTACCACAGGCAGTGTGAAAATGTTTGTGGAATGCGTTTAAATACAGTGCAAGGTCAGGTGTACTCTACATGTTACCTGTGTTATCTTGTGACAGCCTATACACCTCGCTTGTTGGTTGTATTCAATGTTTGTGTGGACGTCTCCACAACTATGATCCACGCTTTTAATAAGTAGAAACTAAAATATTGGTGTTAAAGGAGATATATTTCAAATATTTCCTTCTTGTGGAATGTGGAAAAGCGTCCACTGTCACCACTCGTATTGATCGCAGTCAACGTGAAAGAAACCATCCTGGCTTTACAGTCACGCAGCATGAGAGACAACCTGATCTTCACCGGCATTCCCAAGCCATCCATGGACCAACCTGAAACAGCAGTAAAGGAGTTAATGATCACACGGCTCAAACTTACCCCTGACACCGTCAACACCATCTCTTTTCACCATCTTCACCGTCTGGGACAAAAACACACCAACACCAACCAACCCCGGCCCATCATCGTCCAATTTTAGCAGTACAAGCACAATGAACTGGTAGAACGACAAGGCAGACAACTTAAAGGAACAGACTTTGGACTTAAGAACCTAAGAACTTACCAGGGAACCCCACCAACTCACAGCAGGAAATAAATGAAATATTTAGAAACTTTTACGCCAAATTATACTCATCTGATAATGACCCAAGACAGGAGGATATTGATTCATTTTTTAAAGACATTAAACTTCCACAATTTAATACAGATCAGGTCAATACACTCGACTCACCAATCACAGAAAGAGAACTCTCTACCGCACTCAATCTCATGCCAAACAATTTAGCACCAGGTCCCGACGGCTTCCCTGCCGAGTTCTACAAACACTTCTGGTCCATTTTATCCCCACTCTTCATGAAAACAATAACTGAAATAACACAAAACTCTAAGTTCCCAATACATATGAACACAGCTTTAATCTCACTTCTCCCAAAACCAAAACCAAATAAAGATCACACCTTTCCATCAAATTATTGTCCTATCTCATTAATCAACGTAGACATGAAAATCATCAGTAAAGCTCTTGCACGTAGGTTAGAAAAAGTCACACCTCGAATAATTCACCCAGATCAGACCGGCTTCATTAAAGGTAGACAGGCATCCAACAATACACGTAGACTGTTCAGTTTAATCCATTACTCATCATTACAACGGGAAGACACCATCATAGTCACTTTAGATGCAGAAAAAGCTTTTGACAGGGTAAACTGGAAATTTTTCTTCCACACATTACAGAAATTTGGCTTTGGGGAATCATTCATTAACTGGATCAAAATTCTGTACACCTCACCATCAGCCACCGTCACCTCTAATAGTCTAACATCACAAAGATTCACACCAGATGGGATGCGACAGCCCATACATCAGCAATTCCTCTATGCACAGGTCACTTCACATATTTGGGTATCAACATTTCCTCCAGGTTGTCAGAGCTGATAGAACTAAACTTCACTCCACTACCGAGAGGGACAGGATGAGACTGAATAGACTGGTCAGGAGGGCCAGTTCTGTCCTGGACTGTTCTTTGGACTCCCTGGAGGAGGTGGGTGAGAGGAGGATGTTAACAAAGCTTGTATCCATCATGGACAATCCCTCTCACCCACTGCACCAGACTGTGGGGGCTTTAAGCAGCTCCTTCAGCAGCAGACTTAGACTTCCACCTTGCAGGACAGAGCGCTACCGCAGGTCATTCCTCCCCAAAAATAAGACTTTAAAACGAACTGTAATAATAACTGGACTGACACCACCACTTTTTTCTGGCATTTAAATTGTGTATATTGTTTATAGTTTTATTTTTCTTCTCCTTTTTTTCCTTTTTCTAAATTTTTTCTTAATTATTACATTTATTAAGTTCTTAATATTAGGACCCTTATTTTTATAACTGCATTTTTGCACTTTGCCTGTGATGCTGCTGTGACAAAAAAAATTTCCCCCATGGGGGATCAATAAAGGAATATTCTATTCTATTCTATTCTACTTAAAACAATAGATGACAACCTCCAACGCTGGATGAAGCTGCCACAATCCATTCGAGGCAGAATAGCAACAATTAAAATGAAAATACTACCTAAAATAAAGTATCTTTTTTCAATGATCCCAACCCATCCCACTTCCACCTGGTTCAACTCTCTAGACTCAATAATCACTAAATTTTACTGGAAAAATAAAACACCAAGGATCAAACTGGCCACACTTCAAAAACCCAAATTACAAGGCGGATTAGATGCACTACATTTGAGCTATTACTCTCTGGCAAATCAACTACAGTATATATACAAATGGACACACACCGATTACTCAGATCACACCTGGTTAGACATAGTACAGATATCCAGTTTTCAGACATTCCATTTCTCAGTCAATCAATCAAACGCCACCCTTGTTTCAAAGCAATAACAATAGCATCTGCTCTGACAGCCTGGTGGAAATTTCACAAAATCACAAATACCACTCTTTCACCATCTAACTTCACCCCCATTTGGAATAATTCCGACCTCCTTTGCAACAAAAAAGCACTCAACTTTCACACATGGACAAGAAAGGGCATCACACACCTTAAACACATTTTCCATAATAACACCCTGATATCATTTCCCCTATTGGTCCAGGAGTACGGCATTGGGAGTAATCAATTTCTGGAATAAAAAACTTAAAGGGGACCTGCCATCAAAATTGTAATTTTGTGTGTTTTTTGTGTCAGATAAGGTCCATATTATGTTCGTCTTATGTTGTAAATGTGAAAACAAACCATTACGTCGTTTGCATTCTGTAAAGTTTTAAAATAAAAGAACGGATAAACCAGGCCAATTGAAAAAGCAGGTCCCTCTGATGTCACGCTGACCTTGCTCATTATTATTCACAAGCGCGTCCTCGGTTAGCCGCGCCCACTCTCTCATTCTCGTACTCATTCACAGTCAAAATCACTCTCCAGCCGGAGCGAGACCCAGCTACCACTGTATGACCGCTATGGGTCTCTTCCAAACGACCGGTGTTTCCTTGGGTTCACTGCCTGGAAAATGAACTTAAAGCTGGGCAGAATGAATGAAAACACCGCTGGAGATCTCCGGCTTCTTCTTCAACTTCCACCTCCTCTTCGGACTTGGGGTCTAAAATATATGGTTTAATACCTGCCATTTTTAGCATAAGGTGACCAGACGTCCCCGATTTCAGGGGATGACCTGTCCCCCGGCAAAAGCTGTCCCCGATTTAAGCGTTTCATGAATGAGAACAAAAATGTTGCGTGTGGGCTCGAACAACGGTTATTATTGTAGCCGAATGGATAGGAAGCACAAGTAAGCAGTCCTGAACAACAGTTGTTACGGGGGGTTATTACAAGGGGCATGCTCTGCTACCAAATAGTACCAAGATTTTGTCTGTGATCACGCAGCCCCTGCAGCCACTGGACCCTCCCCGCCGCCGCTGCACCGAATATCCTCGGATATCATTACAGACATCTGGGCACCTTACTTTAGCACACATTAGCAAAATGGATAAACTGAAATCAGAACCTCCACTGCTGAGCCAATCAGAGCACAGCAGGCTTCACAGCAGTGATCCAATCAGAGCAAAGCTCATTAACATAAATGTTAATGAGCCAAAATCAGTTGGTTTTCCTGTAAGGTTTTTTAGGCATACTAAAATGGTTTGAAACAAACCATCAAATAACTTTTCAGCTAAAATTATGTTGCAAACATGATCAGAGGACACCAAGGATTCTGAAAAAATGATAAAAATGGGTATGAAATTTTGATGGCAGGTCCCCTTTAAGTCATCTGTCAAATCAAAAATTAACATCAGATCCACAAATCTAGACCTTTCACCTGCAATATCAGAATTTATTAATATCCTTTCCCCCAGAAAACTCCTCTCTAAAAGATATAAAATAATATTACAATCTGACAAAATCATATCTCTACCATCACAAAAAAATGGCAACAAGACCTGTCAATTGCTCCTGATGCCGACTTCTGGACCCAAATCTGTAAAAACATTTATCTCATGACTAAAAATGCTGACTTACAACTCATTCAATATAAGATGCTTCACAGAACTCACTACACTGGACAAAAAATGTTTAAAATGGGCTTCACCTTGGAAATTTGCACCCACTGCACTCAAAACTGTCCTGACACCTACACTCCATCACATGGCACTGCACCCCAATCAAACACTTCTGGAAACTAGCCACCGAGTCATTATCACACTTCATGGGCTGCTGCATCCCTTTATCCCCCTCACTCTGGCTTCTAGGAGACTTATCATCAGTCACAATAGACAAAAAAAACAATAACCATCTTCTCATGGCCCTAACTATCGCCAAGAAAACTATCCTCATGAACTGGAAATCTAGGAACACCATTCATCTGGCTCATTGGAAAAACCTGCTCATTGACCACATCTCTCTGGGGTATACACCCACCCCTCTCCATACTACAACAGAATCTCAATCCCCCGGGTCCACTGTCATTGACTTTTTTTTATATATATATATATATATGTGTGTGTTTTTATTTGTTTATTTATTTTTCTGTCTGAGAGCCAACCAATCAATTATACATCCCTACACATGTTTTGAATACACACACACACACACACACACACACACACACACACACACACACACACACACACACACACACACACACACACACACACACACTCAATAAAACACATTAAGGGGAGGGGAATAGAGGGGAAAAAAATAAAAGAAAGAAAATGTTTTGTTTTGTTTTTTTGTTTGTTTGTTTTTGTTTGTTTGTTTGTTTTTCTTTTTGTTTTGTTTCTTATAGGTACTTTATTAAACATAGAGGGTGTGTGCACGTGTGCGTATGTATATATGTGTATGTATGGTCTCCCCGGGTCATAGATGTAGTAGTGATGGGGTAATGATGATGACCGGTGTGCCGGTGGTGGTGGTGATGGTGGATTGGTGATAATGATAATGATGATGGTAGTGGTGGTGGTGGTGGCGATTGCGGTGGTGGGTGTGGAATGGCGGAGGCCATTGTGGTGTGCTGCAGTGTGGTCTGGATTGGGGGTTGGCGCGGGTCCCTGTGCCGCCGGGGGGCGGGCTGGCTGACGCCCATGAATCCCTGGAGTCCTGGGATTGGTTGGCCCTGCCTGCTGCTGCCTGGACCTGGTGGGAGCAGAATGTGGGGATCCTGTGTGGGCCACGGGCCGCGTCCCCCGCCCCTTCTTGGCCCCACTCTACCCCAGTTTCTTTTTTGCCCTGGGCCAGTTCCATTTCACATGCCTCTCCGACTTTTAACGCATCACACACCAACTCTTCACACCCCACTTTTTAATGCATACATCACAGTGAAGTTTTGAATGCACCACATGAACAACAAACAAGAGGAGTGTCATGTGTGGCCCAGTGTATTTAGGGGTGGAGTAGGTGGTCGGTTCGGATGGTGGGTGGTCGCGGGGCGGGGCCCTGTGGGGTGCCCCACGGGCGTCCCACCACGGTAGACATGGGTGCTGGTCGGCCTGCTTCTTGGCGGTGCAGGGTGTGTGTGTGTGTGTATGTATACATACATATATACTGTATATATATATATATATATACACTCACCGGCCACTTTATTAGGTACACCTGTCCAACTGCTCGTTAACACTTAATTTCTAATCAGCCAATCACATGGCGGCAACTTAGTGCATTTAGGCATGTAGACATGGTCAAGACAATCTCCTGCAGTTCAAACCGAGCATCAGTATGGGGAAGAAAGGTGATTTGAGTGACTTTGAACGTGGCATGGTTGTTGGTGCCAGAAGGGCTGGTCCAGTATTTCAGAAACTGCTGATCTACTGGGATTTTCACGCACAACCATCTCTAGGGTTTACAGAGAATGGTCCGAAAAAGAAAAAATATCCAGTGAGCGGCAGTTCTGTGGGCGGAAATGCCTTGTTGATGCCAGAGGTCAGAGGAGAATGGCCAGACTGGTTCGAGCTGGTAGAAAGGCAACAGTGACTCAAATAACCACCCGTTACAACCAAGGTAGGCAGAAGAGCATCTCTGAACGCACAGTACGTCGAACTTTGAGGCAGATGGGCTACAGCAGCAGAAGACCACGCCGGGTGCCACTCCTTTCAGCTAAGAACAGGAAACTGAGGCTACAATTTGCACAAGCTCATCGAAATTGGACAATAGAAGATTGGAAAAACGTTGCCTGGTCTGATGAGTCTCGATTTCTGCTGCGACATTCGGATGGTAGGGTCAGAATTTGGCGTCAACAACATGAAAGCATGGATCCATCCTGCCTTGTATCAACGGTTCAGGCTGGTGGTGGTGGTGTCATGGTGTGGGGAATATTTTCTTGGCACTCTTTGGGCCCCTTGGTACCAATTGAGCATCGTTGCAACGCCACAGCCTACCTGAGTATTGTTGCTGACCATGTCCATCCCTTTATGACCACAATGTACCCAACTTCTGATGGCTACTTTCAGCAGGATAATGCACCATGTCATAAAGCTGGAATCATCTCAGACTGGTTTCTTGAACATGACAATGAGTTCACTGTACTCAAATGGCCTCCACAGTCACCAGATCTCAATCCAATAGAGCATCTTTGGGATGTGGTGGAACGGGAGATTCGCATCATGGATGTGCAGCCGACAAATCTGCGGCAACTGTGTGATGCCATCATGTCAATATGGACCAAGCTCTCTGAGGAATGCTTCCAGCACCTTGTTGAATCTATGCCACGAAGAATTGAGGCAGTTCTGAAGGCAAAAGGGGGTCCAACCCGTTACTAGCATGGTGTACCTAATTAAGTGGCCGGTGAGTGTATATACACACACATCTAATTATTATTGAGGCAGCACAGTGATGTAGTGGTTAGCACTGTCGCCTCACAGCAAGAAGGTCCTGGGCACGAATCGGTCAGGGCATTTCTGTGTGGCGTTTGCATGTTCTCCCTGTGGGGTTAGGTTAATTGGCCACTTCCAAATTGCCTATAGGTGGGAATGTGAGCGTGAATGGTTGTTCGTCTCTATATGTCAGCCTTGTGATGAACTGGCGACTTGTCCAGGGTGTCCCCTGCCATCTCCTGAAGATGCTGGGAAAGGCTCCAGCCCCCCTGTGACCCCGGGAACGGGAATAAGTTGTAGAAAATAGATGGGTGGATGGATATTGTTATGATTATATATATGTTTCAACGTAATCTAATTAAGATTTTTTTTTAATTCTTTATTATATATATGTTCTTTCCCCCTCCCCTCGCTCACAAAAGTATTTTTTATTGTAATTTTTTTGTTGTTGTTGTTTTTGTTGTTGTTGTCACTCTGTTTTGTTGTTAAATAAAAAAAAAACGTGAATGAAATCAAACCGCGGATCGCGGCTATCCGTTTTAGCGGACTAGCAGACTTTATACCCCTCATTGTTTTCATCACTGATTGATGGATTTGGGATATTTTGCAAATAAAGGGCCATAAACTCAGTGAGAAACAGACAAAATGGTCATAGAGATACCTTAAAAATACATGGCACAGAGGCAGAATCACTCCAGTCTCAGTCCGTGTTAACCTGTGACTGTATGCAGATGTCAGCGGTGTGTCAGGTGTGCTGTCCTTTTACTCACCCACTAACAGCATGGAGACGTGATCGCTCCACATTTGGAGAGACCACCATCAGGTGTCAAATAAGAAAACATGAGCCCCCTAATATCTTTTAAGAACGGAGCTTCACAGAAAAAAGAGGACTTGAGCACAAACCAGTCTTACTGTAACTACATGACAACACCACAAGCAGGGGGGTGAAATATCTATGTTCTGTGTAATAAATTTCAAAAGTTTTTCCACAGCCCCACAAGCTTTGTAGGCGGAGGCGGGATTTATGACCTATACTGCAGCCCATCAACAGAGGGTGCTGTTCTCAGAGTGGCTTCACCCAGCAAGGAGGCAGACGGCATCCATTCTATATACAGTCTATGGTAGCACACAAGGGAGCTCACAATTGTAACACTATTATGTTCATGAACCCACTCAGCAGTATTAGAAGTGAGTGAAAGGAGAAGTTGGGGCCCTTCCATTGACTCTGGTCTAGACTTTGTGTGTCAACTGTATTGATTTCTGTATCTACGAAATAAAGATGCCCATGCTGCTCCTCACATCTCATCCTATCTCCTGTGCATTGATCTGCTTTATACTCCACATAATTTCCACAACATTATGGGACTCCTGCAGGAAACTCTGCTGAATGGAAACTGAACATGATGTTGATGTTTTTTCCTCCAATTGGAACAGACCTCGGGACAAGTCCTATTGTTTGAATATGAGCGCGTGCAGGGGCCTATTCTACCAAGAAAGTTCGACCTAGCGAGGTAGCCTTGGAGCTACCTGGCTCAACTTAGCGCAGAAGCCAGCAGTCTCGCTAAACGGTCTTACGATGTTGGTTATCAACCTCGTAAGTGGATCCAGCTTTGCTATGACAACAACATCGTTGCCGCTGCAAAAGCATAGAAGAATTGCTGGCAGAAAACTGCCGACAGTCTCAATGTGTAAGTATAATGCGCAAAAAAAGCTTTGATGCCATTATCACCCTGAAATAGCACTGTTCAACATGTGCTTTTAACATGCACCAGACATGTCTAATTCATTTCCAAGATGAATTAATTCATTTGTTCATTCCTATCGTGTTCACCTTTTTTTTTTAATATGTAGGCCATATGAGCCTTTCATAAAGGTGGTCATCCGGAAAAGTAAGTGGGTCCGTGCAGTCCCTGAAAACTTTCGCGTGCCGGAGGGCTCCTTGGACAATGCGAGCACTGAGGTCTATAGAATCCTCTAAGAACGGACAAGCCATTTTACGAGAGTGCTCATTGGTCAGTGGGCGGGGTTTTTATACTCGGTGAGTTCAATCTGGAACCTAACCTGCCCCGGAGCAGGTTAGCCGTTACGTTGCCATGGAGACTCGCCTTGCTAAGAAGTGAACCTGCGTCGTAAAACAGGAAACCTTGAACTTACTCTCGAAGTAACCTCGCTAAGCAGTAATCCTGCTTCGTAGAATAGGCCCCAGATCTGCTCCAGCAGCTGCTCTGGGCCTGTTTTTCAAGGAAGTCCGGTGCTGAGTTCAAGTGCTGCAGGAAACTGTGAATGCTGAAGGAGAGGAGTTCTATGTGAGAACAGACCTGCACAGTCACTGAACCAAGACAGGGTTAAAGGTTGAAACCATAGACTGTTTATACCATGGACAACTTTGCTCCACCTTCTGCCATTATATGAATTTGAAGACAAATTGCTCATGATATTTCTGGGATTTTCTCCACTACCTGAAACCACCACTGGCACGGTTGTGTTTACGCATTTCACCGCTTGCGCAGTAGTGTTGTCTGCATTCAGGTCAAAAGCGTATCCCCCGGTTGAGGTACCTAAACTTCATACACCTATAGGCTGTATCAAGTGTCAATCATAGAAAATGCGAACCCCCTAATAACTTTTAAAAATGGAGCTATACAGAAAAAAAGGACTTGAGCACAAACCAGTATTATAATAACTACATGTGAACATTGCCAGCAGGGAGGAGAAAAATTTTTATTCTGTGTAATTAATTTCTAAAGTTTGTCCACAGCTCCATAGGGATTGCTGGAGGAAGGTGTGGCTTCACCCACCTAGGAGGCAGACGGTGTCCATTCCATGTACAGTCTATGGTTGAAACAGCCATTTAGTGTTATTTTAGTGAGCTCACTGAGGGCTCCGTGCTCTGTGAACAGAGTGAGGATGAGGAGGGGAGGTTCCTCATGTGAAGCTGTTTATCACATGTGAGTGTGGATTTATGTTGGTCAAAAAACAACAGTTATCATTGTTTTTATTATTTTAACTACAAATTACTGAAACATTCGCCTGAAACAAAAAAGCTTGTATTTCTCAATAAATTTTCATCATTCCAGGATGTGTCTGTTAGTCCATACCTACTTATAAAACAAAAAGATAAGGTATAAACACATCTTCATGGATGTTTGGCTTTTTAAAGAACTGAAATTACTATAAATTTGAAGAGTACCATTTCATACTGAGAGATATTGTGAAGACTAATTAATAATAATAATAATGATAATAATAATAATAACTCACCCCTGTATTTGCATCATCACAGCTACTTTTTTAGTCAAAAAAGTGTTGGCTGATTCGGCAGTTTACAGGATGTCAGTGAAGTCAGCATATCCTTTGGGCCCCGCCTCCTTCGGCCTCAGATTAACTTCCTGTTTGCTGCCATTGCCGTAACTGCTAGTGTGTTTCCAGCAGTAGGAACAGCAGAAGAAGGAAGACTGGAATTATAAAGGACGAAGAGTGAACAGTTGATGAAAACTGAGCTGTGAGTAATTTACTCTCTACTGACAATTGGTGTGGCATTCTCAACACACTTAGCCCAGAGCTAACAGGCCATGTCTGTTCTGCTTCTGCTGCTTTGCGTTAGATTACTGAACTCACCCACTAACTAAAACCTTAACCAGGACTAATTGAGCTGCGGAGAGCAACAGAAACCGACTGCTGACCCGAGGATTTAACGACCGGATCGGTCCTCAGAGTTATCTCAGCATGATCTTCAATGTTGGTGTGTAAACTTCGATATCAGAGTGAAGTGAACTAGTCTACAGCTCCGTGTTAACGTGAGAGCTACACGGTCCGTGAACGGTACAGCTGTTACTGTACATGCGCTCAGACGGTATAAACGACTTTTCTTTATATTATAACTTTCTTCTAACGAGTATCATGTACAAACAACATGGTTCACTTCTTATTCAATGTTGCAAGGGAGCATGTGGGATTAACTGTTTAAACACAGGAGCTGTCAGATTGATGGGGGCGGTGCCTACAAGTCATTCAGGTACGTTATTAGGAATATAAACTGCATTCTAAATAAACTAGATTACACTATTACACTAAGATACTTGGCATAAATTTTATAAAACACTGTCTATATTTAAACCACAGTCTAAAAATAGTTTTAAAATAAACTACAGTATATCAACTACACTTTTACATCAGTAACTACTGACGTCAGAATGGGCACGACTAATCGATTAATGAACTGGGGCCTCATTTATAAAACCTGGCGTAGGATCCATACTAAAAGTGTACGTAAATTGAAAAGCTGAAAAGTGCGTAGGCAAAAAAAAAATCTGATTTATAAAACCCTGCCTACACACACCTGCACGCACTTTCCCTTTATAAATCACAGACCAGACGGAAAGTTGCACAGCAGGGATTTGATTCTTCCCCGCCCTCTCCACACCCAAAATTCACCATGTATGGTCATGCAAATTACTTAATGAATGTGATTTGCATATAAATAAGCCTGATGGATCCACGGCATTTCACGCTTAACCATGGCATCAGCAAGTCGTAGAAAAAGAAACTTTTCAGAGACCGAGGTGGAGGTTCTTGTAAATGAGGTGGCGGCGAGACGGGAGACCTTATTCGGCGGCCATTCGAGTGGCATCACCAATAAAAACGCCGTTGCCGTGGCGGTAATTGCGGCTGGCACTGAGCGCAGCATTGCCGAAACAGTGTTGTTTTCGTCATATTTCGTCAAATATTTTCGCCAGCATCAAAAAAGGGAAATATTTTCGTCAACGAGAACAACAGTGGTTGTTTTCGTTGTCGAAAATATTTCCCTTTTCTTCCACGATGAAGACGTAACGTTGACGAGCTAAACATAAGTCGGGGATGACTAAAATGTGACAAGACGAAAGTGCGTTTACGTTGATGGGACGAGACGAAAATGACGAAAAGAGTTGCAAAATTCAGTCAGTTAAACGCTAAACATATAGTAGCAGCTTCTGTCCACTCTGACAGCTCTCATCAGCCTGCTGTGCTCCTACAACACACAGACACACACGCACGCAAACACGTGAAGTTTTGTTTTCGTTGACGAAAACAACACTGTGCCGAAATCAAGAAGTGGTCTGATCCAAAGGTGGAGGCAAAGAAAAAAGTGGCTTTACACCGTCGGAGCGTGGCGGCGACACGTGAGGATCAGAAAAAACAAGCACGTGTGACACTCATGCATGTGTTCCAAAAAAAAACTGCTCCGTTATCCACCGCTGCTTTTGTGGTGAAAGTTCGTAAACCAAAAAGATTTAGTCATATTAATCTTAAAACAAATGCATGTAAATGGAATTTGCTTTTTTGCACATTTGTAAATTCACCTTGCTCAGATTGTCTCCAAAAAGTGTGTAAGCAACTCTTGCGTAAGAAGTGGCGTAAGCACTTTCTAGCCAGGTTTTGTGCGTAAGGAAGCTTTATAAATGAGGCCCCTGATCGTTAAGAATTACGTTGATCACGCAAAATGTCGATCTATCTAAGGTTATTAAAAAAGGGCTGACAGCATGCGTCCATTCTTCAGCTGTTTTCCAGCAAATATCTACTTCTGCTGATTAAGATGGATACCCTCTTTGTCCAGTTAGTGTGTGTGTTGAAGCAATGCAGTGACTATCGCTGTGCAGGAGGATTTTGACATTATACAAGTGTGACCCCGGAGGCTCAGTACGTTTAGCAGGCACAACAACGACGTATTATTATAAATATATGATCTTTATTAATTAATTCGAAATAGAAAATATATATAAAATATTTTATTTCAAAAGTCCAGGATCATCATCCAAAGTGGTATTTGATTAATTACAGTGCAGAGAACAGTATCACATTATCCATGAAAACGAGAGACAGATCACACCGTACATTCAACAGCTTGCCCTAACCAAATGAATCCCTAGTCAGTAAGCAGTAGCTGGGCTAAGCAGTGGCTCTCCACCATCTACAAGGCATAACATAAAATACAGCACCGTGAGAATCTAAACAGTAACTATCATTAGACAATAAATAAACATGAGCCCCTTTACTTTGAGCTACTAACTCACCGAGACACACTACTGCAGGTACACATACAGCAGGACCCCCCCACTAAACTTCTCACAGTCTGTATTGACCACTTAAAGGAAGCACATTTACATAAACCATTTATGTCACTCAGGTTTCCAACACGTTAGCAACAAACCCACATACACGGTCAGGAAACAAGAGAGGGAGACACGGAAACTTGCATGTCAATGCATGAATGAAGCTTGGCGTGTTAAAACGCCGCCCAACATGAATACGGCGGAACACTGGCCATTCATTCACACTGCTCTGGCATACTGCCTGCCCCCCGTCTCTTTCTGTCATTCTGTCAGGGGAAACCAGTAACGTTCTTGAACAACTAACATGTCGGCTAAAACAAGTGGATATCTCTTAGTAGTACTGCAGGTAAATAACTCACCAGAACATGTAGAACGCATAACCTGCATACTATTGTTGTCTTGTGACGCTTGCCGCTCCAGGGGACAATGTTTGCTGCAGCAGCCACCACACATGGAAATGCTCCGTCCCAGCTGTCATCCATCATGCTAAAGTGCACGCTGACGCCGCAGCCCCACCCCCAACCCTGTCATTAAAGGCACACTACCCTGACCTGGCCACACAAGGGGAGTGATAAAGCGTCAGCGGGCTTCTGTAAAAGTAAAAATAAAAAAATAAATAAAAGAAGAAGAAAGCAAGCTAATTCGAGCAGAAAAGAGGGGGCATTTTAATGAGGAAAAAATATGTCTTTGCGTACTTTCTTCCATTTGCATAAAACTGATTAAATTGTTGATTGATCTTTAGTTTATCTGATTCATCGATTGAGGGACTTTCTAAAATTGCCCATTCCTATTAACTACAATCTATTGGATGTTTTAGAGGAACAGCCAAATGGATAAAAAGTTGTTATAGAGAAAAAAAACAAACAGGTAAAAAGTTGTTATAGAGAAACAACCAAAAGGTAAAAAGTTGTGTAGTGCTAAAAAAAAAAATAGCTGGAGAACCATCTCCAACTAATGAGGTGAATTTCCAACTGGTTAAAAACATGACTGGGTATAAATAGAAGAACAGAATAGAATAGAATTATTACTTTATTGATCGCCCATGGGGGAATTTTTTTTTTTTGTCACAGCAGCATCACAGACAAAGAGTGCAAAAATGCAGTTATAAAAATAAAGATCCTAATATTAAGAACTTAAATGAATGTAATAGTTAAGAAAAAAAATAAGAAAAAGGAAAAAGGGAGAAGACAAATAAAAAAACTATCTACAATATACACAATTTAAATGCCAGCAAAAAAGTGGTGGTGTAAATCCAGTTATTATTACAGTTCGTTGTAAAGTCTTATTGCAGAGGGGAGGAATGACCTGCGGTAGCGCTCCGTCTTGCAAGGTGGAAGTCTCAGGCTGTGTCTCATTTCAGAGACCGCATCGACCTAAGTGCCCTTCTGCACCGTCGAACGGTGCATTTGAAGCGTGCATGACGTCACGACGGTGCGAACGGTGTCCCATTTGGCACGAGATGCTAAAAAATGCTAAGCGCGCTTAGCATATTTTCAAGCGTCCATCTATGCACGCTTTCGTGCCGTCGGTATCCCAGAATGCTTTGCGTGCCGCTGCACAGCTGCGCATTTCAGGTGAGAGGCTGGACTCGCTTGGAGACGCAGCGCGTCTTCAAAGAAATTACAAGCAATCCAAAAACAGCAGACAGTCAGCTCAGGCTGTATGAGAGCATGATCTCTGAACTCACTAAAATCTGTAAACCAAACATTATAGATTTAGAGACGAACTGATCCGCTCTGCTTCAACAATAAAAAACATTAGAAATAAGAAAGCTGACAAAACTACAGCAGAGTATCAGGACAACATTGAGTTTTTTTTCTTTTAAGATTTAGAGATTAAAGTTGTAAATTTAGGAGAATAAAGTCATAAAGTAAATAAAGTCATAAAGCTGCTTTTGTGGAGGGGGAAATGACTGAAGTTGGTCATCTGCAGGGTTATCTGTGGATGTATCAGCGGGTCATTCAGAGAGATTTTGTGGTTTCTGAAGAAACAATCAAACTGATGATGATCAACATTTGTGATCCAGAGGGAGTCGAGCTCCGACGAGCACCACGTCTCTGACACCGGCCGTAGCCTACACCTGCAGAGACACCAACACCTTATTATGGCATATGGATTCATATCATAAATTAAAGCTCAATGTCATTCACGGATATTTACGGCTGCATTGACAGATATATCCTCAGCATATTCATTTCTGCCTCCACAAAAGCAGCGATTTCCTTCAAGTACACCAGTTTTTTTCCCCGTGGAAAAGACGTATTTCTCATATATTCTTTTTTTAAAGTCTTTATACTTATGACAATGTGATGCTGATGTGAAGTATCTCCTATCCTCCTTCTCAATAGGGCCCTCATACTCCTTCATACAAAACAATCATTGGATGAATTTTGTGGGAATGATCTGTGCTTGTGTCTACTATTTTGTGTCTGTGCAAGGTCGCACAATTAAAACAATACGTGCTGCGCTCCGCAGCTTTTTTTCTAATCAGTCGTGACGTAAGCCTGAGGGCGGGGACATTTGGAGACCTTCGGAGGACTTCCTGGTGGAGTTGCCAAATGTCCCCGCCCTCAGGCTCGCGTCACGACTGACTTAAAGGAAACCCGCGGAGCGCAGCATTTATTGTTTTAATTGTGCGACCTTGCACAGACACAAAATAGTAGATACATACAAGCACAATTCATCCAATGATTGTTTTGTAAGAAGGAGTATGAGGGCCATATTGAGATTTAAGACTTTAAGGACTTCGAGATTTAAGTCATTAATTTATGAGAATGAAGTCATAACCTGTTATTTCAGAGAGACTTGTTAAAATTAGGGCCATGAAGCATTTGAAGGAACTGTGCTTCAGTATAGGTTTCACAAACAAGGAGATTCTTCATCCTCTGGCACATCAGCATAACATTGTCATAAGTATAAAGACTTTAAAAAGAATATATGAGAAATACGTCTTTTCCACGGGGGAAAAAAATTGGTGTACTTGAAGGAAATCGCTGCTTTTGTGGAGACAGAAATGAATATGCTGAGGATATATCTGTCAATGCAGCCGTTAATATCCGTGAATGACATTGAGCTTTAGTTTATGATATGAATCCATATGCAGTAATAAGGTGTTGGTGTCTCTGCAGGTGTAGGTTACCGCCGGTGTCAGAGACGTGGTGCTCGTCGGAGCTCGACTCCCTCTGGATCACAAATGTTGATCATCATCAGTTTGATTGTTTCTTCAGAAACCACAAAATCTCTCTGAATGACCCGCTGATACATCCACAGATAACCCTGCAGATGACCAGCTTCAGTCATTTCCCCCTCCGCAAAAGCAGCTTTATGACTTTATTTACTTTATGACTTTATTCTCCTAAATTTACAACTTTAATCTCTAAATCTTAAAAGAAAAAAAAACTCAATGTTGTCCTGATACTCTGCTGTAGTTTTGTCAGCTTTCTTATTTCTAATGTTTTTTATTGTTGAAGCAGAGCGGATCAGTTCGTCTCTAAATCTATAATGTTTGGTTTACAGCTTTTAGTGAGTTCAGAGATCATGCTCTCATACAGCCTGAGCTGACTGTCTGCTGTTTTTGGATTTCTTGTATTTTCTTCGAAGCCGGCTGTGTCTCCAAGCGAGTCCAGCCTCTCACCTGAAATGCACAGCTGTGCAGCGGCACGCAAAGAATTCTGGGATACCGACGGCACGAAAGCGTGCATACATGCACGCTTGAAAAAGAGGCGGGGGTAGTGTGGTTTTGAGACCGAATTTGAAGCGCGCTTAGTATATTGTGCCAAACGGGACACTGTTCGTGCCGCGTGGTGACCTCACGTACGCGTCAGATGCGCCGTTCGATGGCTGCTGTATCTGAAATGGGACACAGGAAGGGCACAGAACGGCGCAAAACGGCTCAAAACGGCAGTGCACTCAGCTAAGCGCCGTTAAGTGCGCTTATCACGATGCGGTCTCTGAAATGAGAAACAGCCTGTGTCTGCTGCTAAAGGAGCTGCTTAAAGCCCTCACAGTCTGGTGCAGTGGGTGAGAGGGATTGTCCATGATGGATACAAGCTTTGTTAACATCCTCCTCTCACCCACCTCCTCCAGGGAGTCCAAAGAACAGTCCAGGACAGAACTGGCCCTCCTGACCAGTCTATTCAGTCTCTTCCTGTCCCTCTCAGTGCTCCCTGCCCCCCAGCAGACCACTGCATAGAAAAGTGCAGATGCTACCACAGAGTCATAAAAAGTCCTGAGCAGAGTCCTGTACACTCCAAAAGACCTCAGTCTCCTCAGCAGGTGGAGACGACTTTGGCCCTTCTTGTACAGGACGTCTGTGTTGGTTGACCAGTTCAGTTTATTGTTGAGATGGACACCCAGGAATCTGTAGGACTCCACCATCTCGATGTCCAGACCCCGGATGTTCACTGGAACAGTCTGCATCGTACATGCTGCAGAGCGCCATGTACGATACACAGTTCTGAAGCCTCACAAACTGTGGTCTGTCGGTGAGGTAGTCCACGGTCCATGCGGCTAGGTGACAGTCCACTCCCGCCCGCTCGAGCTTCCCCCTGAGCAGTGAAGGCTGGATGGTGTTGAAAGCACTGAAGAAGTCAAAAAACATGACCCTCACAGTGCTGCCTGTATTCTCCAAGTGGGCCATGGACCTCTGCAGCAGGTAGATGACTGCGTCGTCCACCCCGATGTTCGGCTGGTACGCAAACTGCAGAGGATCCAGATGAGAGCTCACCAGGGGGCGGAGTTTCCTCAGCACGATCCTCTCCAGAGTCTTCATCAGGTGAGAAGTGAGGGCCACAGGTCTGAAGTGGTTGGGCTACCTGGGGTGTGCGGTCTTGGGGACAGGAATCATGCAGGAAGTCTTCCACAGTGTTGGGACCCTCTCCAGACTTAGGCTCAAGCTGAAGATGTGCAGTAGCACCTCACAGAGCTGGTCTGCACAGTCCCTCAGGAGTCTGGAGCTGATGCCGTCAGGACCTGTGGCTTTCCTTGGCTTCATCTTCCTCAGCTCACTTCTCACCTGGTCAGCTGTTATGGGGAGGCTGGGGGTGGTGCTGGAGGGGGTGGTGGTGGATGAGTGGAGGGGGGTTGATGATGCTGGTGCCATGGGACTGAGGTGGTGTGAAGAAGAAGCAGCAGACAGGTCGTTGGTTTGATGAGTCGGGGGAGGAGTGGGAGCAGAGTCAAATCTATTGAAGAACAGATTCAGCTTGTTGGCCCACTCCCTGTCTCCTGCTTCAGGTCCCCTCTCATGGCCCCTGCTATGACCTGAGATGGATTTCAGGCCTCTCCAGACCTCCCTTGCGTTGTTCTGTTGCAAAAGGTTTTCCATCTTGGTCTTGTAGCTGGCCTTTCCCTCTCTGAACTTCTTCTTCAGCTCCTTCTGCACCCTCCTCAGCTCCTCCTTGTCCCCAGATGTAAAGACCCTCCTCTTCTCCTTCAGGAGGACTTTAAGTTCCGGGGTCACCCAGGGTTTGCTGTTGGAGAAACACCGTACTTTCCTGGTGGGTACGGTGTTCTCAACACGGAAGTTTATGTAGTCCGTGATACAGTCTGTCATGGTGTCGATGTCATCACCATGTGGGCCGCTCAGTACATCCCAGTCTGTGGTCTCAAAACAGTCCTGCAGCGCCTCAGTGGCCTCCTCAGACCACTTCTTAACATACCTGATGGTGGGGGGTTGTTTCTTCACCATAGGTATGTAAATGGGCTGCAGTCTCACCAGGTTGTGATCTGAGCAGCCCAGCAGGGGGAGGGGGGAGGAGGTGTATGCATCCTTGGTGTTTGCATACAGTAAGTCCAAAGTTTTATTGTCTCTTGTTGGGCAGTTTACAAACTGGCTGAAGGTAGGGAGAGTGGAGGACAGCGATGCATGATTAAAGTCTCTAGAGATGATGATCAGAGACTGAGGGTGTGATGTTTGTAGCTTGGACACTTCACCATGGAGGAGTTCACAGGCTGCAGCGGCATCAGCCGAGGGGGGGATGTAAACAGTTAACGCGATGACATGCGAAAACTCCCTCAGCAGGTAATATGGCCGCAAACTCACAGCCAGCAGCTCAATGTCCTTAGAGCAGAGCTGCTCTTTAACACTGACGTGCCCAGCATTACACCATCTCTCATTCACAAACACCACTATCCCGCCTCCTTTCTTCTTACCACTCTCCCTCACGCTCCGGTCCGCTGTGACGAGGTGAAATCCGTCCAAAGTTACGAGCGGGTCCGGAGTGAGTTCGTTCAGTCATGACTCTGTGAACAACATGAGGCTGCACTCACGATACTCCCATTGCAGCCTAGTCAGCGCTGTGAGCTCTTCCATCTTGTTGGGGAGAGACCTCAAGTTTCCCATGATGATGGATGGGACAGTTGGTTTATAACGTCTCCGCTTTGCCCGATGCTGAACTCCAGCCCTGCATCCTCTTCTTCTCCTGCGGAGCTTAGCGGGGATGTCCGGTCTCTCCCACGGAGATGGCCGGGCTTGGCGCTGCGCCAACAGCTGTTCACGGCTGTAAACAATGGGGCTGCTGAATGGGTTGCCAGTTGCGGACTTAAAAACTCAGAAAAGTGAAAGAAAACAAAGTGCAAGAGTCATGAAATGCACATCCATGGTAGGAATATGCAAGACACAACACTGCTGAAAAAAAGAAAGACAAATAAGGTGCCAAAAAACGACACTTAAAAGGCAAAAACGAAAAGTCTGTGAGGAGCTGCCACTCTCAGGGCGCTCGAGTCACAAAAGGGCATTCAGAGAGGCTGAGTCTGTCAGAAGGAAAGATTGAAGAGGTTCACCACTCTGTGTGAGACTGCATGAGCTAATTGATCAACAGTTTAAGAAAAATGTTCCTGAGTGTTAAATGTTAAAGAATTAGTGGATGTCATCATCTGCAGTACATAATATCAACAAAAGATAAATAAAAAAACCCTGGAGAAATCGCCGTCCATTTATCAGGACTAAAATTCACAATACTGCTTTTTTGTGATTAGGGTCTTAAGTCTGACAGGACCATCAGACTCGAGACTGCTTTGCCCACAGGGAGTCCTCAATGACACAAACTTAAAGCTCCTCATAGGAACTTTAAAAATTGGCCTGCCTGCAGTCTTGACTCATCCCCCATTGAAAACATTTGGCATCATGACTCGAAAAACAGGACAAGGGAGACCCTGAAATGTTGAGCAGCTGCAATCCTCTATTGGGCCAGACTGGGATAACATTTTACTGTCAGACTCCAGAATCTGGTCTGCTTGGTTCATTGAGGTTTACAGAGAGCTAAGGACACACGATGGGAAACTTATATCTGGAACTTTTTAGAAACATTAAATTTAAATTAAGCAGTTAGAGTTTTTTTAACAAACAAATGATTTTTTCACTGAACCTGTAAAAAGGCACTGCTGCTGATGAATATGTGCTTTGTTAGGGCTCAAAGTAACAGAGTCTGGAAGAATGGGACAGATTCTTATTTTGATGATTATAAGAGTAAACTGGATCAAACCTGGTTAAAAAAACTGGTTAAACATGTTAAGGAGTAATGGTAAAATTATTTCAGGAACAAAAACACTGTCAGCAGAGTCAAAACAAAGAACAGCTCCTACATGAAAATGACTCTTTAAATTTAGAGCAAGGGAATAAAAAGGTTTCTAGTTTTTTCATGTCTTACTGAGGACACAGAGTTCTGGTTTTACATAGACTGGAGTATCTGGTTGAAAATTGGTTCCTGATGGTGGAAGATGGGGGAATGTTGTGGTGGGAGAAATGAGTCATTGAGGTCATCTGTGCTGCTTGAGTTTTATTCTCTCTCTTTTCTCTTGAACTACCTCTGTCAGCTAGACTCATGCAAGACTTTCCTCCTAGCTGCAGCAGCAGATGGCTCACTAACCCTCCAAACACTGCCTCAGTGTCACACAAATAGGGTATTTATAGTTCTCATAACGGTACTAGAGCCTTTCTGTGTTTTTTAAAACACACAGAAAAAAGGTTAAAGTTCTGAGACTGTTTTCACATAATTGCAGATAAAGATAAAGAGTTTATCTGAAAGTAAGAATCTGTCCCATTCTTCTAGACTCTGTTACTTTGAGACTTAGTGCTGGTTCAAGGTGAGAGCAGGTTCTTATAATACTGAACATGTTTGGGTTTGATATCCAGGTGTTAATATGCACCTTTGGCCTGAAACCATTCCCAGAGAGAGCAAGATAGTGGTATCACTCACCCTGACAGAATCGTAAAGATGGTGTTTCCTCTAGAGAGACTAAGTACAGAATACTGTTGTGGAGCTGCCCTGATCTCATGAGCTGTGTGTGTTCATGAGACTGACGCAGAGAGCTCTCCACCATGGACAGACCAATAAACTACCTGATTACTGACATTTTGCCCTCAGGAGGCTGATATCCCCATTACCTCTCTTATAAAACATTTTTCTCACCACCCATTAACAGCATAACAAATCTAAACAATCAATAGCTCCTGTTTTAATCGAAATCTTTGTCTTTTTATTTATTCATCACAAATCCATCTACAACATGACACAGGTTAAGATTAGCATTTGAATCATGAACCTCAGTGTTTTTCATATTTTTCTGTCAATGTCATTTCAGAAACAGAAATCCAAAAGTCCCCCTGAGATGATGTTTTACTAAGACCAGTGTTTTGATTTTTTTTTTTAATTCAACATTCATCTTTAAAATTTGTTGTATCTTGTCAAATGTAAAAACAATAAAAACAAACAGAGATATCAGAATTCAGTATCAGCCATAGGCTGACCTGCACAGTCCTCAGTGTCTGTGCCAAGTCGCCAACCACTAAGAAACTCTCAGGTCCACACCACCTTTTTACTGTGGGCAACATACTTCATCTGTTTCACCATATTTCACATTTAAATATGCTGGTGACACCGACTCATTACTCATAATACAATGTGATGTGTGTATGCAGCAGGTTGAAGTCAGGTAATTAACAGCCCTGAGCAAGAGGGTTAAAATGTCTCAGTCATGAAACCTGCAGTCTTTCTTTTCATTTAGGAAAGTGTAACAAGGACGTGTGTGTTTTGATCAGCTAAACCTTTTAAATGTGCTTACCCCCGCTCTTAAGCATTGCAATCACTAAGTGAATAATAAGTATAAGGCTGTGTCTCATTTCAGAGACACAAAACAATAGATACATACAAGCAAGATCATTTCCGCAAAATCCATCCAATGATTGCATGTTTTGTATGAAGGAGTATGAGGGCCATATATAGAATTTTTTTTAAACACTTTGAGATTTAAGTCGTGAATTTACGGGAATAAAGTCAGTAATTTATGAGAATAAAGTCGTAAGGTTGCCTGTATTTTCAAAGGAGAGTTGTTAAAATTAGGGCCATGAAGCATTTCTGTACTACCTGGATGGGAACATGCACAGGTGTCCTGTTGTAGTGCTGTGTAGTTTGTTAGTGTTTTTATCCATTTAATAGAGATAAAGTAGAATTTTGTGTCTGGTCATTCTGGTTAAACTGGTATATTATTGTTCTACCAGAGTGAAGAGTAATTAGCACAGGCATGTAAACGTTAACTTGCAGAAGGACTGAGGGCCGGTGGTGTGAGCTCTGCTAATGGGAGCAGCAGTCTGCTAATCAATCAGAGACTGTTGACCCACAGACTCTGCGACCCCTGTTCAGCTGTAAAATAGATACCTCAGTTCACCTCAGACTTGGGGCCAATCCCAGTTATTACTTTTTCTCCTTCATCTTACCACTTAGTCCACCCCTTCCCCTTGGTTCTCCTTTCTCAGGGACAAGGGTAAGGGGTGAAAACATGACCCTAAGAAATGAGATGCCACTCAGTTCCTTCTGCGTCATCATGCCTTGCCGTTTGCTGTGAATTTGTCACCTGAGTCTGACATTAGTGTAGCTATCAATAGCTATAACTTTTTTAGCTAGCTCGTCTGGTGCAAACAATTTAAAACATAGCTAATTACAGGGATTAGCAAAGGAATGAATATCTGATTGAAAAAAAAAAATCTCAATACTATAAAAATCACATCAAAATCACATGTGCTTTCAAGTGAAGTCCCAGTTTGTCTTCGTTTCAAGGGATGTGAACCCCTTGCCCTTTAGCCCTTCCCCCTCACCTTACAGAGAATTGGGACACCCCTTTGCTTGACGTGAGAACACAAAACCAAGGGCTGAGGGGCAAGACAAGGGCTAAGGGATACAACTGGGATTGGCCCTTGTTCTCTGTAGAGCAGCCTTGACTGTGGCACAGCTGTTTAGACTTGATCCTGATATAAGGTCGGGATCCTTCTTCAGACTCAGACTCTCTCACCCTCGCTGGTATTTTGTCACTTTCACATGGAGACCACTGTAGCGTCTTTTTCACTTCATGTTTGTGTGACATTTCGGTAACGCTTTATATTAAGGTCCTTGTAATAAGCATTAGTTAATAGGTAATAAGGCCCTTATAAGTGCGCACAAGATGCTTATTAACATTATTATTTGTTTATAAGACTATATATCTATTAATAGTCTCATTATAATACAGTTATTAGCAGACGTTAGGAGATTTATAATAACTTATAAGAAACTTGTTAACTGTTTGTTGATGCTTACGAACATTAATAAAATCCTCATGAGTATCTTATAACTGTTTATAATAACATTATAACAACATATATTGACTCAACTAGCCCAACCATGATGGCTTTGTCATGCCTTTATTAATTTTTTTGTTTGATTTATTAACATTAATATACACTTTATTGCTCATCTACTGTAAGTTAACTATGTACTTGTTTACAGTTAACTGTGCTTTTTGCAGGTACTGGATCTAAAGCGAGAACAATGTCTTATTAAGGCTGATAAATCTTTTATTGAGAATTATTTTGCCTTTAAGAATATTTTTTTCCTGCTTCATCAAAATAAAATGTACTTTACTATGCTCTTGTTATCAGTTAACTATGCACTTATGAACAGTTAACTATGCTTTTTGCAGCTACCAGTTCTAAAGCGAGAACAATGCCTTATTAAGTCTCATAAATCTTCTATTATACATTTATTTATGGCTAATGATTTTCACAACTTCCAGACCTGGAACGAACAATGTATGTGGTAAAGGTTGACATGATGGAAAGAAAAAATTTGCTTAACACAACAGATGTTTTAACAGTAAAGCCCAAAAAGGTTTTATTTATTGCTTTGGTTTCCAAAGACACATTTTCCTAATTTAATTATTTGATTAGGAATTTAATTAGCTTTAAAGTTTTTCTGGTTGAACTACCTTCAAAAATAAGTTTTCTGATTTTGTTTAGCAGTGTCATCTTGGCAAAGTCACTTCTTTTTTTCTCCTCTTCCGTTGCTTTTTGCGGGTCGCGTCTTTTTCCGCTTCTTTTCAGCCTACATCCGTAGCTAGATACTCATGAGGATTTTATTATTGTTCGTAAGCATCAACAAACAGTTAACAAGTTTCTTATAAGTTCTTATAAATCTCTTAAAGTCTGCTAATAACTGTATTATAATGAGACTATTAATAGATATATAGTCTTATAAACAAATAATAATGTTATTAAGCATCTTGTACGCACTTATAAGGGCCTTATTACCTATTAACTAATGCTTATTACAAGGACCTTAATATAAAGCATTACCGATGTTTCTTTTAAAGATAAACTCTCATTGACCCTCAGTCCTCCTCTATCTCCTCCTCAGCCCTCCTTTCAGGACTGGTCATGACACAGCAGGAGCAGCAGGAGTTCATGGAGAGCCTGGAGGCGGCCCTGTCCTGGATGACGGCCATCCAAGAGAGGTTGAAGGCCAATGACAACACACAGGGACCCCTGGATGCCTTGGAGGCCCGACTCAGAGAGACAGAGGTGAGACATTACACTGACCATTTGATTCACCCCTAAAACCTCTGTTTCTGCTGTAGTCCCCTGTCATCTGACTCCAGATAGAATTGGGATCAGGGAAAAACCGTTATGGTTTTGTTTTCACTTTGGTGTGGATATAAAAGATCAGACTGTTCACACTGTGAATGTGAGCATCTCCAAATATCGTAAGAATCAAATTCTCTACAATTTTTTCACAGATCTCAGCTGCAATACACTTTGAAAATTGTAACTTCCTGATTGTTCTTAAAACAAAAGAACAATCAGTGATCAGTGACAGCACTGGGCAGGCTGTCAAACAAAATCTGCTGTCTCTCCTCCACCTCCCTGACCATCAAGCTCGCAAGCCTAGAACCTCTTTTTCTTTGACATTTTTTTGCGAGCGCGGACAGTGGAGACCGTATTTAAATAAATTTACGTATATATAGGTGGGCGTTACAGGAGAGGGCGCGGCCACTCTGACATCTGCGCTCATTTCCATGCTGCTCAGGATGTATTGAGGAAACGTGTGTGGATACCGGTGCTCACACAGATGGATACATCCGGATCTTTGCCCTACGGGTCCAGCTTTCGGGATTCTTGCAACTGCCGTTTTTTAGTATGATGGATTAATTGATACACTAGGCCCAGGACAGTTACTGGGTCACCGATAAACCTGCACAGCTCTGTATACAGTGATTAATGGTAAACAAGTTATGATGAATCCTGTTGTTTGCAGTTATTTCTGTTCAAGATTGAATACCAGTAAGTATTTCTTCCTCTGGTATCCGTTTCTCTTTGCAGCATCTCTGAGCCCCTCTTTGTGCTCAGCTGGAGTCTGGGGGTAGATGAAATACCTGGTTAGAAGCAGATCAGACCAAACCCTGGTTAATTAAACTGTGTTTCTATGTGAAATGATTTAAAATCCTCTTTTTCTGTGCTTAGAAAATCCATCAGTCAGAGCATGAGGGTCGAGTGAAGATTGACATGACGCTTGTAGCAGCAGAAAATCTTTTACAGAGCGAGGATGAGGAGCTGAGAAACCAAACCCAGGCAAAGCTAAAAAACCTGAAGAGCCTGTGGGAGGAGACCTGCACCTACATCATCCACTGCCACAGGTAAGGGCCTGTAAAATGACCTGTAATCATTCATAGGTTAACAAAACCTTAAGCCAAGGGACATCCTCCAAAGAGCGTGAGGTCACAAGTGTTCACCTGTAACCTTAAACCATAAACACAATACACACATTAATACCCATCAGCCCTTTGGCCCTGCAGCACTGTGGCCCTGCAGAGCTGTGTCTGTCAGGTTTAAATCAGTAAGTCAGTTAGCTGGGATAAACATGGTCAGGTGTCTATAAAGTTGGTCAATCAATCAGTCAATCAATCAATCAACTTTATTTCTATAGCACATTTAAAAGAACCGCAAGGGTAGCCAAAGTGCTGTACAATGACACATAAAAACAAATAAAACAATCAAAGAACAAGAAAACGCAAGCAGAAATACATTAATACAAATGAATAAATAAGTGTTTAAATAAGGAGGCTCACAGCAAGTGCTGAGATGATAAAAAACAAATTAACACTACAATGCACTAAAAGCCAATGAGTAAAAGTGCGTTTTTAAAAGGGATTTAAAAACAGGAAATGAGGAGGCCTGCCTAATTTTCAAGGGCAACTCATTCCAGAGTTTAGGGGCAGCAGCAGTAAATGCTCTGTCCCCTCTGAGCTTCAGCCTTGTACTGGGGACCGTCAGTAAAAGCTGATCAGCTGATCTTATGGGTCGGGGTGGGCAATAAGGCTAGAGCATCTCCGAAATATAGGGTGGAGCAAGGTTGTTCTGGCCCTTAAAATCAAATATTAAAGGCTTAAAATGAATTCTGTACTGAACAGGGAGCCAGTGTAAGGACGCCAGGATGGGGGTGATGTGCTCACGCCTGCGGGTCTGGGTCAGGAGGCGTGCAGCAGAGTTCTGCACAAGCTGCAGGCGTGCAAGGGAAGCCTGGCTAATCCCTACGTACAAGGAGTTGCAGTAATCAAGACGGGTAGTGATACATTTAGGTTAAGAAATATAGAGTAATTATCTTTTAGTAAGAAGCTACAAATAATCTAGGTTGGCCTGCTCCTGCAGCCCCACGACCCTGAGATTGTAAGCAAGGCTGTCTTGCAGGAGCCCGAACTATCTGTCTGTTGGAACATTTAATCTCTGCCAGGGTCAAGACGAACCTAAACAAAGTGTCGTGGGGCAGACATGATATCATGAGGGGCCTTCTGGAGAATTCACACACACACACACACACACACACACACACACACACACACACACACACACACACACACACACACACACACACACACACACACACACACACACACACCTAACAGCATAAAAGAGAGTAGAAGAAAAGCAAGGGAGGCTTCCTTCGGTCTTGGTTGAGACTCTGTTTGTCATCTGTACTGATTTCTACATCTGTACAATAAAGACACCCAAGCTGTTCTTCAGATCTCATCCTGTCTCCTGTGCATTGTTTATGCTGGATTTTCCACAACACAGACAGATCCAGGAGCACAAGGACAACAAACTGTTGTCTGTTGACATGAGAATATCGTTTGACACCTTTAAAAGTGCTGACTCTGTGCTGTGGAGAGCTTTAAAACCAGACTGGAACAACTCTGTGATACCATTGTCTTCCAAGAATGGTAACAACTGGTTGTAGACAACCCTCTCTAGAATCTTGGACAGATATGGAAGATTTGAGATGGGCCTGAAACTGGCACAGAGGGATGGGTCGAGGCCAGTTTTTTTGAGTAGAGGTCGTACTACAGCATGTTTAAAATCCCTAGGTACTGTACCAGATGAGAGGCTACTATTTACAATATTAAGGACACTTGGTCAAGCGAGGGGGGGTCAAGCGAGCGAAACAAGCGAGGGGGGATGGCATCAGCAGGGGAACCAGAAGGCTTCATATGGCCGACTATGTCCTTTTAAAATAGAGAGGGAAACAGAATCAAATTTAGAAAAGACAGATGAGGGGTGCAGAGGGGCTGAAGGGTCATACGAAGGTTGAGAGATACAGGCTCTGGTTGACATAATTTTATCAGTGAAGAAGTGGAGGAATTTTTCACAGATTTCAGTGGAGGCATCAAAACCAAGAGACTTGGGAGCCTCAAGGACAGTGTTTATGGTTTTGAACAGAGCTCTGGGGTTGTTACAGTTAAAAACAATTAATTCAGAGAAATATTTATTCTTCTCAGCTTTCACAATCTTCTGATAATTCCACAGACTATCTTTAAAGATGCCAAGAGACATATGCAGTCTGTCCTTTTTCCACCTGCGCTCCGCCCTCCTGCACTCACGCCTGGCTGCACGAGTGACGTCGTTCAACCAGGGCTCGGGTGTAGGTTTGGTGCGCCGGGTCTTCAGAGGAGCGATCGTGTCCAGTGTCTGTAGACAGGTGGAGTGAAATCTCAATACCAGTTCCTCAGTTTCCACACACACAGGGGCTGCAGAGTCATCCTCGCAGAGACCAATGTAGGTAGAGGAGAACAGAGCAGGCGAGGAAGAGTTAAACATGCGACGCGGTTTAGGTGGAGTGCGCAATTTAACCGGACACTGAGTGGGGATGTCAAATAAAATCGGCATATGATCCGAGAAAACAGTGTCACAAATGTCAAGGTTAGAAACACACAGACCGTGCGAGAGCACCAAGTCTAGTGTGTGTCCGAGATTATGTCTGTAGACTTCTGTAGACTAGACACAGACTGCACGAAGTTAAAAGAGTCAATGAGATTTAAAAAGCTCCTGGAGACCGGCTCTTTAGGGCAACAAGTGTGAATATTAAAATCACCAACAATAAGGACAAGGTCGTATTTCGGCAAAATTTCGGCCAGCAATTCAGAAAAGTCACTTATAAAATCCTTATTGTACTTGGGTGGTCGATAGATGACGGCGCACAGGACAACATGAGAGGAGCCCAGTTCAAACAAGCACATTTCAAAGCTTGTGAATGAGAATTGCAGGCAGATCTGCCGGAATTTAAAGTCACTTTTAAAAATAACTGCTATTCCACCTCCTGTTCGACCAGACAACCATGGGGAATTAAAATAGCAGCAATCCGGCGGGCAGAGTTCAATAAGAGGACTGGACTCACCGGTACTCAGCCATGTCTCCATCACACAGAGAAAATCCAATCCACGGGACATGAAGAAATCCTTCAGGATAAAAGTTTTGTTTGCCAGTGATCTGGCATTGACAAGGCCGAACCTGGCAGAGATCGGCACATCCGAGGCATCAACTGGTCGTGGAGCCAGACAAAGGGCCCGTAGATGGCGGGGATTCACCCTACGCTGGCGGGGACGGATTACCTCATCCGAACCGACGACAGGTACCAGCCAGGAGTCGACAGGGTGCAACGATCGCAGATGAGGAAAGAGACCAGATCCCACTCCATTTCTCCTCAGGGAAACCGAGGAAGATCGAGCCAAGAGAGCTTTAACTTTCAGCAGCTGGCCACTGCGTTTGCCACGGCGGCGCCGGCGTTTACGCCGGGGAAATAGAGTGAAAGTGCAGCGAAAGTGAGCAGGTATCCTGGAGAGGTGAAACGGCTTAAACGTCGTATGACCACAGTGATCAGGATCTAATTTCACCAAATCCTTGGCAGAGGGGCGAAGATCCAGCAGTGTTTGGCGGTCATACACAAACAGTGAGCTGACATTACTGATAACGATAGACACAAACAGCACAAACACGAACAACGCTGACAGCGAGAGACGGCAGGCCACACACACCAGCGCCATCTTGCCTGGTCAGGTGTCAATAAAGTCTGTTGGTTAGATACTAACTCATGATTCTTGCCTGACTATCCTGAATGTATATGAAACCCTAGATGCTGTTATTACTGTACAGAAAGACCTACAAAGGTCCTGTAACTTCTCATGTGTTTTTCCTTCTAGTCGGATTGAGTGGGTGTGGCTTCACTGGGGCGAGTACCTGAAGGCCTTTGAGGAATTTGAGCTGTGGCTGATGAAACAGCATTGCAGCCTGGAAGTGGGCGTGGAGCTGCAGCTGGGTAAGATGGAGAAGCTGTGGCAGGTGGACCAGCAGAGGGTGATTGTCAGTGACATCCATGGCCAGGCAGTTCTGCTGGAGCGGCTACTGGACGAGGCTGCTGCACTGCACAACCGTACCCAGGACCCCAGCGTGGATCCCCAAACACAGGAGAGGCTGCAGGAGGCCTACAGTGATGTCCGGGACAGAGCAGAGGTGAGGACAACTAGTTTAGGGACAGAGATAGAGCCAAAGTGGAGCTAAGAATGTTAGGTGTTAGAGGCAGAGCCGAGGTGAGAATACTGATAGCTCATTAACAACAACAACTGTAGTTTCTTGTTGGATATACTTCTTTAATGGCTCTACTTGTTCTACTAACACAACAGTGGTTATAATAAGTTTTTACTTCTGACTGACTGCCCCCTTATGTCTCATGATCAGAATAGAATATACCACTTAACAAACTTCCCCTTCTCTTTAAAGAAACAATCTAAAATATTTCAAAAGAGCCAAACATTTTTGTTCCCTAAATAATGAAGAGATGAACATCAACCTAAAGCTCTAACTTAAGTATCAAATCACTTGTGGCTGGAGAAGTCTGTTGTTTTGTCCATTTAGCCTTTAAGTAGCCATTCACCTTCACAGAGAGTCCTTCAGAAGGGTGAGTGCAGAGTTCCCTTTTTTGTTTGTATGTCTGCAAGCTGCTCCCTTGTGGTGGACCACCTGACACGTTGGACAACATTTGAGTGGATAAGCTTATTTGATGCTGCTGATTTCAAGGTGAAGTCTTTTCTCTGTGACTGATAGGCATTTTTTTGTATGTAGTCACTTCTGGTAAGCTCTGAGAATAGTGTGGTTAAGAAAACACCATTGTCAATACCATCTGTAAGGGCAAGAGTCTCTCCAGCCAGTGAACTGTGAACAACTCTCCTGATTCTCTTCAACTGCCAGCATAGAGGTTAGAATCTTCCGTTCTCTCCCATCAGCAAGATTAGGTGTCCAGCTTGAGTCCCTCCATCAGGAAGATTTCCCATTGATGGATCACTAACCACCACCAGTTTTAGAGCTATCGTCTCCAAGGTGCTGAAACCTCAAGGTCACTTTGTCTGATTTCAGTTTTACGATAAATTTGTTTGCACAGTACAAGGTCTGAACAGTAGCATGTTTTGTACCAGATGCCAGCATGGCGGTGTCACACATAATAACTGGACTGCTCTGTCTTGCCACCCACAATATTTGTTGAGCATCTCAGTTTCGGTTTCTGTTAGAGGTGCCTCTATCTTTTGCCCAGCATGTTCCTGTGGGTCCACAGGAACAGGCTCATGATTTTTAATGTACATTTCTGCTGTACATGAATTTCATCCTTCAGAGAGTGAATCTCTATTCCAATATAACTGAAGCTGCTGCTTTCTTCACATCCAACCTGGAAAACTGCTTTCAAGTGAAGGATGACTGTTGGAGAATTTCTTTGTACCACCCCAAACAAAGTTATCCATGTGACAAGCAAGAACCCCTATCACATTACAGGAGTCATCCAGCCAATAGAACACTGCTGGATCAAATTTTTACACAGTGGCTCCCAACATCAGCATGGTGTCTTTTACTCGGTTATACCATTACAGGGAATGGCTAGGTCATAAACACACTTTTTTAAACTTTTATAGATAGCCCTGCATTTTGGCTTTGTGGGGAGGCCTGATGTACACATTTCAAGTTTATTCTTTGCCCTGTAGAAAGGCTGATTTAGCTTCCATAGAGTTCACCTGCCACTCATTTTGGCATTTTACAGCCATTATTATTTTCAGGAACTCTGAGGCATAGGTAGGTGAGTCTTTTTGGAACTCCTCAATATTCTTCTCTTCGAAGCCCCTTGCAACTTACCTATTTTTGGGTACAACACCAACAGAGGTTTCCTTGAGTGTGCACACCCACCTTGTAGAGATGCAGTTCTGGCCTTTATCCCTCACCTCTTCAAACACCTCATTCTTTTCCCAGTTGTTGAGTTCAGTGGGTTTGGCAGCCATAAACACATCATCATTTACTGGAAGTATTTCATCTTTTTGGTTATCAATGCACAGTTTTGCTTGCTCAGTTGTAACAGCCTGAAGATCACTCACTTGTTTCAAGTTAACTTATCTTGGAGTTCCAGCATTTTTCTCAGGATCTGTGTATTGAAGATTGTACAAGTCTTTGTGTGTTCCTGTTGCTTTTCCTGCTCTGCTGAGGATTTTTCCTGTGTGCACTAGACCACTATCATTGTCTATAAAAGTCACTACTTGTCTTGCTGTTATCTTTGGGCTTGCAGGTGTTTTCTCTGGAATTGTTGGTACTGTATCAGAACATCCATGCGGGTCCTCTCATGGCTGTTCTGTTATCTGGGAGAATTCACTGCTTTCACCCAGCTCAGGACCGACTGCGGCCGCGATCAGTGGGAAAGCTGAGCATGTTGGGCTACCCACGGTGCTCCCCACCGCCCCTGGACCACCATGCAACCGGCGCGCACCTAGGACCGGTGTGCCCCCTCCATGCTTGTGGTAGGGACCTCCATGGTCCAACACATGAATGTGCATGGCGACCGGACCTTCTTCCTCCCAGGTGCCACCATCAAGGAAGTGGAATCCTCCACCCTGCGGCTTAGCGAAGAACATAGCTCGGCCACCACGCTGGTGCTTCAAGCTGGCACCAACGAGCTCTAAAACAACAGTCTGAGGTCCTCAGACAGGATTTTACATCGCCCGTGGACCGCCTGCTAAACACAGGGAAACGTGAAGTAATCTCCGGCCCTCTACCGTCATGGGGACGTCATTAGCAGCCGCATTCGTCAGCTGCACTTGTGGCTGAAGGAGTATCCCATTTCTTGACAATTTTACAGCGTTTTTAAACAGGCCGTACCTCTTTAAGAGAGACGGTCATGGCTTTTATCAGTTAACATGGACCTTACCCTCTGCTCCTGTACTGCAGCCACCTCCTGACAAACTGTAAACACATGCACACACACACGCCCCCCACGCCCCACCCCCCCGCGCTCCCTCACACCTCACACACCTCAACACCAACACCCCCACCACTGTCAATATAAAAACAGGACACTTACACCATCAAAAACATTAATTAATACATACAACCGAAACTAAGGACTATATCTAGACCCCTCCCCCACAAGTGTTTTTAACATCCCCCTTTTACGGAATGATGAGCGCATGTTCGGCAATGACATTAAACTAGCTGTGCTGAACGTGCACTCTCTTTTAAACAAATCTTTTATCATAAATGATTTAATTTTAGAAAAACAGCTCGACTGTATCCTTCTTAAGGGGTGTTCAGACCAAACGCGACCACGTCAGGTCGCGTGGCGCCCTGGTGTGTTCACAGCAGGTCCAAAGCTGCAGTCGCAGGTCGCGGCTGGTCACCGCTGACCCGCTTCTCCCACCTTTCTTCTCCCTCCTTTTCTCCCTCATATATACATCCCGCAGCCCCTTCCAGCGCTTGCGGCACACACACACACGTTAAAACATGTAGCCTAGCAAGCAGGGGAAGTTTGCAATGTTTTCAGAAAATAGTCTGGTCACTGAAATAAATAAACAAACTTACCAGAAAGCCCGACATCATGGGCCACCTTCGCCCAGGCTTCCTCCTTGGAGATGCGGTCCCGGTAGAACGCGCACCCCATGTCATAAAGGACCGGGTGATAACTCACGGCAGTGATAAGCTGCTCCTCCACTGTGATTTTTCTTCTCCTCCTCCTTGCTTCGTGGGTGTGTTGACGTCAGCAGAGCCCTGATTGGTTGTCTCGGCACGGAGTCGCGGAAAGTCACTCCCAAAGTTCAAATATTTGAACTTTGGGAGCGACGCGATTTGGCGTCCTGCGATCTCGGGCAACGCGATGTTGGCGTTGGGTCAGTTGCGTTTGTTTATAGTGTTTGAATTTGGCGAACTGTACACTGCAGCGCTACTATAAAGCAGAAACTTTCTATCATGCTGTCAATCAATCAATCAATCAATCAATCAATCAATCAATCAATCAATCAATCAATCAATCAATCAATCTTTATTTGTATAACACTTTTCATACAAAACAATGTAGCACAAAGTGCTTTACACAGAAAAATAAAAGAAACAAAGAATACGCGACTCTACCCCACTTTGTCCCAGTCCCCTCATCCTCACCCTGCAATCCAAGCACAACAGAAACAAGCATTAAAAAGCATTAACTTGAAAAGAGCTTGATTAAGAAAAAACAGGAATATGTGCAACCTGCGTGAAGCTGGCCCCCCGCCAGGGAAATAGTCTGCTTTGTTTGTGCTCCTTTTGTGCTGGTTTGTGCCGTAAAAATTTTCATTTGTGCTGCTACAGTTTTTATGTTGTTATATATTGTTTTATAGGTCATCCAGAGGTCACCCAGCCTCCCATCGTTCCAAATGGACCTGAAATGGTGCCTTTCGTTTGTGCTTCATTTGTACTATTTTTTGCAGTAAAAATTTTCATTTGTGCTGCTGTGGTTTTTAAGGTATTACACACTTTTATTTTCAGCAATGACATTCCCAAGCCCCCCATTTGCTCCGAATCGACCCGAAAAGGTATCATTCGTTTGTGCTTCGTTTGTTCCACTGTTGTGTCGAGAAACGCACACACACACACAAAATTTATGCACCTTGCAGAAATGCGCACCACATATAGTTGACTGGTCCACAGTAATATACAGTTTAAAACCCATACAATTCTTATTTGTGGGGCTAAACAATGATCAGTAATGATCCAAAAGTGAAGTATATATCTTTTGTGTCATTTATGTTGAATAGACTTTGAGATCAGACGTTTTATTAACCAAAATGTTTCACTTGTGTGACTTTATTTCAATGCGTATAATGCAAACCCCATGATGATGATGATGATGATGATGATGATGAGAAATTTAATTGTGTTTCTCAGGTGTTCTGTAGCAATCAAGCCCAAGATATTTAGCAAATATCATCACCGAGAGGTAAACAAGAATCAAAGAGTTTTATTGTTAAGTTGTAGTGTAGTTGGCAGACGCTTAATACTAACCTTATATCAGCTGTTTTTCTGTTTGCCGAAATATGCATCCACCCATTAATTAGCTGTCAATATAATTAAATATTAATATCAATATACAATAACAAGTCATATGTTTTTCAATATTACACAAGGAAAGTCCCAAAGAATCAAAATAATAACTTTATGGGTGGATGCATTTCTCAGCAATACTAATGTCTGCCAAACATGAATCCAATAGAGCCATAAATCCCAATAAAATTATAGAGGTTAGCTAAAAGAATTTCGAGATCGACTGTATCAAAAGTAGGGGTGTAACGATACAACCAACTCCTGACTCGATAAGATTTCTGATTCTGGGTTGACGATGCGATTTGAATCATCACACATTTGTAATGATTTTTAACTGTCTCGGGATGCATTTTTACATCCCTAATCAAAAGCTGCACTCAGGTCCTGTAAAACCAAGACTGATGGTAGCTTTTCATCTACAGTTGAAACCAGAAGTTTACATAAACTATATAAAAAGGCACATAACCTTTTTCCTTACTGTCTAACATTCAATCAGATTAAACTTTTCCTGTTTTTGGTCAATTAGGATTACCAAAATTATTTTTATATGCTAAATGCCAAAATAATGAGACAGAGAATTTTTTAGACAATTTTTTCTTATTTTCTTGAGAGTCAAAAGTTTATAAACTTTTCATCAGTATTTGGTAGCTGCCTTTTAATTGTATGACTTGGGTCAAATACTTTGGATATTCTTCCACAAGGTTTTCACAATAGTTTGTATGAATTTTGGCCCATTTCTCCTGACAGAACTGGTGTGACTGAGTCAAGTTTGTCGGCCGCCTTGCTTGCACATGACTTTCAGCTCTGCCCATAGATTTTCAATAGGATTGAGATCAGGACTTTGTGATGGCCTCTCCAAAACACTGACTTTGTTATCCTTATGCCACTTTGTAACCAGTTTGGCAGTATGCTTTGGATCACTGTCCATTTGGAAAACCCATTTGTGCCCAAGCTTTAACTTCCTGGCTGATGTCTTGAGATGTTGTGTCAGTATTTCCACATAATGATCTTCCCTCATGATGCCATTTATTTTGTGAAGTATACCAGATGATTGTAAGGTATTGATTCATCCAAATTGCTTCTCTTAGGAGGAGGTTTAATAACAGAAGTTTTAAAAGCAGAATGGAATACACCTGTCTGAAAAGAACAATTTAAAATGTTAAGAAAACCTTGTTCAAAAAAGTCATAAAAGCTTTTAAAAAGGGATGTCCTCTTCTTCACACCCACACATCGGCATGTGTTTGATGGGAATGTTTTTTTGAAGGATTACAGAGACGTTCAGGTTGATGAAATGTTTGGGGACAGAAAAATTCTGGTGTAGGAGTTCTTTGATGTGTTTATTTACTCTGGAGATGAGGACTTGTTACCATCATAACCAATAACCTGCTCAGCTCACACTGTTGTGTCCATATGTGGCTTCAGCCCTTAATGTTGTGGGTTGGACTGTGGGTGTGTGCAGGGTTTAGGTGTGTCAAGGACAGATTGGGAAATGTCTGCACAGAGTCAGGATTCCTGCCGAACCTGCCATTAGTAGCAGAAATCCTGAATACAGGTCTGACCCCTCTCACGTCTGCTGGAGTCACTGCTGAGTGTTTTTGATGCCAGCTGAAGCTCTTCTGTTGTGTATGTCTTCAGTGTGTCTTTGACTTGACGAGATGAGCTGGGTTCAAACTTGAGGACTTTTTTTCTCCTCCACATGCTTTAGCACTTAAAACAAGAAATAGACCGGTTAACCAGTCAGACAGAGATATTAGCCGTGCTCTGAAATCTGGAGAAAAACCCATTTTCAACATGTAGATAGCTATCTATGTGATGTATGAACGTCATAAGAGTAATGTATTATACATCACTGTTGTTTTTTAATTTGAGCATAATATCTCACTTTTTGTTTTCTTAAATAGATGGTGATGGTAAAGATTGAGATCCAAAAGTTCCTTGTGGTACTATTTTCCTGATTATTACCCTAGCTATTATCCATCTCATTTTGTATTTATTAGAGTCCAGCACTTTTTAAAAACTGAAAGCATTGATATATCAGCTCCATCGGCCACCATGCTCTCTGGGTGTCTGGATCAAACTATGAGCAGTCAGACTGTGTAGGTTTGGTAAAGAATAAAGGAAAGTGAGTGTCTTTATTAAAATAATTAGATATTCTGATTATCTGACAATGATTTACCAGGGGACCAGTATACAACCTTTTACCTCAGCCACAAGGAAAGATCCTACTGGAGTACAGCATCTTTTCATTTGTGCTCTTTAAAGTGACAGTCAGACTTAACACACCCACATCTGTCTTCATCTGCATCCTGCCTGCACTTAAGTACCAGGGCTTGCTGGCAGAGTTTTTGTTTCCCTCCTGATGGAAGGTGTTGATTTGGATAATGTCGTATGATGTCAGAGCATCTACCACCTGCTAACCAGCAGTTTGGTAGTCTCAGTTTTTCAGGAACAAACAGCAAAGTTTCACAGGAGAATACTCAGATTCAGACTCATGGCCCTGAAACCCAAACATGAACCGTGTGATGTGTTCAGAGAGACTTTCATCTCTGCTAAAATTACCACCAGCTTTTTCTCCCTCTGCTAGGAGCGCCTGTCGCTGCTTCAGAAGATCGCTGAGGAGCACCAGACCTACCAAGGCTGCGTTCAGAGGTTCCAGTCATGGCTGCTGTCAAAGACCAAGGAGCTGACTGATCTAATGGAGAGGGAGGATACAGCTGAGAACAAGCTCCAAGCCCTGCAAGTAAGAACCAGGACAAGGACACAGCTCCAAAACTTTGTTGTATTCAGAAGTGCAAACAGGAGGAAATCTGCTTGGAGTTAACTCTGTCTGCTCCTGAAGTGATAGACTTAGACTGTGAAAGTGCTGACTGAGGAAAAAATTAACAATCTCACCCTTACTACGAAGTGTTAACTATCTTACCCTGACCAAAAAGAGTTAATTATCTCAAACTGACTGTAAAGAGTTAACTATCTAACCCTGCTAATAAAGAGTTAACTATCTCACCCTGATAAAAAATTAGTGCTGTAAATCGATAAAATTTTTTAATCAGTTTAATCACAGCGTTGCTGTGGATTAATTTCGATTCATCACGATTCAATATCATTTATTTTTTATCTATCTTCAGGGCTCGACAGTGCGACCATTTCACTCACATTTGCAACTAAAAATAGATGTGTGCGAATTGTAAAATGTATTTAGGGGCACATATGCGCATAAAAAAAATCTGCCAAGTCAACGAATATTTTTTCATGTAAATACTACGGCGAAGTTAGTTTTAGGTTGGATATTCAACAGACATGCACAGCTGATCTACCGGTGTCTTCTCACTCTCCATAACCGGGAATGTCAAGAGCAGCACGGTTAAAACTATACTGCGGTGAAGTTAGTTTTAGGTTGGATATCCAACGGACATTCACTGTGGACCTACCGGTGTCTTCTCACTCTTCATAACTGGGAATAGCAGAAATATTGAAATATTGAATTTCCCTTCGGGGATTAATCAAGTTATTCTGGTTCATATTCTAATCAACAGCAGTGCAGTTAAATCTACACTGCACTCTCGCTGTCAGCGTCGGGTGTTGAATAAGGGACCATCAATAAATTACCTGTTGATGTTCTCAAAAAAGTCTGTTTTCCTTCAATAACTTCTATTACATGTGACCAATTAACCTAAAATTGATTTCAAATAATAGTACTTATGTCAACCAATAAGACACACGTTATGTGATCAATTGTTATTGTGCCCCTAAAGTTCTTTGTGTGCTCCTTACTTTTTCAATTTAGGAGCACATGTGCTCCTTCTGAAAAAAGTTAGTGTCAAGCTTTGATATTAAAGGTGGGGTAGGCAGGATCTGAGTAAGTATCTTTTTTTGTGTGTGTTCCTCCTCTGCTACTGCTCCCACGTCTCACAGCAGAGGTTACAAAACACATACCTGCTAATTGGAGAAACAAGGTCAGAGAAGTTAGAAAACACTCATGAGTACTTTCTCATGTGCTGTGTAACAAGAGGTTAAAGCAGTTCATAGTTGTAGGAAACTTTTCCATTTGGAATCTGAGTAAGACTATTGATAATTTCTATATACATTTATACACATTATTCTGACACTCACCCTGCCAATAAAGAGTTAAATATCTTACGCTGACTATAAAGAGTTCACTATATCACCCTGACTATAAAGAGTTAACTACATCACTGGTACCATAAAGATTTTACTTAATCACTGTGACCACAACAGTTAACTGTTTTAGAGTGACCAAAAAGAGTAACATATCTCATCCTGATAATAAAAAGTTGACAATCTCACAGAAACTTTAAAGAGTTAACTAAACCACCTTGACTATAAAAAGTGAACTCGCTTGCCCTGACTTTAAAGAGTAAACTGTCTCATCCTGACTATATAGAGTGAACTCACTCACCCTGACTGATAATAAAGAGTTAACTATCTTACCCTTACCATGTGTGCTCAGGTGTTTCATTGTGACAGGAAGTGGGGTCAAAAGTGTCACTGTTCATTGTTCATCTGTTACAGTACAGCCTTGGTCAGCGCCCTTACCTGTTGCCTCTCCTTCCTTTGTTTCAGGCCCTGGATGACGGCGTGGCGGGTGAGGAGAAAACCCTGCATCACATCGAGGGCCTGGCTGAAAGTGTGAGAGGGAACACTTCCCCTGCAGGGGCGGAGGTGGTGTTGGAGGAGGCGGAGGAGCTGAGGCTGGGCTGGCAGAGGCTGAGGCAGGGTCTATATGAGGCAGAGGATGGCCTGCGCTCCAGTTTGGACTCCCACAGCCAGTACCTCACTCGCTGCCAGCGTCTTGGGGAGGACATTGGTCGGCTTAGGGGGCTGTTGCAGGGACTAGACCAGGAGCTGGAGGAGGGCCGGGAGCCCGGAGATTGCTCAGACCACACAGAGGAGCAGATGGTGGGCCAGTGGAGGAAGTACACGGTGGGTTTTTCTTCTTTTTGTAGACTGGGGGAAATGGGAGAAAGAACATTCAAAATCACACAGTTCTAATTAAGAACAAAAATCTAAAACTCAAGTGAATGTAGATATTGTTTATTTGCAGACTTGAACACTGGTGCCTTAATATAAACATGTGTGTTTATACCTGAGAGCCTTACTGAAGACATAACTTTATATGGAAACAGCAGCTCTTGACAGATCAAACTTGAACTTCTATGCACTAAAAAAAATGCCCGGAGGTCCTGAAAGACTGAGAATGCTGTTAAGAACAAAAACAGGAACTAAGGCTGGCATGTCTTATTAGATCAGTACATTCCATAAATTTAGAACCAGTTACAAGCTAGAGCTGTTCTGGTTATCCGAGCCTGCTATTCTTGCATTGATTTAATTTCATTACTTTTTGGACCCAAACTGTTCTGGGCTGTAAACATGTTTATTTCTGCTGTGATGTTTTTTACATGGGGTTCTATGGGGACAGACTTACTAGTGGACAGGAGAAGATCTGCTGGTTTAGCACTCTTTGATGGGGTTGATGAGAAAAGACCAGAAGGTTTTTTTACTGTTCGTTTTATTGAGGTTTGAGTATTGCTCTATGCAGACTGACACTGTGCTGACAGTGTCAGTCAGGATCTAAAAGGTTTGTTTTGTTGCTTTCCCTTCCACCTGTCCAGGTGCATTTAGACTGAAGTAAAGCAGCTTCCCTTAAAAGAATCAAATCAAAGCTCAGGCTCTGCTTGTTGTCTTTGCTCTGATTTGTCCTGGTGTTTTTAGGTTTATAAAGACCATTTTTCATCTTAAAGCAGAGCTCTGACTACACACTAAATCATTACTGGAGGCAGCCTCTCTACTCTCTCTGTGAATCAACATCACCTATGACATGAACATGATGTGAAGCTGCTGCAGGTCCTCACACAGATACTGTGATGTTCCTGGTGTCAGTGTGATGGTCAACGTGTGGGTTTAGACAGAGCTCTGATCTGCCTAGACATGTTTGGATTGATAATAAACTCAGAGAATGTCATTCTACACTGTGTGCACAATTATTAGGCAAGTTGTATTTTTGAGGATAAATTTTATTTTTGAACTACAGTGCTCTTGGTCAATCCAAAATGTTAATAAACCTCAAACTTTAATATTTAAGGGAGTAAAAGTAAGATTTTGACTTCCTTAGGAGAATATCTATGTGTGCACAATTATTGGGGGCAGCTATTAGTGTGCAGAACGATTATGCAACTAAATGAAAAATGAAAAATTTTCCATCTCACTTGTTTATTTTCACTTGTTAAAGTGAGAATGATAAACAAACAACTCAATTTACAAATAAAAATTGTTGAAATTAAAAAAAAAAAATCAGTGACCAATATAGCCACCCTTCTTTTCATTAACAGTCATAAGCTTTCCATTCATGGAGTCTTTCAGTTTCTTGATCTGTTGATGATCAACTTTTTGTGTTGCAGTAACCAAAGCCTTCCAGACACTGTTCCAGACACTGTTCAGAGAGGTGTACTGTCTTCCTTCATTGTAAATTTCCCGTTTAAGAAGGGCTCACAAGTTCTCAACAGGGTTTAGGTCAGGTGAAGAAGGAGGCCACGTCATTATTCTTTCGTTTTTTAAGGCCTTTACTGGCGAGCCACATAGTGGAGTACTTTGTTGCATGCAATGGAGCATTGTGCTGCATAAAAATCATGGTTTTCTTGAAAGATGCAGACTTTTGCCTGTACCACTGCTTGAAGAAAGTGTCTTCTCAAAACTGGCATTGGATTTGGGAGTTGATTTTAAGTCCATCTTTAACCCAAAAGGTCCAGCTAGCTCATCTTTAATAATACCAGCCCATACCAGTACCTCGCCTCCACCTTGCTGGTGTCTGATTCGAAGTGGAGCTCTGTGCCCATTACTGATCCAGCCACGGGTCCATCCATCTGGTCCGTCAAGAGTCACTCTCATCCCATCAGTCCATAAAACCTTTGAAAAATCTCTCTTCAGATATTTCTTGGCCCAGTCTTGACGTTTTAACTTGTGTCTTGTTCAGTGTTGGTCAGGTTTCAGCCTTTCTTACCTTGGCTATGTCTCTGAGCACTGAACACCTTGTACTTCTGGGCACACCAGGTAGGTTGCAGTTCTGGAATATGACAGCACCGGAGGACAAGCGGTTCCTGGTAGCTTTATGTTTGAGTCTTCTCAAATCTTTGGCAGTTAATTTGCGTCTTTTTTTCTTAACACATTTCTTGCGACCCTGTTGACTATTTGCATCAAAATGTTTGCTGATTCTTCAATTTCAAGAGTGCTGCATCCCTCTGAAAGACTTTTTACATTTTTTGACTTTTCAAAGTCATTTAAATCTCTTTTTTGGCCCATTTTACCTGAGGAAAAGAAGCTGCCTAATAATTATGCACACCTTGATATAGGGTTTTGATCTCCTTAGGCCCCAGCCTCCCTCATTACACTAATACACATTACCTGATATGCTTATATCCAATAAGCATTCAAGTTTATACAGCTTGGAGTTGGAAAAAATATGCATAAAAATGATGATATGATCAAAATACTCACTTGCCTAATAATTGTGCACACAGTGTAGGCCTTTGTTTCTATAACCCTCGCTCCACTGTCCACCACCTGTGTGTTTATACTCTGCTCATTTCTTCACTCTGACTCCATTGTGGAGTCACTGTAATGGAGATGATTTTGTCCTCATGTGCTGACATGCAGACTCACATACCTGTCCCCTGCTCAGTGGGAACAGCCCTGTCAGAGGGGCTCCCTTGGTACTCTAAGGTTCTGGATGCCTCACAAAGGAGCAGCCATAGGCAGAGTATTTTCTCTATCTGAGCAGGTTTATCCTCCCCCTCCCCCTCCTCCTCCTACCCCTTCTCCTCTGCCTCTGGATGGAGATAAAAAGCATCTCTGTGAGGAGGAAGGTGGGAATAAAAATGCACAAATTGCTTTTATTACACAGTAGGTTGTGTCATTTTTATGTATGAAACATAAGCTTTTAGCTAAACGTATTGTATATATTTCATTGTGCTGGGTGCAAATCACTTGAGTTGAGATGTTTTCCTTTAAGAAATTTGCTACATTTCATAATCTGAATTCACTTATGCGTATACTAAGGCACCAATAACTGTTTCAGATGTTAGGTAGATGTATTTATGACATTTGAGAAAGATTTTGTCTTGCCAGAATCAACATAGCAGTTTCTACAAGCAAAAACAACAGCACCATATAATTGTTTTTTGTGTTACTCACATATATGTACATTTCTGGCTGGTGACAAAAGTCTGACGGATAGTCTGAGTAGATATTTTAACCCAAAGTCCAGAATGGTGTTGTCTATGCAAAAATGCATTGAACAAGTAGCACTAGTGTAGTTGAACGAAATTCACTTTTGAGGCACTTTTTCCTTTGTCCCAATACAGCCTATGACCTCGAGCGAAGTTTCTTTCGCAGAGTTTCAGATGCCGTGGACGTGGATGCATCGGCGATGCTGCCTGAAGGGTTTGACTGACCCGCGGCTGCATCACGTTCTTGTTTCTCAAACGCCTTTTGCAAATAAATCGCTGGTAGCATGTCATGTGAAACCCAGCGTCATCAGGAACATTGTCAAAGTCGATATCAAGGCAATGTTTATAAGTTTCTGCAAGGTCCTTTGTCTCACCCTGTAGAGAAAGCCACTTCCTAATACTAGTTCTGTAAGTTTCCCAACGTGTCCTTGTAAAGTCGAGAACGTCTTCACTCTGGACAGATGATAGATGCAAATAGCATCGTTTCGTTCCTTTTTTATACACTTTTGAAGGCTGATTTCTTATTTTCCTTTCCTTTTCTTTTCTTCCTCTTCGCTTGTCTTGCTGCTCGATGCGCTCACAGCCATGTTTGTGTATTTCTGATACTATGGCAAAGAGACTCGGCTCCTATTGGTCCACGTGACAAAAATCGCTTCACCCCTCTGCATATTCGATTGCGCGTGTGCAAGTATCGCTACGCCGCAGAAAGGAAATAGTTCGACACCAAAACACTGATTACTAAAAATCGACCGGATGGCATGAGTAGATATTTTTTTTTAGTACTTACTATCAATAGAGCTATTTTATGAAACACAGTTTATGTTGCCCCACCGAAGTGGAACGAGATTCACTTTCTAAGCACTTTTTCCTCTTTCCCAATACAGCCTATTGGGATTTAATGCTAGAAAGCTGAAACTGCAGCCACTGTTATCCATAATAGTCGACTTTAAAGCCGATGTACACATTTTTTTAAGGAGGCATAGTTCGGCAACAGTACCCCCTCAAACGTGAGAAGGGCTTTTTGCAACACCTACAAATGGGCTCCTACAAAGCAAACTATTTACAGTTTTGATGTTATTTCTCCTCTAGTCTGTAAGAGAGACTTTGAGGAAGATCATATTAAAAAATAGTGTGAAGGTCAAAGGGTGTGGCCATGGCGCCCCTTAAAACTTTGTTGTTTTTCCACCATAACCAGCAACGCTCAAAGGAAGTCACAAGTAACCAGCCATCGCAAATGTGCTGCTGCTATGGAGCGCTTTTCACTGAGTGGCAGTCTGCCGGGGAGGCAGTCCACAGGAGTGGTGATGCGAAACTGCTTGGGCCTATCAGTGCCCCTTAGGTGCCAGTTCTTTTTTAGGTGTTCTCCTTTTGGAGTTTTTGGGAGACGTTTTCATTAGCAGGTTGACTTACTAGAATTCAGAACTAGCTCTGACAACCCAGACCTTTTTTTCTTTACTAGAGTCTTTCTGATTTATTATGGGTATACACTCTATTTTGGTTATCTTGATCCCCTTAATATTACTGATGACACAAGTGTAAATGGCATTTTGGGTGTCTATCCCTTTAATCATATTTATTCTCTGTCAATTAGCTTGTGTTAATTAGTTTTTTGTCAATTGAGCTCTGATGTCATGACAAAGGTGCCTTCAGGTGTAAGGCCACCTCTTATTTAACATGTTTTGCCTGATGAAGGTCTAGTACTGAGACGTTGCTGATAAATGTTATCTTTCTCTGTAAGTTGGACAGTATGCATGTGTTTCCCTTTAAATGAATTGCTGGATGCCTTTCTCTCCGATGCGTCTGTCTTGAATAAAAGATGCGCAAAGTTATCTCTCTAATGTCAAACAAAAGCTTTAAATATGAGTTTTTAAATAAATTGAAGCAAGAAAGTTAAAGTTGAAAAGTTGTTCAAGAGTAAATTCACATAAAAGTCAAAGATTAGATTTCTCTGATTCTGCACACCTTATCTCCTCAGCTTGACCTCCTTCAGGTTTAAGCCTCAACTCTGGAATCACCAGCGGGATATCACCTGAGGATCTCAGACAGCGGGACAGTTCATATGGAGTCAGCATTTCTATAATATAACTCAGGGCAAGACCCAGACAAGCTTTAAAAGTGATCAGTAATATCTTCAATTAAATTCAGAGAGCCAGCGGAGTGAGGCAAGGAGAGGAATGATGTGATGGCTTTGGTTCAAACCAGTAAGAAGCCAAGCTGCTGTGTTCTGGAGAAGATGGAGGTATGAGAGAGAGTTGTGGGTAATACCAGAGAGAGGAGGGAGTGACAGGCGTCAACCGAGAGATGAGGAAAGCATGGAAGACTTTTTCCAGGTTTACTTAAGACAGAAGTGATTTGATCCTGAAGATGGATCATGATTGGACTGTTTTTATGATGTAATGATGAAAGGTTAATTCTGAATCAAAAATTACACAGAAATTTCTTGTAATATATGTGACGTTTGAAAAAAAAAATGGGCCAAGGGAGTCTATCCGTAGTTGAGGAGTCTGATTTCTGATTTCGAGTTATTCAGCCAAAGGGGACTTTGAGCAATCCAACATTTAATATTGCTGACACAGTGGGACCCCAAACAGTGAATAAGAATAAGAATAAGTTTATTTTATCCCCGAAGGGAAATTCAATTGTCTGTAGTCTCAGTTGTCATGTGTCAAAAAGTTATCTACTATTTACAGAAGAGTTGTAAAATCTGATGGCTGTGGGCACAAAAGATCTTCTGAATCTTTCTGTCCTGCATCGAAGAGAGAGGAGCCGTCCACCACCTTGGTCTTGAATCACCAAGTCTCAGCAGTAGGTATATCTCTGTGTCATCTGCATAGCAATGGAAAGATACCTTGTGATGATGAATGATGTTACAAAGTGGGAGCAAATAAATAGAGAATCAAAGTGGACCCAAGATTGAACTTTATGGCACACCACAGGTAATATTAGAGAAGAAGGAGGCAGAGTGGTTTCCTGTCTAAAGGTTAGGAGTGAAACAGCTCAGAGCAGCACCTTGGAATAAACATTCACTCTGACAAACATCTCTGGTTGATCTTCTGGATTCTTATTGAAGCAGGGTGCTGTAGAAGAAGCTGACTTCTTCTCTGATGTTGCTTCATGATGAATCTTGTCCACAGAAACCTTGTTGAAGAGGGTTATTATAATTATTCTCTGTACTTTTGCACCATGGGCTGGATGAAAACATCTTTTTGATTGTTTGATGTTGTCATGTTATGTTGTCACTTCCTGTGTCAGACATCTAGCTGTAATAAAAGGTGTGTGTGTGTGTGTGTGTGTGTGTGTGTGTGTGTGTGTCATTGAGCTGCAGTCTGAAAACTCTGAAAGGTCTGAGCTCAGGCTGAGTTTGGTCTGACTTTAATCAGCAGGTATCTGTTCCGTGTAACGCACTTACACTTAGAGTAAAGATGCTCTTCACTGTGTGTCTCAGCTGTCAGATCAGTGCATGGGGTTTTTCCATCAGAGTGTAACAGCAGCTGCAGCTGACAGAGGTAATCATAGATGTGCATCATGTAGCCTCACCTATTAATATCTGCTCTCTCCAATTCAAAGTAATGTCAGAGATTCTCAGTCTTATCTGCAGCTCAGTCTGAGCTTAGTCTTTACAGGACTGAGCTGTTTCTCCTGCTGCTTTAACAAACAACAGATATGAGCTGCTGGAGGAATAAAGAGAGTGAAAGAGGGTCAACTGATGGAGGAGTAACAGCTACAGAGAGATACAAACAGAATAGAGTGAAATCAGACCTCAGGGCTTACAGGGGGAAACTTCACATTTAATAACTCTGGAGGAAACTCACACTCTTCTGTTTTTTTCTGTTGTGCTAATGTTATTTCTCTATGTGATGCAGGGAGTGAGGAATGCTCTGGCAGGTGAGGAGTCTCAGGTGGAGCTTCTCAAAGCCCAGCTGAAGGAGCTTTTCAGGTTCTCAGAGGACTCTCGACACCTGTCTGATGATGTCCTGGCTGTGGTCAAAGAACATCAGAGGTATGTGACAAAGACCTGGCAGCATTTAAAACCATGAAACTTAAAGTATGGTCTGATTGGATTGGATTGGATTGGATTGGATTAGATTGGATTGGATGTAGGGCCATGGGGCAAACAAACCAAGGCACTGGCCTTTTCAAAATTTCCCAGAGAGAGTTTTCTAGTATTTGTTATATTATCCTTTCTTCCATCCTCTAACACTTATTCAGAGTCGGGTCACGGGGGCAGCAGCCCTAGCAAGAAAGCCCATACTTCCCTCTTCGTGGCCACTTTGTCCAGCTCATCCGTAGAGATCCCAAGGCGTTCCCAGGCCAGCTACATAATGGCGGTGGACGGCTCCTCTCTCTTTGCTGCAGGACAGAAAGTTTTAGAGGATTTTTTGTATCCACAGCCATCAGACTTTATTACTCTTGTGTAAATAGTAGATAACTTTTAGAGACATGTCTAGTGAGATAACAGACAATTGAATTGCCCTTTGGGGATTAATTAAGTTCTTCTTCTTCTTATGTTTAGGAGAATACTAAGATGAGAAGACGATAGGAAAGAGGTGTAAAATACGGTAATTTTTTACACCGTGAAAAACTACCGTATACTTGACAGATATGGTTCATGCAGACTGTCAGGATGTGTGTTTATGCAAAAATTTTGGACGTGTGTCTGCATAGGGGTAAGGGTAACACTTATTATTGCTGTATGTCCAGAGGGGTATATAGGGGTAAATATTGACAGCATCTTCAAGTATTGTTTTAAATTATTATATAGGGGTAAACGACGAATAAATTGGGGAGTCTGTTGACTCCGTTGTATGTATAGCCTTGTTAGCTCGAGGCTATTGACTGTATCGTAATAAAGTCCCCCCCCCCTCTTTGTCTCAATAACATCACTGAATCTCTGCAGCTCTCCCTCCGTGTGTGTGTGTGTGTGTGTGTGTGTGTGTGTGTGTGTGTGTGTGTGTGTGTGTGTGTGTGTGTGTGTGTGTGTGTGTGTGTGTTCATCGGTAAAAAAAATAGACCGACAAGCAACACCGTCAATCTTTTTCTAATTTATTGAAATTTACTTTATTTTGAAAATTGACCGGATTCTCTCGCATCTCCTTCCTGACTTCCTGTCTGGTCCGATCTGCTCTGTTGAGCTTTACATCGGCGCGCGCGGCTCGCGCCAAAAATAGAGAGAAGCGGAGCAGCCGCGCTCCAGAGCGCGAGCCGTTCCGCGCGCGGAAGCGCCGCGCGCGTGCTGTGTGAACAGTCTCATAGGTTAACATGGGCGCCGATCTGAAACTCTGTGCGCGGCGCTTCCGTTCCGCGCGCGGCGCTTCCAGTGTGAACCAGACGTTAGAGAGCACAGCTTTTCTCCTCTCTCTGTCAGAGGGTTAGGTGCATCGATCACCGCCTCCTGATAAACAGAGTGCTGAAAATACAAGATAAAATCTGATACAACCTGTGGAATAAATTGCTCGTTCTTACTTCATGTCCAATCAAATCACCTCAGGTGTGTCTTTAAGGAGCTGTGGAGGATTGGGGTTCATCCTGTCATTGATTTGTTTCCATGTGTGTGCAGGACTGCTGTCAACAGCTGATGTCATGATTCAGATAAGAGAAAGCTTGTTGTTCTCTGTAATTTGCTCCTCTGAGTCTGCAGAGGCCTGAGAGCCCAGGCTCAAGGGGATTGAAATGTCATCTCTGTTCAGTCAGATCTGTTATTATCTTCCAAGCCAAGCAGTCCCTGTGCTTTAAATTAACAACCTAGGGACATCTAAAGAGTGATGGCTGTATATAGAGGATCTGAAATCATACAGCAAAAACAAAGAACATATTAACTGTCAGTGAATTATAATCCAGGGAGGCAGAGTCTCCTCCAAGGTGGTCTGTTTGAGGTTTCTTCATTTTAGCATTTAGTAGAGAGAGGTTATGTGCATTTCAAGAACAGAATGAAAATATAATACTTACCAGTAAAATATGAGTAAAATATTTGTCTGATAGTGTCACACTCTGCTGTGTTTCTCATGCTGATTCTCATTTACCACCCTGCCACACCTCCGCATCAGCGCTGATTCCTCACACCTGTGAATGTCAAACTGCAGGTCCTCACTGCTTATTAGTCAGCCAGTATTTAAGCCGCTCTGTGTCCCTCATTCAGTGCCAGATTGTCTTCCCAGCATGCAAGACTCTCCAGCATTATTTCTTGGATTGACTTCTCGATTTCGACTCCTGCTTGCCTCCGACTACGGTCCAACATTCACACCTGACAGTACAATCTGGCCAGAAATGGACCCAGCAGGCAACCCATCACCCTTGGACAGACTGACCAGGATTGAGAGCGTTTTGCAGCAGCATGAGACTATGTTGTCTTCTGCTGCCTCAGAAGCCAGACAGGCGGCCTAGGCTAATGAGCAGACTCTCTCTGCACTAGCTACAAAATTACAGCAATTTACGGACTTCATCGGCTGCTACCCATTCCTCGCCGGCTACCCCAACTCCAGCTCCAGTTCCAGCCCTAGCTCCAGCTCCAGCTGCAGCTCCAACTGCTCCTCTGTCCAGTGATACTCTGGAGCCCCGCGTAGGAGTCCCAAAACGTTATGATGGCAGTCCAGAGGCTTGTGGCCCCTTCCTGACAAAATGTCCGTTGCTGTTTTCCCTTCAGGCCTCAGAGCAGGCAAAAGTTGCTTTCACGATTAACCACTTAACAGGCAGAGCTTGTCTTTGGGGAACTGCTGAGTGGGAGAGACAATCTGAAGCCTGCTCCACATTCCAGAGTTTTGCTCAGGAACTACGCAAGGTTTTCAGCCTGGGCTTTTCCAGATCAGAGACTGCTCGAGGGCTCATGGGGCTGCGACAGGGGGAACGCACAGTGGCAGACTATTCAATTGACTTCCACACCAGAGCCAGCCTCAGCAGCTGGAATCCTGCCGCTCTGGTGGACGCTTTTCTCGATGGTTTGGCCGAGTATATTAAGGATGAGCTTGTTTCCCATGATGTGCCCTCGTCACTGGGTGCAGTAATAGAGCTTTCCATCCAGATTGATCTCTGTGTACGACGAGAGAAATGTCAGGGGTCCTCTCATCATCCTTCCATCCAGTCCAGAGGGCATGCCAGGAACTCTACACCTTCATCAGCTCAGCTGCTGGAAGAACCTGAGCCCATGCAATTGGGCCGTGCTTCCCTTACTCCAGAGGAATGGGAGTGATGCAGGCGATCTAACCTCTACATGTACTGTGGTCAGGCCGGTCACTTCAAATTCACCTGTCCAGTAAAAGCCAAGGCTCACCAGTAGTTGGGGAGATACTGGACTGAATGGCATCACCATAAAGAACCGCTACTCTTTGCCTCTCATGTCTTCTGCCTTTGAACTGCTTCATGGGGCCACAGTTTTTACCAAGCTTGACCTTCGTAATGCCTACCATCTGGTCCGCATCAGTGAGGGAGATGAATGGAAGACGGCCTTCAACACTCCATTTGGGTACTACAAGTATCTGGTAATGCCCTTCGGCCTCACCAATGCCCCTGCCGTCTTCCAAGCCCTGGTCAATGATGTTCTTCGAGACATGCTCAACCATTGTGTTTTTGTATACCTCGATGACATCCTGATCTTCTTTAAGACCCTGAGTGAGCATATCCACCACGTCCGAGCTGTACTCCAACGTCTCCTCGAGAACTCCCTCTTCGTTAAAGTAGAGAAGTGTGAGTTCCATGCCCCATCGGTCTCCTTCCTGGGTTACATTGTCATCAAGGACAGCATCCAGATGGATCCAGCAAAAGTCTCAGCTGTCACTTTCTGGCCTGTTCCAGACTCCTGCAAACAGTTGCAGCATTTTCTGGGTTTTGCCAATTTCTACCGCCGCTTTATCTACAACTACAGTTCTGTTGCTGCTCCTCTCACTGCCCTAACCAGCTCTAAGGTGCCATACCAATGGAATCCTGATGCCGATGAGGCTTACAAGAATCTAAAGTCTAAGTTCACCTCAGCACCCATCCTTCAAGTACCAGATCCCAATCAGCAATTCGTAGCATTCATCATCACGTGGTTGAGGTGGATACCTCAGATGTGGGGTTCGGAGCTGTCCTCTCTCAAAGATCAGCTGCTGACCAGAAGCTCCACCCCTGTGCTTTTTTCTCAAGGCTTGTCTTCAGCAGAGAAGAATTATGACATTGGCAACAGAGAAATACTTGCAGTGAAGGAGGCCCTAGAGGAGTGGTGGCACTGGCTGGAGGGCACAAAGGAGCCATTCTTGATCTGGACTGACCATAAGAACCTCAAGTACCTCCGCACAGCCAAGAGACTTAATTCCCGTCAGGCCCGCTGCTCTCTATTTTTTACAAGATTCAACTTCATCCTCTCCTACCTCCCTGGTTCTCACAACACCAAGGCAGAGGGAAGAGGGCTTTGCCGAAGCCCCTGTTACCATCCTTCCCCCTCCTGTGTTGTTGCCACTCTGACCTGGGACATAGAGGAGAGGGTGAGAACCGCCACCAAGGGACAGCAATGTCCCAGCGCCTGTCCTCCCAACTGCCTCTATGTTTCTGAAGCGCTGAGGTCAGATGTTCTGCAGTGGGCTCACTCCTCCAAGCTTACCTGTCACCTGGGTTCCCAGCGCATACAAGATTTTCTACTCCAGCGCTTCTGGTGGCCCACCTTGGAGATAGATACCCGCAAGTACATCAAAGCTTGTCCCACTTGTAATCAGCAAAAGACCTCCCGTCAGGTCCCTGCAGGATTCCTTTAGCCACTCCCAATACCACATCGACCCTGGTCTAATAACTCCCTAGACTTTGTCACTGGTCTCCCTCCCTCTGATGGTAACATGGTCATCCTCACTGTGGTTGACCGCTTCAGTAAAATGGCCCGCTTCATACCCATCCCCAAGCTGCCATCTGCTAAGGACACTGCCAAGCTAGTCCTATTCCACGTCTTCCGCCAGCATGGTCTCCCAGTACATGTAGTGTCCGACCGGGGCCCCCAATTCGCCTCTGTCTTCTGAAAAGTGCCAACCAGAAATACACAGAGGAAAAAACGACAAATACTCAACCGGAAAAAACACATGAAATTTATGTTACTTTGGGATGGACGTAACAATTTATGTTACGTCGACCCTAGGGGGATACTAGGGGCAACAGAGAGTGCGACCATTCCTTTCTCACTCCCAAAATAACCAGCACAAAGGGAATCGGAAACCAGGTTTTAACCTTACAAGAAAAAAAGAATTTAAATAATGGTTCTTTTCAAATTTACAAAAGCTCTCAGGGCGAAAATAGCAAAATAACAAAATAACAAACAAAACACTCTTATAAATAAAATATCTTACCTCCTCTCTATAAAATAAGAAATATATGCAAACCTAGACTGACTTCCTAACCTGAAAAACTAGAGAAAACAACACTGGAGCTATCCTCCCCCAAATTCTCAAACGAAACACACACTATTGCAATTCTCAATATCACATACAAGTTGGAGGTGAGGAAGGAGGGTCGGCGTCTGCACTGCAGTGGCCTTTCTGTAAAACAGCCACCACCACCTCTCAGCCAATCATGGCCAGGCATCCGATTCCACTCCTCCAGTCAGTCGCTGATTTGTGCTTGGCTGTTATCCAATCAGGAGCGCCCCTCTACACAAAACAAGCAAATAACAATATATATGACCCATAGTCATAACACTTCAAAAAGAAGAAATAACTTTGTGATATCTATATCATATGTCAGTTGGTGATCAGCTGCTCATGTTTGCAGTCTTTCTGAAATGCTTTGAGGGGTCTGAGTCACTCTGTCTCATTATGCTCTTGATGTGACTGAGCCAGAGCTGCAGAGCTGCACACTCTTCCTAATATCTGGACTATCTGGTCTCACACTGATGAAGCTCAGCTTTGCTTTGAGTCTTAGTTTCAGACTGTGATTGATTCCCTTCAGACCCAGGTTCTTTAAAGCTCTGCTCAGTGATTTTAATGTACAGCAGAAGGTTAGGAATGGATAGTCTATAGAGACAAAGACATGAATGGGTGGTATACAACTGTTCTGTTGTAATGGTGTTTGCAGTGAAATATCTGCTGTCTTCTTGTGTTGCAGTGTGAAATGCAGGGCAACTAGGCTGTGCTCAGAGTCTGAGTCTGGCCTAAGGAACATCCTGCAGGACCCTCTGCTGGTCTATAGTCAGTGGAGCCTCGTGGTCTCTCAGGTCCTGGAGGCTTCTGCTGGGGTGACTGACTTCTCCCATATTGCCATGCTGGTCCAGAACATCGAGGTAAACTCTCATCAGCCTGTTTTTTTTTTTTCCAGACTCACTGACTTTTTTTCAGGGTTAAAATGTGACAGAGGTGGAGGTCCCCCTGAAGGTGCTGCTCTCTTCTTCTTCAGTTCAGGGAGTTTAAGCCCAGAGTTCAGCCATCCTGCAGAATCAGAAACAGCCCAGTCAGAGGTCAGCAGGTCAACCTGGAGGAGGTTTCAGGGTCTGAAATGTATCGTATTTCACCTTTTAGATGGTTGACTGTAAAAACAGGGACAGTGACTGTCTGACATTGGCCATGTTTGCATGTGCAAAATTTCTTGATTGAATTAAAAATTTGAGGGATTGGAAAACCCAAATCCACTGTTCATATGGGCACAAAATCAAATAATCCGATCATGATGTGCATATACATGCACTAAGCTTTAATCAGATTAACAGTTGGCTCCTTAGACAACTATGTGTGGTGTATTTTGAGGACCCAGAAGCAGACACAGAGGCAGATAGCAAATTAAGATGTAAATTTAATGTCCCATTCAAAGGTAAAGGCAACAGAGAAAGTCTGGTTGGCTGGCTGGCTGTTGTGTGGGCTGGAGACACTGCAGAGAAAACAGAGGAGATGGAAGTGAATAGACATACACTAAATCACAGGGAGCAAAGTTAGCACTTATCCAAAAAGGAGGCCAGGAGACGCAACCAAAATACAACAAAAGGAGGAGGCGTCTCACCACACTATGCTATAGTTGTATAGCATAGCTGTCTAATTTCGCTAAAATGACCGCAGAAGAAGAGTTGCATTTACGCCCATGCTGTCAACAAACCAACAAATGCCGTAGTGTCTCACTTCATGCGGTTCAGGACTTTTCCTTCCACTCAAAATGGACCTGAGCCAGGTACTGAGAGCAGTTCTACTGCTCCTAGAATACATGATCATCAAGCAGGCCCAGCAGCACATACTGATTCTGCGTTACATGAGAAGACTCTATCCAGCAAGAAAGTTGTGTCAGACACAGACCAATCGCTCATGAATCCTGCCATGTTTATGTCTGGTTACTTACAGCAGAAATGCGTCATGTTGACGTCGGGGACACATACGCAGTCCGGTTAGTTTTGCCCCAACTAACCGGGTCACGATTGAGATATGTTTTTACATGATGCGTTTTTATTCTGATAGAGCCTTTATTCAGATTACTTATGCCCCTTTGAAAGCAGCTGGTGTTTCTGTATGACCTCATATATAGAAACAGACCCCTGCTCATTAACAGGTCACTGTGAAAGCCTAACATCTGCTTTGAGTTAATATTGTGTTAATAATAATAATATATAAAACTAAAAATAATATAGTGTTCAGAGCAGCTCTCCTCTGACCTCACCTGTGTCAGATCCAACATTCATACCTGAATGACACTTCTGTTGGTGCTCCAGCATGTAGCTACCTCATGCAACTTTTTAGCTGCACTGTTGTGCTTGAGTTTCTCTATTATTCATAGTAATATCAGTATGCACTCTGGTCCAGGTTTATAGAACGGACATTCTATATGTTCCCTTTAATCAAACTTGATTAATCAGCTTTCAGCTGTGCTTTGAGTCTGACCTTTCCTTCTCTCTGACTGGCTGTGAAAGAGAGCTGACAGGAACATAGACTTTATATAGAATGGACATTGTCTGCCTCCTCACTGGGTGAAGCCTCCGCAAGAACAGTACTCTCTGGTGACGGGCTGCAGTATAGGTCATAAATCCCGCCTCCATTGGCACACTTGAAGAAGTTTAGAAATTAAACACAAAATATACATTTTTCTTCCCCCTGGTTGTGATGTTGACATGTAGTTATAGTTAGACTGGTTTGTGCTCAAGTCCTCTTTTTTCTGTGCAGCTCCATTTTTTTACATTATTGGGGGCTCTTGCTCTCTATGATTGACACTCGACCTACGGCCTATGGGCTTATGAAGATTACAAAGCTCATTCAGGGGATACGCTGTTTGAGCTGAGCTTCATCACAGTGACTCTGTGTACAACTCAACTGCTCAAGTGGTGAAATTCATACAACGCTACTGCGCAAGTGGTGGATTCAGCAAGTGGAGAAAATCACGGAAATACAGAGAGCAATTTGGCTTTGTTTCGTATAATGACAGAGGGGCGAACCTAGTTGTCTGTAGTATATACAGTCTATGGACAAGAATCTGAACTTTAACTAGACTGTTAGACCTTTTATGGAAACTGTCCTCTCCTCGGCTTTCCTTTGAAGCTCCCATCTCTTTTTGTAGTTTTTAACTGTGAGCTAAAAGTGGGAATAAATTAAGACCAATCAGCCTGTGCGGATCCAGATCACTCAGGGCTCTCCAAAGAAAAGACATGCTGCCCAATAAGGCAAGAGGCCCAGTCTGAATAAGATCAGAGCATTTGTAACTCTGCACTTTGAGTCTAAAGGAAGAAAAAATTTGGTGAGAGCTTATGAAAGAGTTTTATCACTGATGTTTCCTTCTCAAAATTCTTTATTCAGAGAACTTTTATGGAGTTTAAACTGTATGAAAATGAAGTGTTTGATCTGCTCTATCTCAGACATGTACTCTTATATTGGTGATGCAGGTGCACAGGTGAACCTGAATGTCCTCTGTCTTTGTCCCCTCTCTCAGCGTCTGCTGAAGGACAGCATGCAGCTGCAGGAACGTTTCCGTCAGCTGCAGGTGAAGGGGGACCTGCTGGACTCAGTGTTTGGTCCCGAGAGGGCTGATGGTCTGCAGGATGAGCTCGGTGCTGCAGTCAGGAACAGAGAACTTCTGCACAACCAGCTACAGCAAAGGAAGAGCAGATTGCAGGTCTTCATCTTGAATGCTTCATGCAGTTTATTTCAGTAAGCAGTAAAAGATGCAGTCAGCTTATCACAGCATGAACATCTGTCAGCTGGAGGCCTGGGTCACATGGCCGTGCTGATGGAGATTAATTTGGCTAGGATTTGTGATAATTTATTTATTATATTCATTTTTTCATTTAATATTAACTTCTCTAACACAGTGTTAAAGCATCGCGTTTAAATCCTGCAAGTCCTGTTTGCTGGTCCAGAGGACTGAACCTGACTGACAAACAAAAAAGACATTTATTTAGAGGAAAACAATCCACAGTCAGAGAGGCTGAAAGAGATGAGAGTTAATTTTGAAGAACTTCCTGTTCATCATATTCCTCTGGTTTATTTCCCTGTGTTTTTCAGATTACTGTAGATATCATATAGGGAAGTCAGCTTGAACCCGGTTTTGTCCATTGTGGTTCATCCAGTCAGGTATCAAGGTTTGACTGCTGAACTAGGTCTGATCTAAAATTCAGTTTAAAAGTTTTTTTAAGGATCAGTTGAGCAGAGACTGTAGACATGAATCCAGAGAGAGTAAAATGTCTTTAAGAACTCATATTTAAGGATATGGATGGATTTAAACCTGACAGACATCACTGGCTATAAAACCTCTCCAACACTGTGTCTCTGACTCAGGGCCTGATCTCCAGGACCAAGGATTTTGGAGACGCCTATGAGCTGATTCACTCAAAGCTAAGCGCGCTCAGGGACCGTCAGCCTGAAGGTGGCCTTCAGCCTGACATCCTGGCCAAGAAATCCCAGTCAGACCAGTTCAGAGTAAGTCTCCCATGATTTTACAGTCTGATGGTTCCTGATGAAGCTTCTTTACACTAGCATCTCTCACGGAGCTCAGACTTACTTTCCATTCCTTCAGACAGACTCTTTGCTGTATTCACTTTGCTGGTTAATAAATCTGCAGATTGATTTATGAGCTCGAGAAAGATGATAACAGATGATTGAAGGTTTTCATTATACAGTTTGCTGATATTTTTATAGTTAAGTATTTCAACAGTTAACTTGCATTTTTAGGGTTTATTATTTTACAGTTTACCCGCATTTTTACTGTTTATTATTTCAACAGTTAATCTTTTACAGTGGATTATTTTACAGTTAACTCACTTTTTCAAAATTTATAGTTCACAGTTAACTCACAGTTTACAGTTTATTAAGGTTTGCTCACATTTTTACAGTTGATTATTTTTCAGTTAACTCAGATTTACAGTAGATTATTTTACAGTGACTAAACATTTTTAAGTTTATTATTTTACAGTTAATCTACATTTTTAATGTTTATTCTTTTAGAGTTAACTTATTTCTATTGTCTTTTCAATTTACGATCAACTCAAAATTTTACAAATTTTATTTCACAGTTAACTAGCATTTTTACTGTTTAGTATTTAACAGTTAAATCACAGTTTAACAGTTAATTATTTAACAGTTAAAGGGGGACACTATATGTACTGTTGATGAAGTTAGGTGCTGATCTTATATGGCTATAGAGTGGCTTTTTGGTTGATATTTGTGTTTGGCTCCTTAGACTGCTGTGTATTGCTATCCTGTGGTTGTTACTAAAGTTAGTATGACTAGAGAAGCAAGTAGCCGGCGACATTCACCTTTCGAGGGGGTTTCTAACTCGGTGTTACTGTGTGTTTGACCCTAAATTAATTTTACATCGGAACATCCCTTTAACTAATTTTTACAATTTTTATTTGACAGTTAACTCACCTTAAACTCACTTTTTTAGTTTATTATTTTATAGTTTACTCAGTCTTTTACAGCTCATTATTTTACATAAAACCTACTTTTTAGAAGATTATTATTTCTTAAAAACTGTCTTTTTTCTGTTTATTATTTCACAATTAACTTACTATTTCGCAGGTTATTATTTTACAATTAACTGATTTTCTTTAAATTCAATCTTTTTTACAGTTAGCTCACATTTTTACAATTTATTATTTTACAGTTAACTGACATTTTTACAGTTCATTACTGTAAACTTAACTCACATTTTTACTGTTAATTTATAATGTTTGTGTGTCTGACAGTCTGCACTGATACCCGAGGGTGAATAGTGTTGGTTCAACTGCTCACCTGATCTCCTGTATTTCTGTGGTTTCTCAGGCGATCCTTAAGGACCTGGAGGACTCTGAGGCCCACATTGCAGCTCTTGAGACTCTGGTCTCATCCAGCCAGAACAACAAAAACCTATTTGACAGACTGTATGCAGACTGGATACACCTGCACAAAGTGGTCAGGGTAAGAATTAATGTTGATGAATTTTTCCTTGGACCTGGTGGTTTTCTTGGGTCAGAGAGGTGTGAAGAGCCCAGTAAACTAGGGTCAGGAGGTCTCGCAGTAAGCACTGCACTTCACTGCAGCTCCACTGAGCGTGACAGCCTCTGACTGACTGTCCTGCAGAGATGGAGGATGAAGCTTGGAAAGTGGTTAGTGCTAAAAATGTTTGAAGCTTTTAAGATTCAGACTCAGCTGAAAAAGCAGTATCTGTGCTGGCATAGACCAGTTTCAATTTCAACAAGCTTTATCAGCATGACTGTAAGTACAATATTGCCAAAGCATAACAGCACTAGCACATCAATAATACCTCTCTGAAATCATAGTTTCAGTCTTTCTAAAACACACAGGCTTATTAAAATAAGAAATTAAAAAACAATGAATATATATATTTTTTAAGTTTATCTCTTACTTGAAACGGCTCTAAACTACCATCAGTTGTGTGAGGGAGACCAGTTTGAAGGATGGAAGAGTTTTTTAACTTCCTGTGAGGCAGACACTGAGATGGCCCTCCAACTGTCTCTTTCATAGCTTTCTTTGCCTCCAGGCAAGGTTTCATGAGAGTGAGGAGAGCATCAGGGACCACGAGAGCTTCCACGACAGTCTGCTTAACATGGAGAAGTGGCTGATGATCATGAAGCAGAAGCTGGAGTCCTTCCACAGCCCATCAGAAGGGTGGAGCATTGAGGGGCGCCAGCATGAGGCCATGGTGCGTTTATATCCTTTAACTGAGTACCTATCTGACATCAACCACTACAACTGAGGGTTTATCGTTTCTTTAACCTATGTCTCTACGATCAGGAAGAGTCTGTCTTTATCAACGTATTTACAGAAGAAGCTGGACTGTGACAGAGCCGAACCTAAAACAGGACAGATCCTCAGTCAGTGTTTTAGTCCTGAGTCAGTGAATATGTTTCCTCCCTGACTGAAGTTAACAGGGTCAGAGTCTAACTGATCAGTTTGCTCATCCTTTTATGTTTAAACAATCAGATGAATCAAGTATGGACCAGTGCAGACAAGACTTTGATTTTGATGTATAATCAGCTCTGAGTTTAGTTTGGGGAGTTTGGACGTGTAGGGGTCTGAGTTTATGATGGATTAACTAATCATTGCTTTAAATCTTCCTGCTCTTTATTCATATCACTTAGTTTGTTATTGTATCAGCAGCTCTGACAGACTGATGGCAGCTCACTGGGACCTTTAGTGAATCCTGAAGACAGGAATTTTATTGAGCTGACCAGGAGAGTCATCATTATCTCATCCTTCACTGCTGCATTTCATTACCATTTAAAATTCTCTTTATATGCTGGTGGACTCCTGCTCAGGAGTTGTGCTGTTTGAGACCTTATTATAGATGTTCAACTAGGAGCAGGAGTGGGAGAAAGACTCATGGTGGAAACAGAGTCTTATTGGATTAAAATCTTCAGAGTGAGAGCCCCAGAGAGGAAACACCATAGACTGTATATAAGATGGACAGAGTCTGCCTCCTCGCTGGGTGAAGCCACTCCGAGAATAGCACCCTCTGATGGTGGGCTGCAGTACAGGTCATAAATCCCGCCTCCGCCAGCAAAGCTTATGGAGCTGTGGACAAACTTTAGAAATTTATTACACCGAACATAAATTTTTCTCCCCCCTGCTTGTGATGTTGACATGTAGTTATTGTAAGACTGGTTTGTGCCAAAGTCCTTTTTTTTCTGTACAGCTCCGTTTTTAAAAGTTATTAAGGGTTTTCTATGATTGACACCTGGTACAGCCTATGGGCGTTCAGGGATTGCATAGCTCTCCCGGGGGGATACACTGTTTGAGCCGAGCATCATCACAGGGACTCTCGGCGACTGCGCGGCCGAATGCACGCATCACTACTGCGCAGCTCTGGTTTCAAGGAAGTGGAGAAAAGACCGGAATTACCGAGAGCTTTTTGGCTTCAAATCCGTATACAGGCGGAAGGCGGAAACAGGTTGTCCATCTTATATACAGTCTATGGGAAACACCTACCAGGGAAACCAGTTTCTATCAGAAACTTTGTCCAGGTTGATCCTCAGAGAGTAGAGGATGTGAAGGAGGGAATCAAATTATTCTCCTGCTGCAGGAATGAGACAGTTTTAGGTCCAAACATCAGACCAGAGAGTCAAACCTACAGGCAAGAGCCTGTTACCTGGTGTATGTGCTCACCTATTTAACCCTCTCATGTCCACAGAGAGTGCTGGGAGAGTTTCCAGAAAAGGAGCTCCAGCTGCAGCAGATGGAGGCCCAGGGTCAGGGCGTCTTACGGAGGACGTCGGAGGAGGGACAGGTCCACATCATTAGGGACATTAAACGTCTGAGGGAGTCCTGGCTGGCCCTCTCAAACATGAGTCTCAATCTGCACAGGTACCTGAGTAAACCATTGATATCAGAGCCATTATTCTCAATTTTTATTCTGTTCCAGACTCCACAGACTGTGATCCTGCAGGCCAGCAATTAATCATGAAACCTTTAAAATCTACAACAGCAAGAAGTTTGACTGAACCCAGAAATCATCAAGGCCTCAAATTCACCCAAACAGACCCAAAATCATCAAAATCTTTACACCAGTCATGCGCAATCTTACACTGTTTTGGAGCAGCAGCAGTGAAGTGTTATCAAGGGTAATTCTATGAATTAGGTTTCAGTGTAAATAGCCTGTCAGATGTCAGATCTCAAACTTCATCCATCAGAGTGTTTCCCTCTGTCAAAGTAGCTGTCTTTAAGCAAGACATTCTCTGATAGAAACTTGAATTCTTTGTTAAAGTGGATTTTTAAAGCAAGAAGAGAGGGGGGACAGTGGAAGGAGGTGGGGAAGAAAGAAAAAAAAAGAAAGGGAGCGAAGGAGTAGAGAGGGATGAGGGAGAAGGGAAGGAGGGAGGTAGAAGAAAAAGGGAAAAGAGAGATAGGAAGTTTAAAAGGGGGGAGAGAAAAGGGAGGCTGGATAGAGAGAGTGAAGAGAGAGGGATGAGGGGAAGAGAGGGAGAAGAAAGATAGGGAGAAGAAAGGGGAGAGACAGGCAGGAGAAAAATTGAAGGAGGGAGGGAGAAGGAAGGGAGGAGGGAGCGAAGAGGTAGGTAGAAGTGAGAGGGAGAAGAGTGAAAGGGAAAAGAGGAAAGAGAGGGAGGGAGGAAGGAAGGAGAGGAGGAAGGGGGAATAGAGAGGAAAGAGGGAGGGAGAGGGGTAGGAAGAGAGAGGAAGGAGAGCGGGATGAGAGATGAAGGAGAGAGGTGGAAGAGTGGAGGGAGAAAAGAGGGAAGAGGAGAGAGGGAGGAGGGGAAAAGGGAGGCACAAGTCAGGGAGGAGTGAGGGAAGAGAAAAGGAGAAGGGAGAGAGAAGAATGGGAGAAGACAGGGAGGAAGGAGAGGGGGAGAGCAAGAGGAGAGTGAGAGGGAGGACAGAGGATTGAGGTAGGGAGGAGGGAGGAGTAGGAAACAGGGGGTGAGGGAAGAGAGAGTAAGGGGGAAGAAAGGCACTGAGAAAGAGGAGAGTCAAAGGGAGAAGGAAGGGAGATGAAGGGAAGGAGGGAGAGGTGGAGAAGAGATCAGAGAGAGTGGAGAAAGGTTTGTCTCCACAGACAAAGACCTATTCATGCGTGGAGTCTATATCCCCCCACAGACACAGGGACATGTGCTGATCTGTGGTGACCTAAACGCCAGCACAGGTACAGATCCTGATTTAATTAATGCACAGAGAGACAAACACACACCTGGCCAGATCAGCATCCCCCACCCCGCCCCCCTCCTTTACATCTGCACAGAAACAACTTTGACAAAACTGTCAACAGAAATGGGCACCAACTCCTGCAGATGTGCTACACGCTGGGTCTGTACATAGTCAACGGTCAACTTCGAGGGGAGTCCTTCAGTCACTGCACTCACTCAGTCTCTCAGCTCTCCCTTTGGCAACAGCACAGTAGACTATAGTATTACAGATCCAGACCCCTTCAATCTCAGGGAAATGACCATCAGCCCCCTAACACCACTATCAGATCACAGCAAAATCACCCTGTACATTAGGAGGACCTCAACAGACCCCCATGTAGAACAGCCCAGTAGGCTCAACCGCTCCAAACAGCCTTACAAGGGGACTAGTCATAGCAAAGATGACTATCAGAGAGCAAACAGGCATCCAGCTATCCAAACCGAGTGAGACCATTTTCTTTCCACCTCATATCCCCACGGTAATGACGGCCTCAATAAGGCTGTTGGGGATATTAACGATATATTTGACCAAACAGCATCTCTATCTAATCTAAACAAATCTAAGTGTCATAGTTCAAACAAATCAAGTGATGAAAAGTGGTTTGATTCTAACTGCAGATGTCTGAGAAAAAATATGGAATCAGATTTGTGTCAAATAATAAAACTAAACTTCTTCTTCTGGTATATTACTTTTTTATCCTTTTGTTTACAGTATCGTCTGTTTCTTTCTCACTAACCAGATTTTTGCTCTCACTGCTCATTTTGCAGTCTTGCTGCCAGCTCTCTCGTTTTAGCTCCCTGAGTTTTTGTTTGCCATTCTGACACAAATCTCTTACGTGGGCAGGACTTTTCAGGGGTGCGGCGCCATTGGCTAGTGAGTTTTTCTTTTTTAAACACTCTATTTGTAATTTCCAGTTAACATATTAAACAATCGTATTCTCTGTCTTACAAATAACTACAACAAACAGTCCTGACAATAGACAGAGACAGCTCAAAAAGGAATAAAACAAATAGACAAACAAAACAAAACAAAACAAAACAAAACAAACAAGAAACAGCAAGTGCACTTAATACTTCTTGTTATGGAATTTGTTCAAGGGGAGATTTAAAGTTCTAGTTACAGACCAGGCAAATTGTTCACATAAGTTATTAGAGAGTCCCAGGTTTTGTGGCATCTGTCGATGGATCCGTTAAGGGTACATCTGATCTTTTCGATCTTAAAGTTCTGCATAACGTCCCTAATCCAGTGGTGATGAGATGGAGGAGCAGCAGCCTTCCATTTGAATAAAATCAAGCGTCCAGCCAATAAGGAGGAGAAGGCAGTGAGCCTCTGTAAATGAGCAGGAAGAACAGCTTCCATAGGATCAGAAAACAAACCAAAAACAGCAATTAGTGGAGGTGAGATGTGATGAGCATAAGCCTTTGAGATTACTTAAAAAAAGCATGACCAGAAAGGAACAAGTTTTGGACAAGACCAGAACATATGATAGGAAGTGGCTGAGGTTTGTTTACATCTGTCACATAATGGATCTACATTCGGAAATATTCTTGCTGATTTTGCTTTTTAAAAGTGTAACCTATGTAACACTTTAAACTGTATTAAAGCATGTCTAGAGCATATGGAAGAAGAGTGGACTTTAGTAAGAGCTATACCCTATTCCTCGTTTGACAGTTGAGCCCCCAAGGCATTTTCCCACTGTTCTTGAATATGTGAAATAGAGTGGTTGCAGTAATCCATAATATGCGAATAAATAAATGATATCCTGCTTTTATTCAACACATTGACCCTTAACAGGGAATCCAAACAGAAAGAAGGGGGAAGGGTAGGAAAATTAGCAAACTTTTTGTGAGTAAAATCTCTAATCTGCAAGTATCGCAGAAAATGATGATGGGTCAGACCAAGATTTCTGAATAACTGATCAAAGCTAGCAAAAGTATAATTAACATATAAGCCGTTAATACTATGAATACCCTTATTATACCAAATTTTGAAACCATTGTCTAATAGAGATGGCGGGAAAAGGTGATTATGTATTATTGGAGAGTGAATAGAAATATTTTGAATACCAAAACATTTTTTGAACTGGTTCACGACATGTAAGGATTGAGTTACAATTATTTTATCTTTAATATTGTTAATTAGTGATGGTAGGGGTGCACAAAGTAAGGCAAGGAGTGAGTGTGGGCTGCTTGTGATCTTTTCAATCTGGAGCCATGCAGGGATTTTACCATTCCAAACTTTTAAGCACAGAGAAATGGCATTAAGATTTGCAGCCCAATAATATGTACGCAGATTTGGAAGTGAAAGTCCACCTACACCTTTGGTGTTTCCATAAATTCTTTTCTAATGCGAGCTGGTTTATTATTCCATATAAAGGAAGATATCGTTTGATTAAATGCCTAGAAAAAAGATTGTGGTATGAAAAAAGGCAACACCTGAAACAAGTATAAAAACTTTGGCACAATATTCATCTTAACAGAGTTTGTTCTTCCAATGAGAGAAAGAGGCAAAATAGACCATCTTTTATTATCGTGTTTACACCGTTCCAGCAGAGGAGGGAAGTTATTTTTGAATAGACTGTAACAGGATTTGGTGACTTTTACACCTAGTTACTGTATGTGAAGGATTCGGGAGACAACCTAAACGGCAGATTAGGATATTCTCTTGCATTACTACTAATAGGGAAGTATTCACTTTTATCAAAATTTAATTTATATCCAGATATATTTCCAAATTCTTGCAAGATTCTAAGGATTTTAGGGGTGGATGTAATGGGGTTGGTGACATACAGTAAAAAATCATCTGCATAAAGCGAGACAGTATGGGTTCAGCCACCACGTGTAAAACCTTGTATACTATTATTGCATCTGAGAGCTATAGCAAGGGGTTCTATAGCTAAGACGAAAAGCAATGGACTCAGTGGATCCCCTTATTTTGTCCCTCTGTGAAGAGGAAAGTATTCAGATGAGATACCATTGGTATAAACTGAGGAGGGGGGGCAGTGTAAATGAGCTTGATGAGTTGAATAAAACTTGGGCCAAAACCAAACCTGCGAAGTGTATAAAAAATAAAATTCCACTCTACCCGATCAAAAGCCTTTTCGGCATCAAGTGATATTACTGCTTCTGGAGATGGAGTGTTAGATTCAATGTAGATGATATTAAACAATCGTCTCAGGTTAAAATAGAATTGTCTGCCTTGGACAAATCCATTCTGGTCCTCTGAAATGGTGTGAGGAAGAGTTGTCTCCAGCCGGAGTGCAAAGACCTTTGAGAACACTTTACCATCACAGTTTGTCAAGTTAATTGGTCAGTAGGAGGAGCAATCACGAAGGTCCTTGTTTTTTTTGATAATAGTGTAATAGATGCCTGGCGAAGAGTGGGTGGAAGAATGTTATTTTCCAGTGCTTCTGTATAAACTAAAAGAAGAAGAGGGGCAAGTTTATCTTTGAATTTCTTATAAGAATCTGTTGGAAACCCATTCTTTATGGGAGCTTTACCACTCTGAAGGGACATTATAGCATTGTTAATTTCCACTAGTGTCAGATTTTCTTCCAATCTTTCTTTAGAGTCAGAGTCAATTTTTCGGGATATTCAGATTAGAAAAAAATAAGTCGAATTGGTTGTGATTCGATGTTGAGTCTTAAAAATATAATTTAAAGTAGAACCCTTTAAATCGGTTGTTAATAGCCTTGTGATCCTCTGTTGAGGAGCCATCAGGTAGCATTATTTCATTCATGAAACGCTTAAATCGGGGACATTTTCGGGGACAGCTTTTGCCAGGGACATGTCATCCAATTCGGGAACAGACGGGGACGTCTGGTCACCTATTATGGCTAAAGGCTAAAAATGGCAGGTATTAAACCACATATTTTTGACCCCCAGTCCGAAGAGGAGGTGGAAGTTGAAGAAGAAGCCGTAGAGCGAAAGAACTAATTTTGGTGCTCCAGCGGTGTTTTCTCATTCATTCTGCCCAGCTTTAAGTTCATTTTCCTGGCAGTAAACCCAAGGAAACACCTGTCGTTTGGAAGAGACCCATAGCGGATACAGTGGTAGCTGGGTCTCGCACTGGCTGGAGAGTGATGATGACTGTGACTGGGTACGAGAACGAGAGAGTGGGCGCGGCTCACTGAGGGCGCGATCATGAATAATAATGAGCAAGGTCAGCTTGATGTCAGAATGACCTGCTTTTCCAATTGGCCTGGTTTACCCGTTTCTTTATTTTAAATCTTTACAGAATGGAAACGATGTAATGTTTTATCTAATCTGACACACAAAATTACATTTTTGGTAGCAGGTCCCCTTTAAAAAACGAGGAAATAATAATAATAAGTAATTATTAGGAAGGCGTACATATGTAGCATTACATGTGATGTGTACACACATTCAGGCAAAATGTCCATTGCTACATGCACAGCACTAATAAAATAATACCATAGGAAAAAAATACTGTCAGTTAAAATTGACAGAATAACCATATGTAGTGATATCACCGTCTCTTTCAATTAATTGTTTGTATTTTGACCCGATAATCAGCATTACCTCAATCACCATCTTCTGTAACAGAGCTTTCGTTGTCAGCAGACACATTTTTATTGATGTTGGTCAGCGCCGCCGTGGGGTCTGTAAACTTCATGCATCTACCGTTGTGTGTAAACTGTAGAGTGGCTGGGTAGTAGAGGGCGAACTGGATCTTTGCGGCGTGGAACTCCTTTTGGGTCTTGGAGAAGGCTGTGCGTCGTTTGTTGATATCCAGGCTGTAATCAGGAAAGATGTGAAATCCTGATCCGTTGTAGGAGAGAGGGCCTTTCTGTCTGTCGAGGCGTAGGATCAACTCTCAACGGCCGTGATCTATTATCGCCATCTACTTGTTTAGGGGCCAAGCTTCTGTGGGCTCTATCCACCGATGGTGGCTTCTCAAATTTGTCCTCCCCAAGCACATCCAGAGTAGTTTGGTAATGAATTCTGATGGTCGTGGGCCCTCCACATTTTCTGGTATCCCCACAATGCTTATATTCTGCCATGTGGTGTAGTTTTTCAAGTACGCTACCTTCTCCTTCAAGGACTTCGTTTTCTTTAGCAAGTGAAGTTTGAGAAGTTTCCACGCTGCTCAGTCTTTTGTCGAGCTCATTCATGCCATCCTCTACCTCAGTAATTCGTTGGCCATAAACACTCAGAATCGAATGTAGAGAGGCAGTTGACCCTCGGATCTCTTCCCAAAATAAGTTGACAGAGGCTTGCACAGCAGCAACTGCATTAGCTAGCGCTGTCATATTGTTAGCATTTGTGTCCGTTTCTTTGCTAACGCTTTCCGGGAATTCGGAGAGGTGACCAGATGCAGCGCAAGATGGCGGACCCAAAGATAGAAAACCACATTTACAAAACGCAATAAGTTTCCGCATTACCTCCGATTGGCGGACCCAAAACAATTACTTCCGGTGGAAAGGCTTTCTCGTTGGCGGACTTCCGGCGCCGAAATACTTCAGGTAGTCGGATTTAGTCGCCGGATCCTTTTTTTTTTGCTCCGTTCATTCCATAAGAATCGAATTAAATTTATTATTGAGCTAAAAATCAAAATAAAACGTTTATGTATTAACTATGACTACTGTTTTGTTCTGATTTAATTCTGAAGTTTACAGTAATATGTATATATAGCCTGATGTCCTCATATTCTGATAATTTGTCAGAATAGGTAAATGTATGTAGAAGTTATCATCTTACTCAAATTCTTTTGTAAGAGTTTGCTACAAGTATGGACTGTTTTAACCTCTCGTTACACATCATATAACAGTGTTTTCTAACTTTTCTCTCCAATAGCTTTATTACACAGCACATCAATGTTTCTTAACTTCTCTGTGACCTTGTTTCTCCACTCCTATTAGGACCTCGTTTAATGTCAACAATGTTGCCCTGACCCTCACATATTTTCTGTTGTTCATAATTATGTTTTATGAGAGTGCTTATGTTGCTGCACAAATTTACTCCCCCCATCCTTTAGTAACATTGTGTAACCAGGGACATCATTTATGAAATGGTGTGCTTCCTGGTGAACCTCTTCAGGATTGCTTGACTGTGCAAAATCCAAGTATACAATAGTTGTAGAGACAAGTCACATGATCTCTTTAAGGTTCAGAAGAGCCATATAGCAAAAACAATTGAATAGCGATATCATTACAGACTGTGTAAAGAAATGGGAAATTGTCATACAACTGCTTTGAAGATTTCTTTAATTTTTTCCAAACAAAATTGTGAACAGTAAAAAAATATATATATATATACAAAATTCAGCACTGCCGTCGGTGTGGTGGGGGGCTTAAAACACGTTGCCACAGGCCATCATCAGCTCTGCTCTGAACCGGTTGATGCCATGCTCCTTCGGTGCTTTGATCAAAAGCTGAAAAACAGTCAAATAATGTGAACAATTGAAGTTATGCAGTATGGGTTAATTGTTGTTCTTGAGCTTTCCAAATGAATAAGAACAACCTCTTAACAATATCATCAATTTTCAAAGCAAGCTATATAGTTTGATCTACTCACCTCTGGGAGCATGACGTCAAAAACGAAATCAAGCAGATAAATCTCGCCTCTCTTTATTTTTTTAGAAATGTTTGTTGCCACCTCAATGAACCGCAGGAGCTCGAACATCTATTGAAGAAAAACACAGAAAGTAAACACCTTTCAAATGTAACACCCCTGAGAGTAAAAATACTCATGATGGATGGCATTTTTACTTACGCGCTGCTCACTCCAACTTAGTGTCCTTATCTTAAGATGCTGCTTTAGTCGGAGTGAGGTGGCGGGATTCCTCCAAAGGAACATTCTGTTGGAGCGGATCTTTCCAGACAGTAGATCATCGTGTAATGTCTGAAACCAAAGAGCAAGAGACAAAAATGTAATCATCTGAAAAAGAAACGGTGGCTTTAACAACTGATAGTGCATTCAAAAGCAACCTTGATCTGTGTCTTAGAAAAGACAGCATGAATTCCTCAACTGTCAACAGCATCCTTGATCCTGCAGAGAAATAAGAAAAGAGCAAGCCTTCATTTTTTCATCCTTTGAGCCTCGTATTTTTGACTGATACTATGTTTCCTTGATAAATTATGTTATACCGAGGATGCTCAATGGAGTCCTCGCATCCGCAGTCAAACGGCTCCATTTCAATCCCAGCACAATCCTGATGCAGCCAGCCCCTGCACGTCTTGCACTGGACCCATTTTATGACGTTTACCTGAGGGTAAAGCAATCTGATCAAATGAGAGACAAACATAATATTAAACAAACACGCTGTCCAATTGATTATACCTCTGCAGCACATTTGAATGTATAAATAATTTTCCTGCATGATTCGTGCATTTAAACTATATGTAAAAGTGGTCACTTCATGGAAAATCACTGAATAGGCCCCGATAATTGCATTTATTAAATTGAGTCTGCAACACACCTCTCTCCTGTGTTGTTCGATGTCTGGTAGACACAGAATTGCATTGAATCTGCCATGCACATTCTTTGGACATCCGATACCGTCTGCGTCATGGTTTCCTTGACAAGGCAATTTGAAAAGTAACATCAATTACCAAATACATCGAGACAATGTTGATCCATAAAACTGTGTGCATTTTGAAGGACTCCCACTGAGATAATACTGTTTTTACAAGGCAATTTTCTAACCTCTATGTCCTGCTGCTCTGCCTTCCTCTTTAGACTGAAGACCGGAGTATGCTTTCCAGCAATGAGCTCCTGACATTCTTTGGTCCAGTGGGCGAAGATTTTCCCACAACTGTAATGACAATATGTCTTTAAGTACAATATATTGATTGTCTTCCAGTTAATTAGGACATCTAGTTTACTTAAACTGTCTACCTGTTCAAAGAATTGTTCTCCAGGAGCAACAGGCACCACCATCGCTGCCAAACAGGCATGTCATGCTGAAATTGTTGTTTGTATTTCATTTTAGTGCACAATACAAAATACAACCTTGAGGATGACACTGCGTGTTGAAAAGTACTTACAACTGAGTAGTCAAACTGTGACTCCATAACGATGTACATGGCAGACTTTAAAAAAAAAAATTATGAGACAACATGTGAGATAACTTTAAAAAAGTCCATGTTGGAAAGTTATTCTAGATACAATATTTGTGCATTACAGCTCGTTATGACCTACCATCAACATGAATATGCCACAGTCTGAGCCGAAGTCCTGGCTGGGGAAGCCCTGATTTAACAAAAGCAAACGTTAATCATCTTGTCACATACACTTTTAGGAGCCAGATTGGGGTTTTGCAGTTTATTGTTATGTATTTTTTGTGCCAGCAGATGGTGCTATTGTGCCTGTCTATTTAATGGGTGGGTTGATTAGGAGAGGTGCGCACATAAAATGATGAATGAGTAAATAAATCAAAACAACAGAAAATGTGTGTGACATGTGACATTATTCCACCTGCGGGCACGCATCAACTCAAGCAAAAAGGTGTTCGCCACAAGTAACAGCATTGGAAAGCTGTTATACACTTTTCAACTGTAATATAGAGCATGCACAAATACCTCCAAATCTCTGCCCGTTTTCTCAGTCCATTGCCCAGGACATATCTTCTGCGCAATGTTCCTGTTAATTTGAGAGCGTCACTTAGATTTCCCATGATGGAAACAATGGAATGCAGGGTTAGGGTTAGTTTGAGTGGTCGGATGTGAGATTGAATGAATGCGGACGGCTTGCTTCTTTTCAAACTTCCTGAGAGTTCTTCTTCTTCTGTAAATTTTGCCGTCAGAAAGTGTAGGTACATACCGCCACCTACTGTTCTGGCATCGCAAAGCAGAAGTTCAAAGTTCATGTTTTGGGTCCGCCAATCGGAGGTAATGCGGAAACTTATTGCGTTTTGTAAATGTGGTTTTCTATCTTTGGGTCCGCCATCTTGGCGCTGCATCTGGGTACTCTTGGGAATTCGAGTTGTTTCTCCCATTCTGTTGTTTGGCCAGTTTGGGAGGCATGTCCACTCGTTAGGCAATAAAGTCACTTAATCTGTGTTTCCAAATAAATTTGAGCGGTTACGAGGTCCAAAATGTATAAATTTGAAAATTTTTCTGCGGGAGCTGCAGAGGACACGTCTACTCACCACTCATGCTCAAGTGTGCCCCTGGCTAGTTAGTTTTTGTGTGACAGCTCAGTGGCCTGTGTTGTGCCGAGAAACGCATGTCTGCCTTGAATGCAATGTACAGTTTAAACCAATACAATTCATATACACTCACCGGCCACTTTATTAGGTACACCTGTCCAACTGCTCGTTAACACTTAATTTCTAATCAGCCAATCACATGGCGGCAACTTAGTGCATTTAGGCATGTAGACATGGTCAAGACAATCTCCTGCAGTTCAAACCGAGCATCAGTATGGGGAAGAAAGGTGATTTGAGTGACTTTGAACGTGGCATGGTTGTTGGTGCCAGAAGGGCTGGTCTGAGTATTTCAGAAACTGCTGATCTACTGGGATTTTCACGCACAACCATCTCTAGGGTTTACAGAGAATGGTCCGAAAAAGAAAAAATATCCAGTGAGCGGCAGTTCTGTGGGCGGAAATGCCTTGTTGATGCCAGAGGTCAGAGGAGAATGGCCAGACTGGTTCGAGCTGATAGAAAGGCAACAGTGACTCAAATAACCACCCGTTACAACCAAGGTAGGCAGAAGAGCATCTCTGAACGCACAGTACGTCGAACTTTGAGGCAGATGGGCTACAGCAGCAGAAGACCACGCCGGGTGCAACTCCTTTCAGCTAAGAACAGGAAACTGAGGCTACAATTTGCACAAGCTCATCGAAATTGGACAATAGAAGATTGGAAAAACGTTGCCTGGTCTGATGAGTCTCGATTTCTGCTGCGACATTCGGATGGTAGGGTCAGAATTTGGCGTCAACAACATGAAAGCATGGATCCATCCTGCCTTGTATCAACGGTTCAGGCTGGTGTTGGTGGTGTCATGGTGTGGGGAATATTTTCTTGGCACTCTTTGGGCCCCTTGGTACCAATTGAGCATCGTTGCAACGCCACAGCCTACCTGAGTATTGTTGCTGACCATGTCCATCCCTTTATGACCACAATGTACCCAACTTCTGATGGCTACTTTCAGCAGGATAATGCGCCATGTCATAAAGCTGGAATCATCTCAGACTGGTTTCTTGAACATGACAATGAGTTCACTGTACTCAAATGGCCTCCACAGTCACCAGATCTCAATCCAATAGAGCATCTTTGGGATGTGGTGGAACGGGAGATTCGCATCATGAATGTCCAGCCGACAAATCTGCGGCAACTGTGTGATGCCATCATGTCAATATGGACCAAGCTCTCTGAGGAATGCTTCCAGCACCTTGTTGAATCTATGCCACGAAGAATTGAGGCAGTTCTGAAGGCAAAAGGGGGTCCAACCCGTTACTAGCATGGTGTACCTAATAAAGTGGCCGGTGAGTGTATGTAGAGCTTAACAGTAATGAGTAAAGATCTGCAAGTAAAGTTGATACCTTTTTGTGTCATTTATGTTGAATAGACTTTTTAGAATAAACTTTTGATTGACCTAAACGTTTGACTGGTGAGTGATTTCATTTCAATCTGGAAAAAGCAAAGCTATGATGATTGATTGAATTGAACTGTGTTCCTAGAGTGTTCTGTGGTGATCAAGCCCACTGTCATTTAGTATATATCTACACCAAAAGAAAAACAAGCAACTGAAATTAAAGGGTTTCACTGAAAAGTTTAAGTGTTGTCGGCGGACATAATATGAACCTTATATCAGCTGTTTTTCTGGCTGCTGAAATATGCATCCACCTGTTATTTAGCTTCTTAGGGTGTAACAGGTCATATAATTGTAAAAGTGAATCTTTACTGTCCAAATATGTGCTGGCAGTTTGTGACTATAAAGAATCATTATGATATCTTAATGGGTGGATGCATTTTTCAGCAACAGCTGTTTTATACTTTATTGTCCCACTCAGGGAAATTCATTTTTCAGACTGTACATATAGACACATCAAATAGACAAGATAGTCCTGAGCAAGAGTCCGATTGGATTCACACCACAACACAGATCCACTGACCACATCTACACCCTCCACACCCTCATCCACAAACATGTTCACCAGGACAAAAACAAAATCTTTGCTTGTTTTGTGGATTTCAAAAATGCATTTGTTTCAATTTGGCATCAAGGTCTATTTCTGAAAGTACTAGAAAAAGGTATTGGGGGGAAAAAAATCTATGATATAATTAAAACAATGTACATAAATAATCAATGCGCAGTAAAAATTGGAACCATGGGAACAGACTTCTCCCCCAAAGTAGGAGGGTAAAGCAGGGATGCAGTCTCAGCCCCATCCTCTTCTATATCTATACTGATGATGTGGCCAAATCCCTGGAGGAGCTAAATTATGCCAGTTTCCCCTTTTAATTCAGATCCAAAAAGGGCAATCAAATTCTACCAACACCTCAAAGCCAGCAACCCCAGCTCCTACCACTACAAAGCCCTGCAGAGCCAAGAGGAGAGCAGAAACAAGAGTCCCCTCAGCTAGCTGGTCCACAGGCTCAGCTCCACCAGCACCGAGCACCAAGACCGCTCCACACACAATCCGGCCCCCAACCAAATTGTACAAAAACAAAAAGACAACTACATCAACTACTGGACATCTAAAACCCAAACCCAAAGCAAACTTCAATGCTATCTGGCCCTAAAAAGACAATACTCCATGGCAGATTACCTGAGTTTGGTAACTGGGGAGAAAAAGGAAAGGAGGGATCTCTGCCTTCTCCGTGTTTTTATTTTGTTTTGATCACTTACAGCTGCTGGTTAGTAAAACCTGCTCTCCTCTCTGTGTTTCCTCCCCCAGGCTGCTGAATGACTCCTTGGAGCATACAGAGTCTTACTCCTGGAAGGTCAAGGGTCTGTTTCCTCACAGCATCTCCATGAAAACAGAGCTAATTCTGGGGGAGGAGCATGGCCAGGGTGGGGCAGGAGGAACTCGGATCCAGATCCAGACTGCTCCAGCAGAGGTGTCCGGGGTCCTCAGCAGCTCCCGGGTAAAAGGAGGGCAGGAGGGGGAAGCAGGAGGAGGGGTCCTGAAACAGGGTGGATGCGTCCAGGGTCACGGTGAGTGGGGTCTTCTCTTGACGGGACAGGACAGGGAGCAGCTCATAGGAGATGAGGCTGACTCCCTAGGGTGGAGTCTCCCCAGCATAGCCATTCAGAGAGCTGCAGCCACTGAAAGTGACCAACCAGCAGGAGGCAACAGCAGCATCCTGACTGCAGACAGAGGAGGAGAAGCATCAATCTCTATACAAGGGGGAGGAGTAAGTGCTGGAGGAGATGCCAGCATGAATGCAGAGGAGATTCAGAGAGGTGCAGCAGGAGGAGCAGGAGGAGCGTTTATGCTGTTCATGAGGGACCAAGCCAAGAAATCGTCTCCGGCAGTACAGCAAAACACGGTAACATGTTTAATCAGCTGTTCACAGGTGTAGCTCAGTTTTAATGATGACGAGGTGAAGAACAAACTCTGGAGCCTATCCCCTTTTATTATCAAAAGAAACTCAAAATAAGTTAAAAACACTCTTCAAATGGATTTATTTTTAACACAGGAGACAGTGCACGAGTGCTTGTACATAACAGATAAAACATTTATAAACTAGAAGTAGACTAAAAAAAAGGTAGACCAAGTTTACACAGAGCTACAGAAGACCATCACAGTTAAAGAGCATTGTGTCTATAATGGATGGCGGTGAGCAAAACTGATCAAAAACTGCTTTATTGCATGACTATGAAGCTGTCGGTATAAACTGCACATTTGTTCTTGGCCTGTTTATAAGTTTTTGTTTTTGAGCACGTTTTTTATTGCACAGACGCAGGGCTGTTGGCTGGCCGGTCACCACTCGCCAAATGCAACTAAAGTACTCCCCTGGTGACTTTATTTTGGAAGGCTACATGCCACTGGGTGGGTAGATGTTTGTCCAGATAGTCATGCAGATTCATTCTACACAGGACCAGATGGCATTACTGTCCATTGTGCCATTAGACGTTGGGTCACATGAGTTGCCTTGATGTTGAGAGTGGCGTGGGAGTTGTATTGCTGTAAATTTTAGGACGCATCATCAGTAGTGTTCCTTTGAATCAGGGGTGTTTCGGCCTTTCAAAGGTGGCCAGCTACAGGGTGATCAAGCCTGAGCTTGCATCCCATGCCCAATCACAAGCCCACGGGACTATGCATGGCAGGGGCGTCCGCTCCCCTGAGTCAGGCCTGGAGCTGACCATATACCTTGCTCCTTCTCCTCCTGGGTGGGAAAAGGGGTGATGGGGATTTGTGGGGAGCTATTGGGTGGGTCCAGCAGTTCTTTGAGCCCAGCAAGGATCTTTCCGTTCCTGTTCTTGGATACCAAGGTCTTTCAGCAGTCTGATGGTAGAAGTTGCCACAAAACCTTTTGGATCCTACTTCAACTGGGTAGACTCTTGCAGTCCAAACTCGTTGCTGTGCATCTGCAGCCAGTTCTGTATAGCGTAACTTCTTGCACTCATAGGCCTCTTCTGTTGAACTCTCCCATGGGACTGTGAGCTCTATGATGTTGACAGATTTGCGTGAGGGAGACCAGAGTACCAAGTCTGGTCTGAGGGTAGTTACTGCTATCTCGGGTGGAAAGACTAGTTGCTGGCCAATGTCCACAATCATCTTCCAATCCCAAGCAATGACTAGCTTTCCAACTTCTGGCTTGGTTGGGGGATGCTTTGGCTTTCCTTGTCCCTCTCGAACAAAAGTTGAAGCTCGGATGGAGTTGGATGCTGTCCTGGGTGAGGAGTTGATGGTGTGTCTCTTGGTCCCCAGAGCCGCTGCCAGACATTTGAGGAACTGGTTGTGCCTCCAGGTGTAGCGTCCCTGCGTGAGGCTGGTCTTACACCCGGTCAAGATGTGCCTTAGAGTCACTGGAGTTGGACAGAGGGCACAGGTTGGATCCTCCCCATACCAGTCCTGGAGGTTTTTTGGAGATGGTAGCACATCGTATGTAGCTCTGATAATGAAGCTTATGGTACTTGTCTCTATTTCCCAGAGCTGCCTCCAGCTGAGTTCCCGCCTCTCCAGTCCTTTCCACCTCATCCATTGTCCCTGTTTGGCAAGAGAGACGGCCTTTGCATTTCTTACAGCCTCATCCTGATGGCGCACCTCTTACGCCACCATTTTCCTCCCCTATAAAATTGAGGCCTTGTGCCAAGATGGTTTACTTGGTGCAAGCCCAAAGCCTCCTCTTCCCATCTGGACATGCCCCCACAATGTCCGTATGTCAATAAAATATGCACAATGTGTCTCAAAGCATAGCTATAAAATACTGTTTAAATGTGTGTCACACATAGGCTGTGTCTCAATTCAGAGGCTGTGTCTCACTTTAGAGACTGCACAGTCGAACGGCGCATTTCAAGTGTGTGTGATGTCATCATGCATGGTGTCCCATTTGGCTTGTGATTCTGAGTGCGTTTCAAATGCGGTCCCAAAACCACACTGCCCGCCCCTTTTTCAAGCGCGCATTTATGCACACTTTCGTGGCCTTGGTATCCCATAATTCTTTGCGTGCCGCTGGGCATTTCGGGTGAGAGGCCGGACTCACTTGGAGACGCACCGTGTCTTTAAAGAAAATAAAAGAAACACAAGACAGTCAGCTGAGGCTGCATGAGCGCATGCTCTCCTAACTCACTAAAATTTGCAGCTGCAAACCAAACACTATAGTCTTTAGAGATGAACTGATCCACTCTGCTACCAAAATCAAAAAAATTAGAAATAAGAAATCTGCCAAAACTACATCGGATTATCAGGGCCACATCGAGTTTTTTTTTTTTTTTTTTTTTTTTTTTTAAGACTTACAGATTAAAACTGGAAACTTAGGAGTATAAGGCCATAAAGTAAATAAGTCATAAAGCTGCTTTGGTGGAGGGGGAAATGACTGAAGCTGGTCATCTGCAGGGTTATCGGTGGATGTATCAGCGGGTCATTCAGAGAGTTTTTGTGGTTTCTGAAGAAACAATCCAACTGATGATCAACATTTGTGATCCAGAGGGAGTCAAGCTCCAACAAACACCACATCTCTGACACTGACGGTAACCTTCACCTGCAGAGACACCAACACCTTATTATGGCATATGGATTTATATCATAAACTAATTTTATTTTGTAATCGTGCAACCTTGCACAGACACAAAACAATAGATACAAACACAGATCATTTGCACAAAATTCATCCAATGATCTGTGTTTGTATGAAGGCGTATGAGGGCCATATTGAGAATTTTTTTAAAGACTTTGAGATTAGAATCGTGAATTTATGATAATAAAGTCATTAATTTATGAGAATAAAGACATAAGGTTACCTGTTATTTCAAAGGAGAATTGTTAAAATTAGGGCCATGAAGTATTTGAAGAAACTGTGCTTCAGTCTAGGTTTCACAAACAAGGAGATAGTTCATCCTTTTGCACATCAGCATTACTTTGTCATAAGTATAAGGACTTTAGAAAGAATATATGAGAAATGCGTCTTTTCCACAGAAAAAAAACAAAAAACAGGTGGACTTGGAGAAAATCGCCGCCTTTGTGGAGGCAGCAATTGATATGATGAGGATAAATCCGTCAATGCAGCCGTAAAAAGCCCTGAAAGACATTGAGCTTTAGTTTATGATATGAATCCATATGCTTTGATAAGGCGTTGGTGTCTCTGCAGGTGTAGGTTACCGCCAATGTCAGAGACGTGGTGCACGTTGGAGCTCGACCCCTTCTGGATCACAAATGTTGATTATCAGTTGGATTGTTTCTTGAAAAAATACAAAAGCTCTCTGAATGACCTGCTGATTCATCCACCAATAACCCTGCAGTTGACCAGCTCCAAAAATTTCCCCCTCTACCAAAGCAGATAAATGACTTTATTTACTTTGACTTTTTTTCTCCTAAGTTTAAAACTTTAATTCTCAATGTGGCCCTTAAACTCCGATGTAGTTTTGTCAGCTTTCTTATTTTTAATGTTTTTGATTGTGGTAGCAGAGCGTATCAGTTCATCTCTAAAGAATGTAATGTTTGATTTGCAGATTGAGTTAGATCGTTTGCAGATTGAGTCAGATCGTGAGTTAAGCGATCATGCACTCATGCAGCCTGAGCTGACCGTGTTTTTGGATTTCTTTTAATTTTCTTTAAAGATGCCCTGTGTCTCCAAGCGAGTCCGGCCTCTCACCCAAACTGTGCAACTTTGCAGCGGCACGCAAAGAATTCTGGGATGCCAAGGCCACGAAAGTGTGCATAAATGCACCCTTGAAAAAGGGGCGGGGCAGTGTGCTTTTGGGACCGCATTTAATGCGCACTCAGAATTACGAGCCAAATGGGACACAATTAGCACCGCATGATGACGTCACGCACACTTGAAATGCGCCGTTCGACGGTGCAGTCTCTGAAATGAGACACAGCCACGGCCATAGACTGCATGGTGTCACACTTAAGTGGGGCTCTGAGCGGAACTGTTGAGATGCATATAATAGTGAAAACACGACTCATACCTGCCAACACTCCCGTTTTTCCGGGGACTCTCCCGTACTTCAGACCTTTCTCCCGCCTTCCTCCTGTTTTGTCATTTCTCCTGTGAATCTCCCCTAGTTTGCATAATCCACGTTCACTCATGAAGCAGGTCACTATATTTGTCCAAAGTTGCCAGGTTTCCAGACAACCGAAGATTGTCCTGGGTTTTTGCAGAGCCTCACAGACACTGGATTGATACTTTTACTTTACAATTTGGGATGATTCAGGTCGGTTTAAGCTGTAAACTATATTTAAGCAGTGTTTGTTGCAAAATGAAGACTTCAATGAAAGGTAAACAAACGCAAGATATAATATTTACGTTGATTGTCACCGAGTGATGCGTTCAGGGCAGCCTCAGGTAAAAGAGTGCTGTATTGCACGCACAGATTGTCAGAGAGCCTTATACAGGAGAGCATGTAAAACATATAACACTATTATTAGTGGACTAAATAAGTTCAAGGCATATCGTAGCTACTATTTTATTATTACCATTTTTATTGTTTAAACAAAATAAAAAAGTGTGCAGCTTCACTTATACTTATTTGGATGATCCCGTTATCTCAATGAAAAGTACTTAAAAAGTACTTAAACAGATGTATATTTAATTTAAAAAAAAGACATTTATTATTTGGCCGGTAAAAATGTATTTGGCTGGTAGATTTTTTCATCTACTGGTCCCCTTGGCAGGTGAGCCGAAAAGTTATTCAACACCCCTGCACAGACGTGTTTCATACGTTCATAGAGTTATCACACATACAGCCTGTAAAACCAAATCCCAAATGAAGAGTGAAAAAATTGCATGCGTAAAAAAAAAATGCATGTGCTATAAGTGGGTGTGTTGTGGGTAAACTGCTATGTCTACTACTATTTTTATTTCTGACAGTCCAAATATGTTGACACGTGCATGGGAAACGTCTGTCATTACACCTCTGCCTCCCTCTTGCCACAATGACCGCAGCCATTTGTGTGTAATGCTGTGCCAGTTTGCACGTGCCTTTTTAGATGTACTAAATTTAGATGCAAAAACACAGACCACAATCAGTTTCAGGGTTTGATAAATCACATTGTGGCTGCCTAATATTTACATTTGCATCCCCTCCTCCCAGTATTTTGCCGTTCTGTTAATCTGCATATATTCTGCATATTTATGAAGGCAAACATGCTAAATGGATTGTGTGCTGTTTAGCTCATTTGACAGACACAATCCTCGGTGCACCCGGTTAATAAATGAGCTTTGCCTGCACTATCAAGATGCATGTGTTTTTGTACACACAAACCTTAGAAGAACAGGCTCATAGGCATGTTTTGAAGGTAAGATTACACTGGAGGTGCCAACACAGGTGCATTTACATATGTGTGCACATTGATGGTTGATGGTTGGTGTTAAACATGTGTGTGGCGACCCAGTGACCTCAGTGTCCTCTCTCAAGGGAGTTTTCTTGCTGCTGTGTTACCATACCTCCTCACCCTGACTCCTCACAGAAACCAACCTCCACAGAGCCTGGCCGAAGAGCTCAGGGTAAAATCAGGGTTCAGTATTCTGAGTTTAGTGCATGTTTCTAATCTCTGCTACCTTTTTCTCCTCAGATATCACAGTCACACTGCGCCGCCTGTAAGCATGTTCAAGTTGTTGAAATCACTATAATATACAAATGTCTGACTGATAAAGGACCTCCTCTTAATTCTATCCTTCAAACAAACAGAGGACAGAATAATAATCAGTGTCTGCAGAGTCCTTTCTCAGTGAGGTATCTGCTATTGGTGCTTCCAACTGAAGAACCCCACAGGTCTGCAGACTGAATCCCAATGTGATGGTTTCATGTCTTACATGAGTGTTTACTTGTTTTCCAGGAGACTAATGGACAGCACAGTACCAGGAGGAAAGAGTTTGAGGCCTGGCTGTCTACGCAGAGTGAACTCCTCTCAGGGATCCTCAGCACAAAAATGGCAAAGCTCAATGCCAAAGAGCTACAGGGAAGACAGGACACGCTAAAGGTGAGGGTGTCCGGGAGCCTGAAGGCCCCTGAACCTTGTTTATGGATAAAAAAAAAAAAAAACAGCCTGAAAGCAGACAACAGGTCAAGAGAGTGTACTACAGGTCCAGAGAGCAGACTACACATCCAAAGAGCAGAGAACAGGACCAGAGAGCAGACTATAGCTTCAGAGACCAGACTACAGATCCAGATCCAGAAAGCAGAGAACAGGACCTTCGAGCAGACTATAGAAATAGAAAGCTGAGAGCAAGAACAGACAGCTGAGAACAGGATCAGAGGGCAGACTGCAGGGCCAGAGACTAAGAAAAGAACCAAAAGGCAGATTACAGGTGGAGAAAGCAGACCACAGGTCCAGAGAGCATGCTACATGTCCAAAGAGCAGACCACACATCCAGACAGCTGAGAACAGGACCAGACACCAAAAAAAACGGGACCAGAGACTGAGGAAAGAAGCAGAGAGCAGACTACAGGTCCATAGAGCTGAGAACAGGACCAGACAGCTGACAAACGAGACCAGAGACAGAGAACAGGACTAGAGAGCAGACTACAGATCCGCAGAGCTGAGAACAGGACCAGAGACCAAGAAGAGAACCAGAGAGCAGACTACAGTTCCAGAGAGCAGACTACGTGTCAAGAGAGCACACCACAGGTCAAGAAAGAAGACTCTAGGACCAGATACTGAGGACAGAACCAGAGAGCAGACTACAGATCTAGAAAGCTGAGAAAAGGTCTAGAGAGCAGACTTCAGTTGCAGAGAGCTGAGAATAAGTCCAGAGAGTAGACTACAGATCCAGAGAACTGACTTAAAGGGATATTACGGCGTAAATTTAATTTAGGCTCAAACACACTGTAACACAGAGTTAGACACCCCCACGAGAGATGAATGTTGCTGACTGCTTGCTTCTCTAGTTTTACCAACTTTACTAACGACTGCAGGATAGCAATACACAGCGGGCAGTGCAAACGGGTAGTAGGAGCAGATCCTAAGTGAGAATCTGTCGGAGAGGAAGTTCTCAGGTAGGCCTTGAGTCGGACAAGCACACCGGGCTCATTTCCCACGTCTTCTAGTGCTCTTTCTTTTGGGTAGTGGGCAAGGCTGCCAGCATCGATAATTAGTGCCGGCGGATTGAGGCCTCTGGATGTGCTCCTTCCTGGGTGAGACATTTTCTTGTGACATCTACTGCAGATGTAAAAAATGTACCATGGGCATTATAAACCATGTTTATAATTTTTTTACAATATAAGCCTGAGAACATAGGTCATGGCTTTAAGATGTTATTATAAAATGCAATAGTATAAATCACTGGCTTTCAATCTTTGATGATTTATTTGTAAACAAAGACTTTGATCCATACCATTTTAGAAATGTCATACTTCACCTTTTAGAATTATCAATACCCAGCTATTGATCATTAAAAGAGCCTTGGCATGTGACCCATCGGATGAAAACAGATACACTTTATTTGATAACATTTGTGACAATAACTGAAAGTCTCATCAAATTAATCTACCTGTTCAGTTTGTGTGGCTGTAAACTCAGATGTCTTTTGCGCTGGATCCACCTGGTACACTATGCTGGTTTCTACATGTATGTGCTCTGACACAACAAAACATGACAAAACAATGTCAAAATACAAGATTTCTGCCCTAAAATGTTGAGAGTGCCACAGGATGATGGAGATACAGTATGTATGATATTAATATTATGAATTTAGGCAGCAAAATGGCACCTAATCAGTAGAATAGGACCAGACAGCTGACAAATCAGTTTCTGTCAGTTGCTTTATGCCTGTCTGCCCCTGCGTCTCCCTTTGCCTGTTTCACTGTGCTATGCACTCATCTCTTTGGCCATTTCATTGTCAGTGTGCCTTACTACATGGCCCATGGCACAAGCAATATCATCAATATGTTTTTGTCTCATTACTTGGGATATGCATTTAAAGAAAAAAAAGCAAAGACCAACTAAGACTGGACGATTTGGCAAAAAAAAAAAAAATATATATATATATATATTTTGTCATATTGTCCGATCTTGATAATTATCATGATTTTTTTTTTTAAAGCATCTGTAGAGATTAGTTCAACATTTTATTAACATACAAAGTAAATACCGAAGCAAATTAAATAAGACAAACTTTGAAAAATATAAAAAAATACTTTAACTCAACAGTACAACAAATGTAGATAAATATTGAATAATAAAGTGAACTAGTTACCAGTCCTGAGTGTTTTTGCAGGTATGCAAGACCCCAAATAAACAAATTGCCCCCTCAGGGATAATGAAGATACCTTAAGCTGTCTTGTGAGAATCGAATTCACAGCATCATCGGCCTCTTACCGTCATCGGCATCGCCTGCTGAGCATCGGTAAACAAAAAAGCACTGTTAGCCTCATACAAAGTTGCCCACTACATCGCAATTTAAGGTGCAAAGAAACTCACACAATAGCAGAGAATCCCCTGTTCACCAGTAGCAGTGTGCATCTGCTTTGTGACATGCTGCTGAAATAAACCCTCATGGTGCTGGTTTAAGAGAACCTGCTAAACATCTTAAGACAGGACTCCCTGTAACAAAGGTTTTTAATCTCTGTGAACCTTTCCTGGTTTAACTAGTTTTAATAAACATCTTAACCTCTTTGAATCCCTCTGCTGTCCCCCTGCAGGGTCTGAGGGCTGGGCTGGGCTGGGGTCAGGAGCAGTTCCAGCTGTTGCTCCAAGAAAGTCAAAGGGGCCAGTCGGGGTCTGGACCTGCAGAGGATGTGGGTCTGGAGGAGCTGAGGTACCACTGGATGCTCCATAAGTCCAAACTGAAGGACATGGGGGATATAAGAGCCAGGACAGGGACCAAGGTGAGACAGAGACTCTGCTTAGGCCCTATTAGAGGGTTTGAATTTGACTTTGGTCACAGACAGGCAGAGGGGTTTTCTCTCCTGTTGATGAAGTCCAGGTTACTAAAGAGTACAGTTACAGGCCTCCTTTAAATTCCTTTACTGTAACCAGTGTCCTTTCTCATTAGTGTCTGCAGGTGTTTTAGTATTTTCATCGTTATAGTTATGATGATTAGTATTTCTTCTTGAATTTCCCTTCAGGGATCAATAAAGTTCTTCCTCTTTATTTTTTTTCCTTTATTCAAATTTTATTTATGTACACTTACAATGACATAGAAACAAATATATACAAAACCTACCACCACTTAACTTTATAACTTTATTGATCCCTGAAAGAAAATTCAATATATAAGTACATAAGTGAAAAAAAAGAAATAAAATATAAGCAACAATCAAACAACAAAAGATTATCAACAGAGGCAAAAGCAGAAGGGAAGAGGAACACTCGCAAACAAACAAGTGAGTAGTACGTAATGATAGAAAGAAAGAAAAAAGAGGGGAGAAGAGAAAAACAAGTAAATATTTAAAGAGGAAAAAATAAAATAAAAAAAAGGTTTTAAAAAATAAAGAAAAAACAGGTAGTTATTATAATCTGTTTGGGTTCGAATTTAGAGTGGGTATCAGGATGACTTTGGTGCTGAGAGGGGGAAAAAAAGGCACATGAGAGTTATGTTTATTGGCAGTTGTGTTGGATTCGAAATGTGGTATCAGTTCATCGGCGGGAGGATTGAGCTCAGGGTTGTAGAATATATGTTAGTGAATGCTTTGAGTTGCTTTGTTTGAATAACTGGTTGTTTTTCAAATGATATTTTGTGATAATAGGTCCAGCCATTATGTGATGTAAACCTTCTTCCCATCTATCCAGTTCTGTAGTATTGTTTTCTTGGCGATGGTTAGAGCTACTAGCATGGATGTTATGACTTGTATTGAGTCTGTTTTGAGTGTGTCAAGGTTTTCAAGTATGCACATGAAAGGGGGAAGTGGGATGTTGCAACCAGTAAACTTAAATAATATGTTGGTTCCTTATTTCCAGAAATCAACTGATATGAAAAAAAATTATCATGATAAACTTTTTCCCATATCGCCGAGCCCTACATGGAGGTAATCTATTGCATTGAGTGCATATGTCTGAGCTGGTCTGAGCCTTTTAAGTGCATTTTGTGCATTTTGTGCTGTGTAATGTGTGTTCTATGGATGATCCTACACTGAATTAGTCTTACGATAGTGTTCCCGGACTTACTGAAGATATGATTACAAATCTTGTTCCAAAACTTGTCATCGGCGGTGATGTTGAGGTCTCTTTCCAATTTGCTTAATGCAATTCAGTTTCTTTTGTTAGTGGAGCACATAAGTTTATGCAGTTTTTGGATTATTTTCTTCTTTTCTTTTTTTGGATTTTGCAATTTCATTGATATCTTCCAATTGTGATGTTTTTTTCCCCTAAATTGGTGTTTGATATGTATATTTTTGTCTAAATTTTTTTTTTTTATTTGATGTATTTTGAAAATCATTGTCTTTCAATGCCATATATGGCTGTAAGTTGTTGGAATGGAGTTGTGGTCAAAAATGTGATGTAGGTGTGCGATTCCTTTTTCTTTCCATTTTGTGCCTAGTAAAGGTGATTAATTTGCTGTTAAGTCTGGGTTGTTCCATATACTCTAGGTGTTCCAGTGGTAGGTGAGATTGTGGTGTGATTTATTTTATTGACTGTCTACCAAGCTGCCCGAGTTTGGCGATCGCAGTGTTTTTAGAGCAGTTGTGGTGTTTGACTGGGTCGCTGTTGAATGATAGGTCTGTAATGGCTATGTTCTGGCATTCCGTCTGTTCAGTGTTGATCCATGGATGGTGGTGATGAGTTGCATCAATCAATTTGATAAGATATTGTAGCGGAAGTTTCGGAAGTTTGGTGCTTCTAGGCCACTTTGACGGCTGGATTGTTGTAGTAAAGGGAGTTTTATTATAGTTTTTTTTTTGCTTTTCCAGTAGAAACTTGTTATTGTGTCCAGTGATTTAAACCATTTTACTGTTGGTTGGGTTGGAATCATTGTGAATAGGTAATTGATTCTTGGTAAGAACATCATTTATTGTGCCTATGCGTGCTATTATTGAGGGTGGTAATGTCATCCATTGGTTTAGTTCATCTTGTACTGATTTTAGGAGCGGACTGAAATTTAGGTGCATTTAGGTGTAATTGGAGATATTAGATTATGTACTTTTAGTTGTAATGAGTTCGCTGATAGACTTGCTTGGGTTCTGTATGAATAGGAGTACAGCATGTGCATATATGGGACTGGGGATGGAAATTAACTTCTTGGCTATAATTCCATGCATTTACATATAAATGTTCATTAATGCATATTGTCCCATTTAAAAAATTTGATAAAATAAATAAAAAATATAGGCTGATTTTATGTGTTATATTATGCAGCGATTTGAATTTATAATAAATGTCCTAGTATTGATATTTGATAATAATCTTAAATTATGGCACCCACCAATAGTGGGAAAATAAAGAAAAAGATTAAGTCAATCTTAAATTAATCATTCTCATATCTCAAGCTGAAATTCTAATTTCAGGGACTCCACCTCTGGAAGAACACTAACAGACAAGAACTTAAAAAATATATGATCAGTTTATTACAGGATAAATGGTGCAACATACATGCAATAAATGATGAGATAATGAGGATAAATAATGGAGATGAATAAAAGATTCTCAGTCAAGCTATGACTACTAAAGGTAATGATAGTGAATGATATGCTCTAACACAGGGGTTTTCAAAGTATAGGAAAGTGAGCCTCCCCTGAGAGAACACTTTGCCTGCTGCCCCCCATAACCACCCCTTTCCCAAACACAAACATTAAAAAATGCTATTTCAAAACACTGTTTTAATTGCGTTTATTTTATAACTTTTGAAACTTTTAAAATGAAACTTTGGGCCCTACTTTCATGCCTCGCCAGCGACGCGGCGCATGCGGGGCGTAAGTGAGGTCCGCCGCGCCGACAAGGCGTTCCCAAGCACAATTTGGTATTTTGGTGAGCGGCGCAGCCCAGTATAAGTATTCCCCCTCCCTAACTCAGCTCCTCCCAGCGGCGTAAGTCATAGGGAGGAAGGAAAGAGGGCATGGAGTGGGTTTAACATAGCTGAAACCAGTATTGACCAATAACATCAGCTTCAATCCTTGCCTTTAAATCCGCCACCTGCGAGACGTATTCCAATTTTAGTGAGGTAGTCAAAGAGATCAAGAGATGTCTGAAGACAGCAATGCCACACGATGGCGACAGAAGGCAGCCCCTCATCAAGTGTCACTGTAAGCACTGCATTGGGCGTTCTCCACACTCTCTCATATAAGCACAGATGCATTTGGTGTGTGTAATGTTGGACCCACTGGTAAGACCATCTCCCTTTTCCACAAATAAAGTAACTCACATAAAGTTGCATATATTCAAACCTCACTTGACAAAGGTGGGTTGAGCGCACAGATCACATCATTAATTCCAATAATGGCATTAAAATCGGAACCATCTGTGTGTAAAGGACGCATCGCACTCCGTGGCCTGGCTCTGTCTTTCATAGATGTTGGCATATAAAAAAATTTGGCTAACAAAATTGAATATTATAATATTCGTATGTAGGCTTAAAGTAAATAACTCATCTGATCACTGAAACAAATCATCTGTTCAGCCGCCACGCAGCAGCTGCAGGACAAGGAGAAGACACGGAGACATGTCCAGGTCGAGCTGTGCAAGAAATAAGAGGAAGAGGAAGAAAGAAAAAGAGGGAGACAGATTACATATCTTGTTCACTTCATCATGTGTGTCTATTTACTAGATATTTAATTTAATTTAATGTGGTTTCAGCTGTGTTGATTCGGTTTGTGTGTCGAAACGCATGCCAAACGAGCTCATCAGATCAGATAAAGATCAGAATATATCTATATAGATCTAAATGTATGTGCTGACTCAGATTATTAGTTGTTGATGATTATTTATTGCACTGAAATGTGCCTGACACTATGGAAACCTGCCGGTGAGGCATCAGTGATGTATGCTGATACGCCGCTGGTCTGCCAAAATACAACTAGACCAGCTGCGCTCCGCCTGCGCTGAAAGCTGACCAGGGTAAATCGGAGAGCTTTCAGCGCACTTTACACGCCGATCGAAAATGTCACTGCAGCAGCTGATTCTGTTGACACCTCCCTCTGCCACGCCACCACGCCCAGCTTGGCGGACCTCGGTGCGCCTCAGTCCACGAAAATACCAAACTGGCTGTATGCCAGGCTCCGCCAGACGAAAATTTCACTGCGCAGGGTCCGCCGCCTTACAGGTGGACACGAAAATAGAGCCCTTTATCTGCATGACATGCAACACATTTTATTTGCATGTCATTGCATGTCATTTGAAGGTGTAATTTATTTCCAAAGTCTTCAAGATTTGCAACAATTCAAAACATTTCCTCCCATCTTTAAACATTTTTTAACAATTTTATCAGGGCATTATGAATGGCATGTGTATTATTGACATCCTATTTATGATAAGAACAATCCCTAACTCATCTTTCAATTTTTTTTTTAGAATCTGTAGAAAAAGATACATCTGCCATTCTATTTTTAACATTTATGATTGAAACAACAACTTTTTCACATTCTTAAACATTGCAAAACAATTTTGATGCATCTTTTGAACATATCTGCAAATGTTGCCAATTTCTTTGAGATTTAAAATGAACTCAAAAAGCTAAAACTGGCCAAATTTTGGAATTCTTTTCATGGCTCGTGAACAATTTACACTGTGGAGAGGCATAACCGCAGATCATCCTCAACCAGCAGCCTTGACCGGTACTTACTTTTAATCATTGCCAGTGTGGAAAACCTACATTCACAGAGGTAGGTTGAGGTGAAGGGGATGAGCTCTTTTATTGCCTTTGTGGAGACGTGTGGGAATTCAGTCTCCACTGACAGCCAGAAGTGCGCAAGTGTCACGTCACTCATTCTCTTTTTAAGTCCGTGTTACAGCTCAGCTCAGCTAGAGCCTGTTCCTCCTCTACTGAAAGTCCATCTTTGAGTATCACTGGGATAGAAAATGGATTTCTCACACACTGGTTTGCCATTGTTGCCTCTCCAAAATACTCACCAAACTGCTTATGCATCCCCTTCAAATGCGCACAGACCATCTGCTGTAGGGACTCCATCTGCAGCCCCGCTCTGGCCAAAACATTCTCCAAGGTGGGAAACATTTCTACTGTTCCCCGTTCCACACTAGCAACCCACAGTTCCTACTTTTTTTGAATCCTGAGACTTGATTGTGTGTGTGTAAAAGACATTGCACTCTGCCCTGTAGACCAATTTTCAATATATTTATTCTTTTAAAGACATCCAAAAGATATGCCAGTTTTGCTACCCACTTCATGTTCTCCATGTGTTTTAGCAGCGGAGAGTTGATTTAAGCGAGAAAAAAGAGGACTTCCTGACGTAGATCACACAGGCACGTTTCCTTGGGAAAGCCACAGGACTTCGGAGTGCAGAAGCAGTTCAGTCAGGATCACTTTACTCAAAATTAATTATTCATTACAAGCAAACATTTTCACTTTGGCGGTATGGCTCTGTTATGAGGGTTCCCTGCCCTTCCATGCGCTTGCACGGAGTGGCTCTAAGAGGGGAGAGCTCCTCCTCTCCCTTTCATGTGCATACATGAGGAGCCAGACAGAGAAGCAGCAGCAAATAAATTGATTAAGATAATAAATAAAAATCCCAGCACAGAACAGAGCAAGCATCAGTGACAACACATACATTATGACACAACATAGACAGGAGGAGTTGGGGTGGAGGTGGGTTGCAGAGTAGTTGCAGCAGGCAGAGTAGACAGGAGAAGCAGTTTGAATAGGGCGCCATTTTGACATTAGCCAATAGTATGTGAAGAGGGTGATTACCTGAGCTGTCAGCTGACTGAGGGCTGGCTTAAGATCAGCTGACTGTAGCCTTTAGCTTGACTCCGTGACCTGCCTGAACTACAACTGAACATCTGAACTGTGCTTCATTTCAGTCAGGATCACTTTAGTCAAAATTAATTATTTATTACAAGCAAACATTTTTACTGTGGCAGTATGGCTGTGTTCTGAGGGTTCCCTGCCCTTCCATGTGCTTGCACGGAGTGGCTCTAAGAGGGGAGGGCTCCTCCCCTCCCTTTCATTTGCGTACATGAGGAGCCAGGCCGAGAAGCAGCAACAAATAAATTCGATTAAGATAAATAAATAAAAATCCCCCAAAACACTATATAATGCCATGGCTAAAAGGAGGGGAGAGCTCCTCCCCTCCTTTTCATGTGCATGCATACATGAAAGCCAAGGCAGCAAATAAATACGATTAACATAAATAAATCAAAAAAAAAAAAAATATATATATATATATATATATATATATATATATATATATATATGTGGGACAGAATTATGGAGCAGCATTTTTCAAAGTGCTCATAGCTAATTGAGCATAAGCATTTCTTGAGCTTCAGGCCTGAGGTATCGTTCATATTCTGATGAGGACCATTGACCCGTAGCCTTGAGCGTTGAGACGGGGACAATGGAGGATGCCGTTGCAGCTGCATCTATGCATAGAGTCGCGCTCGGGTGGGAGCAAGCAGGATTGGCAGAGCAGGCAGAGCAGGCAGAGGTGAGCAGAAACCATGATCTGGATATAGGTTTCCCTTCTTCAGTGGCAGAGAAAGGCTCTTGCTAGCTGGCCAGTGGCTAGCCTCTCAAGTCAGAATTAGTTCGACAAATAAATGAATACAAATAGATGGGTTTTCAAGCAGACTGGTGGTGGATGGTTCAGACAGCGTAGATGGAACTGAATATCTGCTACAAGTCCTTTAATATTTGCGAGATTCAAAACAGTGGACTATTAATGCACATACAATTGATGTATTTACAGCATTGGAGCTTCAGGGAAGGTGGTACAAAAGAGGTAAAGTGAGACCATGCAGAATCATATTAACTTAAATTCTGATTTTGCTTAACCAGCTCTCGTATAGCAGGCTGCAGAGAGCACACAAGTTTGCAAGACTGCACTCAGACTAACACAGTCTGAATGAATGGGGAACAGGTCAGGCTGGATGGCACTGCCTCTGGGCACAGCTGGCTGAGTTTTTTTACGTCTGAATTGGGACAGGAATCAGTATTTTGGTTATCCTAGCCTGGAAAATGGACTGCTCAAATAATGAACATTACCCAAGACAGGTAAGGCGCCTCATAAACCTATTAGTAAATGGAACTGAAGAGTGCCCTTGTTAATGATATTAATGGTTGTCTCATTGTCACTAAAAGAAAATCTGTTTCCTGGACCAATGTTTACCCCATAGGAGGCCAGATATAATGACTGGATACAATTTGAGGAGAGCAGTTGAAGACACCTTTTTTGGCAGAGAAGACAGTTTATGTGACCAAATATCAGCAACAATTGATATTAAACCCCCCCAAAACCAACAGATGGTGCTGTGACTGTAAATAGCTTAAATCGAGAAGATTCCTGATAGTCACTATAAGAGAATGAGATGCCTTTCCATTTTTACACAAAAGTGACCAAACTGCAGTTTGGATCTGCAGCCTTCATCTAAGCCTACCCTATTGTTACAGGTCCCGTAGATGAGACCATGTACCAGTTAATAATTATGACGACGCCGTCTCTGACTCATGACGGGCATACTAATTTGTGTTGTGTTTCACGTACCTGCAACACATCAAAGAATGGAGACAGAGACAGACATTCACTCTTGGGACAGAGGATCAACTGCTGTCTCTCCTAACACACCACGTGCCAGCTCCTCTGGGAGGGAGTGAATTGGGGCTCTCTCTTGTTCCTGCCTGGGTCTTAGAGGTTCAGTGGCGGGTTCTCTCCTCACAGAGAGATAGAGCCAGTGCCTGTTGTCCTCGTCCTCATCTGAGTCTGATGAGTTACTGCTTTCAACCAGCCCACCATGACGTTGACTCTTTAACTCTGTCTTTCCCAGTAGCTTCCTTTCAGGTAGTGATGATGGCACAGGTATGTTTCTTGTCTTTACATGTCCTGATGGGGGCGGTAGGTCGGTTCGATGAAAGGACTAGATAGTACAATCCCCGGGACTATGCATGGCAGGGGCGTCCTCCTCCCTGAGCCAAGCATGTGCCTGACCACATACCTGAGTGGAAGAGGAGTTGCTGCTTAACAGCCATACTTAGCCCCTGGGACACATCATCAGTTGTGTCCTCAGATCATGGGGCGTTTCGGCCAATTATCACAAGACGCCCTCAACTGAGGCAGGCCCACCACAGGTTGATCAGACCTGGGTGTGTGTCCCAGGGTTAAGCATTTGGCTTAGCAGCCCAGATGGTGTCGCTCCTCTCCATCCACAGCCAATGGCTCGTTCTCTCGGCAGTACTGGCCAGCTCTTTGATGGCCTGTCTGTGAATTTGTCCCCTGATTCCGACCTCCCTAAGGAGCTACACTGTCGAGCTGTCCACAAAACCCCTACAACCGACCTCTACCGGGCGCACCCTCGCCTTCCAGCCCCTGTCCTCTGCCTCAGCCGCTAGGTTGGAGTAGCGAAGTTTCTTGCGTTTATCCGCTTCTTCAACGGCAGGTAAGTCATTGACTAGGTGTAACAGGTTGCGGTGAAGGGTACGAGTTCTGCCTTCTCCTCTTTCTGGGCACACTTTGTACACACGACCACTGTTTAGTTGTTCTTTGACTCAATACACACTGTCTTCCCAGTAAGATCTTAACTTCCCTGGGCCTCCTCTCTCGCCCAGATTGCGGACCAGGACACGATCACCTGGCAGCAGAGTCACACCTTTCACATGCCGATCTTAGTACTGCTTTCCTCTGGCACTTGACTGACGACTGTTCGTAGAGGCAATTTTGTAGGCTTCCCTCATTCTTGCTTCCCACTTTTCCGCATATCCCCTTGGGGATGTGGCTTCCTTCTCCGTTCCCAGTCCAAATAAGAGGTGTACCGGTAGACGAGGATGGCAACCATACCGTAGAAAGGTGAATACCCTGTGGCTTCATGCCTTGTACAATTGTAGTCATGATCCATCTGTGGTAGGTACTCCTTCCATTTATGTTTTTCTTTGTTCTCCAGTGTTCTCAATAATTGTAGAGGGGTTCTGTTGAACCTCTCTGACGGGTTGCACTGGGGGTGGTAGGGTGTGGTACGGGAGTGCCCCACTCCTGAGAGCCGCTGCAGGGTCTTGAACAAATTGTTTTCAAATTCACAACCTTGGTCATGATGGAACTGTCTTGGGTATCCAAAACGTGGAATGTAGTCATCAAACAGCTTTTCCGCTGCAGTCTTTCCTGACTTGTTGCGCGTGGCATACGCCTGGGCAAACTGGGTAAAATGATCCACAACGACCAAGATGTACTCAAACCCCCCGACACTTGGCTCAAGGTGTAGGTAATCGATGGACACGAGTTCAAGTGGCGCAGTGGTGGTAATGGACCCCATCGGTGCCCTGACATGTGACACAGGCTTCTTTTGTTTGATACATGGACATTTTCTGGTTACATAGGTTTCAATTTCTTTCTTCATGTAGGGCTAGTAGAATCTGTCTCTGGCTAGATTAACCACTCTCTCTGTCCCCACATGGCCCATATCGTCATGGAGATGTTTTAGGGCGATGACTCTATACTTGCCGGGGAGGACTAGTGGTTTTCTTTGTAGCGTCTTCCTCCACAGCAACCCATTCTCCAACTGAAGCCTTTCCCACTCATGAAGAAGCCTCTTTACTGGACCACTGGAACTCTTTCTGATTTGATTTGTTAGGTTGGTGTGACCTTCCTTGAGCTTGATAACTTCGTTGATTGTTTTGTCCTCTCTTTGTGCCTTTCTGATGTCTTCATGGCTGAAAACTGACTGGGGGCCAGCTGTTTGCTGCCCCTCTCCTTGAGACAGATTCAACATTGCCACATAGGCCACATCACTTTTCTTTGCTGCTCGACTGCCATCCCACGCTGCCTGGACCGTCTCTTCTGACAACTGTTCTGTGCAGGTAGCTACATACTCAGGCATGTCAACTGGTGGTCGAGAAAAAGTGTCTGCATCAATGTTGATTTTCCCGGGCCTATACCGAATGTCGAAGCGATAGTCCGACAACTCCCCAACCCACCTGTGACCAACAGCGTTTAGTTTGGCGGTACTCATTACGTAGGTCAGGGGATTGTTGTCCGTGTACACCGTGAAGTGGGGAGCATAGAAGAGGTAATCACAAAATTTCTCGCACACTGCCCACTTAAGAGCTAGAAACTCTAGCTTCCCAGAGTGCGTGTAGCAGTTCTCTGCAGCCGACAATGTTCTTGACCCGTAGGCCACAACCCGCAACTTCCCACTCTGGCGCTGGTATAGCACTGCCCCCAGACCCTTCACTGACGCGTCTGTGTGTACCACAAATGGCAGGTCGAAGTCAGGATATGCTAATACCGGGGGGCTGGACAAGATGTCTATCAGATGGTCCAGGACCTCTTGATGTTCTGCCGTCCAATGTACGGAAGCTCTAGAAGACAGCTGGCCCCCTTTTCCGACTCTGGGTGGTGGTTGTGCATCATGGCTTCCATTCACTTATAACAGGCCATATAATGGCTTTGCTATTCTAGCAAAGTCCTGCACAAATGCCCTGTAGTAGAATATGAATCCTACCAGCTTACGGACATCGCCGCTCGTGCTTGGAGTTCTCTCTCTCAATGCCTGGACAGCTGCAAGGTCTGTGGGATCAATCCTGGCTGACACAAGCCTCCCAACGTACCGCACCTCTTTCTTAAATAACTCACACTTGGTGGGCCGAAGTTTGATGCTGTGTTGTTGGAGAGCTCTCAGGACCTGTCGTAAACTTTCCACATGGTTCTCGAAAGACTTTGCATAACACAGGACATCATCCAAATAAAGGATACAGCATTCATCACGTAGAGAGTCCAACACCTCCTCCATGCACCTTTGGAATGCAGCTGGGGCATTTGAGAGACCGAAGGGGATGCGGACCCACTCATAGAGGCCCCAAGGGGTGATGAACACTGTCAGGTGTCTGGATCCCTCTGCAATGTATCCCTGATGATACGCTTTCCCCTGGTCCAAGATAGAAAACCAGCTGTATCCACCCAGTGTGTTCATAAGATCTTGGATTTGGGTGAGTGGGTGTCTGTCAGGGACTGTTTTCCGGTTGAGGAGACGATAGTCCACGCACAGTCTTAGTGTCCCGTCCCGTTTGCGCACACACACCACTGGAGCAGCATACAGTGACTTTGATTTCACAATCCACTTTTTGGCAAGCAGGTCTTGGATGTAGTCTTTGACCTCTTTATAGAGTGGCTTTGGGATGGCTGCATATGTCCATTGCACAGGAATGTCATCCTTCATGGTGATGGTCATTTGAAGGTTAGGGATACAGCCAATATCATCGCTGTCACAGGCAAATGCATTGGACTCCTCATAAAGCAGCTGTTTCACTATTGCCTGTTCCTCGAGCTGTAGATGGGAAATGTCCACTAGTGGATGCCACAATGCTGCTGCATTTGGGGGGGGGGGGGGGGGGGGGTGCCAACTTCACTCACCTGAACACTGTCCACTTGGTCTGTTTTAGTTACTTTGTCAATTGATTGGATGCTACCCAGTGTTGTGCGGGAGGCTAGAACTACATCATGCTTGGTTGGGTTACTCACAGGGATTTTGACATATGGCCTCTCTGTGTGGTGCACTCCAACTAGACAGTCTCCCATATCTAGCTGCTCAAGTTGTGGATCATCAGGGCAGATTTCAAAGAGAGCCATGGAGTGGATGAAAGTGGCAGGTACTGGGAACTTTAAGTAGGTTGTCTGACCTGGGTGAACGACAATGTCATGATAGCCTACTTTGACTGGCACTTGCTCACATACATTTGTCCTTTTCTTGGTCCTAATGAAGTTCACCACTGCTTCAACTTGGTCGGTCTCGATCTGCATGGCCCCTTTAAGGAGGGTGCATATGACGGGTAAGGCATCAGTTTCATCTTCTTGGCTTAAGATGATCTCTTGGATGACATTGAAGCCTAGCAGTGGGCGTAGCAGAGCAACTTGACTTACAAGGAATGTGACTTTGATGGAGTACTCTGGGTTATCATTACCCGGCAGATTGACAATCACCTCTATCCATCCATCATAGGGGATTGTTTCTCCATTGGCTGCCATGACATCAAGACCATCATCGCCCATCAGCTCGCTTAATGGGTGAATCTCCTGATGTGGTAGGTATCGCTGTCTCCACGCTCGATCTATTAGGCTGACCTAGGCCCCTGTATCAAATAGAGCAGTAACAGCATAACCGTTCATATTTCACTTTAGTAGGCACTTCTTCCCAATTAACTGTGCCACTCTCTCAGATGAGGGTTTGTTACCGGCTCGTGGGTCAGTACGTTTGTTATTGACCAACGGGTCAGGAGGATCGGTGGGGTGGTCTTGCTCATTGCTACTGGCGTTTGGCTGGGACACTGGCTGTGTCTCATTTCAAAGACCGCATCGGGATAAGCGCGCTTAGCTGAGCGCACTGCCGTTTTGTGCCGTTATGTGCCATTATGCGTTGTTATGTACCCTTCTTGTGTCCCATTTCAGAGACCGCAATCCTCGAACGGCGCATTTGAAGCGTGTGTGAGGTCATCACGAACGGTGTCCCGTTTGGCACAAAATGCTAAGCGCGCTTCAAATTCGGTCTCAAAACCACACTGCCCCCGCCCCTTTTTCAAGGGTGCCGTTGGTATCCCAGAATTCTTTGTGTGCCGCTGCACAGCTGCGCATTTCAGGTGAGAGGCTGGACTCGCTTGGAGACACAGCGCGTCTTCATAGAAAATAAAACAAATCCGAAAACAGCAAGCAGTCAGCTCAGGCTGTATGAGCGCATGTTCTCTGAACTCACTAAAATCTGCAAACCAAACATAGATTTAGATATAACTGATCCGCTCTGCTACATCAAAAACATTAGAAATAAGAAAGCTGACAAAACTACAGCAGAGGATCAGGACAACATTGAGTTTTTCTTTTCTTTTAAGATTAAGAGATTAAAGTTATAAATTTAGGAGAATAAAGTCATAAAGCTGCTTTTGTGGAGGAGGAAATGACTGAAGCTGGTCATCTGCCGGGTTATCTGTGGGTGTATCAGCGGGTCATTCAGAGAGATTTTGTGGTTTCTGAAGAAAATCAAACTGATGATGATCAACATTTGTGATCCAGAGGGAGTCGAGCTCCGACAAGCACCACGTCTCTGACACCGGCGGTAGCCTACACCTGCAGAGACACCAACACCTTATTATGGCATATGGATTCATATCATAAATTGAAGCTCAATGTCATTCACGGATATTTACGGCTGGATTGACTGATATATCTGCAGCATCTCCATTTCTGCCTCCACAAAAGCAGCGATTTCCTTCAAGTACACCAGTTTTTTTCCCTGTGGAAAAGACGTGTTTCTCATATATTCTTTTTTTAAGTCTTTATACTTATGACAATGTGATGCTGATGTGCCAGAGGATGAAGTATCTCCTTGTTTGTGAAACCTATACCGAAGCACAGTTCCTTTAAATGCTTCATGGCCCTAATTTTACTAGTTCTTTTTGCTGGTTGAATAGATGCCACACACATTTTAGCTGACACACTTTAAATTTGTGGGCATTAAGTTTGATTGTGGGTTTGGTATTACAGTGTACACTCTGATGTAACTGCTCTATGTACTTCACCCAAACTATAGAGATATGACATTGAAGAGGGGGTGGTGGGACCAATGGACAACAACAACAACAACAAAAAAAAAGAAAACAAGAGAGGGAAGAGAAAACAAACAGAAAAAAAGACATTGACATCAAAATGTATAAGGACACTGCACATAAAAAAAATGTGGCACATCGATCAAAGACAACAGGGTATAAACAGAATGTTCTGGTTTAAAATTTGTGTGGTCTTTAGTTGTGGTCCTGTCGTCGTTCGTTTCTGTGGACCTGTCTCGTCTTGGCTGTTTCTGTGGTCGCTCTATGACATGCAGCTTGTAGAAGTACTTGAGTGTTTAGTGGTAATTTGGAGGAAACAGTTGGTTCTCTCTTTCTTTCTTTTATTTTTGAAAGTTGTTTGGTTGTTGTTTTCGTCTAGAAGGGTGCCATCATGATGGATTCCCAGCTGTCCCACGATGGTTCATCTCACAGCGTCATTGCTCCTCTGTCACAGCCTTCCCCCCAATTAATTAATTGAGCTACATATGGATGAATAAAGTTAAAAAAAAAAGTTAAGCTACCTCAGCCAGTGGCAGCATCTTGCTGCGTTTTTTCTTCTTAGAAGTTCTTCTTCAAAGCAGACCTTACAAAGAGCTTTACAAACACAAAGGTCACCAAAAAAGTAAGTCTGTAAAATTTTTTGAAACAGCTAAAATGACTCTTCATCCATCAGCTGCCTGAAACAAAAGAGAGTTAACATTCTTCAAAGGATAGTAGGTTTATTTTAAGATTTTATTTGTACATATTTCAACATGTAAACAGTGATTTCTTCACACTGCCTTGATGAGGAGCTTTTTTATTTTTTCTCAATCATCTGATGGTCAAATGTTATCTATAAACACATTTTGGGCTAAGAGGAGTTTTCTTATCTGCTTCAATAAATTCTAAATGATGACTGATATGCCACATGAAACTGGAACTTGGAGCTTGGCAAATACTACTGCATTGCTTAGACTTCATGCTACCTGAATGTTGAGGCCGTTCAGGAAAAACCTGTAACATTCATATAGAACGTCATCGGGTAAATCAAACGGATTTGAACGATCACGAATGTAACGCTCTGGGCGAAGCGCTCCTCTCACTCTCTGTGCACTGATGTCCATGGGATCCAGCAAAAGTGGGCAAGCCATTTTCCAAGAAAGCCAATTGGTTGGTGGGTGGTGTTTTACACCCACTGGATCATATCAGGAAACATAACCTGCTCCGGAACAGGTTTGGCATTCTGCATAAGTTACTGGGCAACAGACCCGGATAGGAAGAAATCCACCTTTGTAGTAAGAAAAACCCAGGAGTTATTCCAGAAGTTATCTTGCTAAGATCAAGATAACTCCAGCTTCGTAGTACAGGCCTCAGGTGTCACAGCTTAAACACAACAGCTCAAAACTGATCACACTTTTGGCTATTGATGTGAGAAAACCAATGTAAGTCAGTTCAGAGGTTTTTTTTTAGCATTACAAGGCTGGGGAGATGTGATGTGGATGAAGTCCTTTGGCCTGACTCAGCATGAAGACATGATGCTGTAGCTGAATGATTGTGGATACTGTAAGCACTTGAGTTTAACATTGTTGTTTATACTGTAAACAACCATATCAAACTGTGCTTCTCATTTATATTTGTTTTCACTATATTATTAATGTATACAAGCTCTAAATTCACAGAGAATATTTTTTTTTTTTCCAAAATTCATTTGGCCTGTTGTGAACAATAATTTCCACAGCTTCATGTCCTGAGCGACTCTCAAGACATGAAGTTTATGTTGTGTGTTATGACTGCTCAATTGTGTTTTTTGCTATGATCACTATGATGGGGTATGATCTAAAAACATTGTTTGGTTATTGGTTTTGAGCACAGGTTGAACTGTTTTGAGGCGATTGTTTGGTTTTGCAGGAAGAGTCAGAGGTTTGGTGATCAAGTTTAAAAATTGTTTATTCTCCTGAAAGTGTTGAGAAAAGCTTGGTGGATGTCAAGAAATGTGCCTTAGCAATTAAGAAAAACTGTATCACAGAGCCTCTCCTGTCAGTGCACTGTTGTTTCTCACCACAGGGTGGCAGTGTAGCATCATGAAGCTCAGAGCTCTCACAGACTGAGCCTCCTGTGTCCTCTCTGGATAGTGTCCTTAGATGCAGGGATACTCAGACCTGATATCTACAGTGAGGTTTTGCATGCAGGCCACTCTGGCAATTGAAATTAATATTTGATTTCTCTGCAGAGACTCCAGACAGAACAGGAGCAGCCAGCCCCCGCAGCAGCAGCAAAGGTGCAAAAGGTAAAATCATTACTGTTTAAAAAAAAGATACTCTTTTAATCTCAGGTTGGAAAATCTGTCCCTCCTGAGTTTTGCTCTCACATCCGTCCTCACAGGAAAACCACATTTTCACAGTTTTTCTTATAGAGTTTGATGATAAATAGGAATTAGTGCATCAGAGGCCTGATGTTCAGTGAATCGGGTTAAAATTTAAAAGATGAATGAAACATCCTAACTGAAACCCTCCTGCTCTTTGGATTAACAGGTTCTCCAGTATTTATTAAACCTTTAGAAGGAGCTGCACAGTAACACTTTAGTTTGGGTTCTTCAAACACAGTCTGGGACAGGGTTCCTACAGGTCTTTGGAAAGTCTGAATCCTGATAATTTCCGTCAAAAACCCAGCTGTCATCTTTTCTGCATTACTCTTTCGTGCTGAAATCCTTCATGTTTAGTTTTAAATATTCTTATTCCTGTCTCTCTCTTCCATTTCATTTTTAGAGTGCTTTGTATTAGTCAAATAAATACAGATAAAAGTGGGGTAGGCAGGAATCTGTTAAAGAAGCATCTTTTTTTGTGATGTATATAGAAAAAAGCTTTTAATATCAGTCAATAGCTAGTCATTGATGACATTTGGTAATGTCCCAACATCACTGTGTTTTGTTATGTCTGTGTAGTCAACATTTTAAATTTTTTGAGGGGACTGGTACCCAAAACAGCACATGAAGGGGGACATACCTGTGGCCGAGGAGGTGTGTACTCCAGGACGCTGGATGATGGGCCACAACACACCGCAAAGACGACTCGAGGTTTTGATTGGCCCGCTCCGTCTGGCCGTTGGTCTGCGGGTGAAAACCCCGAGGAGAGGCTATCTGCCGCGCCCACTGCCTGGCAGAAAGCTTTTCAGACCTGGGAGGAGAACTGGGGACCATGATCTGATATGATGTCAATAGGGATACCATGGAGGTGGAAAACATGAGACACTAGGAGGTTAGCAGTCTCTAGAGGGGAGAGACATAATGTACGAATTTGGAAAACCTGTCTATGATGGTGAGTATGACAGTGTTACCTTCAGAAGGGGGGAGACCAGTGACAAAATCTAGAGCTATGTGAGACCAGGGGCGTGAGGGCACAGGCAGGGGACGCAGCAAGCCAGCCGGAGGTTGGTGGGAGGCTTTACCTCGGGCACAGATGGAGCAGGCAGCAACAAACGCCCGTACGTCCCGGACCATCCCTGGCCACCAGAAACGCTGCTGAAGGAATTGGAGGGTGAGCTGAAATCCGGGGTGGCAGGTGCGTTTAGAGGAGTGCCCCCACTGTAGGACCTGGGAACGTGCAACCTCAGAGACAAACTTTATATCAGGAGGGCTGGTTCCAGGGTCCGGGTGTTTCCGGAGAGCCTTATCCACCACTGTGTCGACCTCCCAAGAGACAGAGCCGAGGATACAGGAGGAGGAGGCAGGGAGGATGGTGTCCGGTTCTCTGGGGTCTGAGGTAGCAGAGGAGTAGATCTGGGATTGGGCGTCAGGTTTGAGGTTGCGGGAGCTGGGACTATAGGAGAGGGTGAAGGTGAATCTGCGGAGGAAGAGGGACCAGCGGGCTTGCCTGGAGTTGAGGCGTTGAGCAGAAAGGAGGTACTGAAGGTTCTTGTGGTCAGTCCAGATGAGGAATGGGTGTTGCGCTCCTTCCAGCCAGTGTCTTCATTATGGAGTGCCCACACAACAGCCAGCAACTCACGGTTTCCCACGTCATATTTTCGTTCGTTGGGTGAGAATTTCCAGGAGAAGTAGGCCCAAAGATGGAGCTTCTGGGTCTCGGTATCCCTCTGTGAGAGGACAGCCCCCACTCCGGAGTGGGGGCCGAAAGTCACAAGCACTTATCCGAGGAGAAGGCCAGGAGAAGCGTCTGTACCACTGAGAAGTGAAGACAATACTCAGGCGCTGAGACTGAGGGCTGCTGGCTTCTTAAAAGGACCTTGATTGCAGATGCAGAGCAGGTGTGGAGTCTCACTCAGCCTCAGCGACCGGGGGAAGGGAAAGTGCACTGAAACAACAGTCAAGCCAGACCAGGAACACAAGGAAAATGGGAAGTTAAACCAAAATAAAACAGGAAGAAGAGGCGTCTCACCACAGATTTAAATGACTCTGAAAAGTCAAAAATTGTAAAAAGTCTTTCAGAGGGATGCAGCACTCTGAAATTGCTTAGATATTTGGGCGTGATCACAGAACCAGCAAACACACAGGGTCGCAAGAACGTGTTAAGAAAAAAAGACGCAAATTAACTGCCAAAGATTTGAGAAGACTCAAACATAAAGCTACCAGGAACCGCTTATCCTCCAGTGCTGTCATATTCCAGAACTGCAACCTACCTGCAACCTACCCAGAGTGCCCAGAAGTACAAGGTGTTCAGTGCTCAGAGACATGGCCAAGGTAAGGAAGGCTGAAACCTGACCACCACTGAACAAGACACACAAGTTGAAATGTCAAGACTGGGCCAAGAAATGTCTGAAGAGAGATTTTTCAAAGGTTTTATGGAATGATGAGAGTGACTGTTGACGGACCAGATGGATAGGCCCATGGCTGGATCAGTAACGGGCACAGAGCTCCACTTTGAATCAGACGCCAGCAAGGTGGAGAAGGGGTACTGGTATGGGCTGGTATTATTAAAGATGAGCTAGCTGGACCTTTTCGAGTTGAAGATGGACTTAAAATCAACTCCCAAACCTACTGCCAGTTTTTAGAAGACACTTTCTTCAAGCAGTGGTACAGGCAAAAGTCTGCATCTTTCAAGAAAACCATGATTTTTATGCAGGACAATGCTCCATTGCATGCAACGAAGTACTCCACTATGTGGCTCGCCAGTAAAGGCCTTAAAACTAAAAGAATAATGACATGGCCTCCTTCCTCACCTGACCCAAACCTGATTAAGAACTTGTGGGCCCTAATTAAATGGGAAATTTACAGTGAAGGAAAACAGTACACCTCTCTGAACAGTGTCTGGAAGGCTTTGGTTACTGCAACACAAAAAGTTGATTGTCAATAGATCAAGAATCTGAAAGACTCCATGAATTAAAGGCCTATGACTGTTATTGAAAAGAAGGGTGGCTGTATTAGTTACTGATTTTTTTTTTGAAATGTCAAAAATTTTTATTTGTAAATTTTGAGTTGTTTGTTTATCATTCTCACTTTAACAAGTGAAAATAAACAAGTGAGATGGAAAATTTTTCATTTTTAATTTAGTTGCATAATAATTCTGCACACTAATAGTTGCCCAGTAATTGTGCACACATAGATATTCTCCTAAGGAAGTCAAAATCTCACTTTTACTCCCTTAAATATTCAGGTTTGAGGTTCATTAACATTTTGGATTGACTAAGAGCACTGTAGTTGTTCAAAAATACAATTTATCCTCAAAAATACAACTTGCCTCATAATTGTGCACACAGTGTACAGTAGCACCAGTGCTGTTTACTTTCACGTTGACTGGGCTCCATTTGTAATTATCTGAAGTATTTATCTGCATTATACTGCAGATATTTATACTGCAGTATTTATCTGAATTTGATTGGAATGATACAAGCTAGCGTCTGTTTGTGGGCGGGGCTTGCTGGAGCAGAGACGGAGGGGAGAGGAGGAGCTGAGGGGAAAACTGGTTGGGAGGGGTAGTGTTTACATTTGAGATTTCTCCCCAAAACTGGCACTTCCTCAGATCCTGCCTACCCCACCTTTAATTGTTATCATTAATTAAATAAGAGGTAGCAGCTTTGCAAGCAGACTGCTGTCTCTTTCCTGTCTTTAAGCTCCGGTGTTGAACCCTGTTGAACTTTAGTTCATTCCACGTCATCTCTAAATATTAGATTAAGCTTTCATTCTCTCTGTGCATAAAAGGTAAAAAGAGAATGATAAAAAGCTGTTTCATTTTTGAACCTCTGCAAAGAGGAAGATTGCCGATCAACTGACCAACCAGGACGAACATGAAGTCACGCATATAAACCCCTACCCCTCCCACCATTAATTCAGATAGCAGAGTGAAGAATGCAATGGAGTAGAAGCTGTATCTGTAGCAGAAGGTGTATTTGTAGTAGGGGAGACAGGGTATGGTTGTAACACTTTTCGCTTCAGCACCTCTAACTCACTGAATTTTTGAGTTAGAGTTCTCAAACTTTGATACAAAGTACCCACAAATTGCACCAATTCAAACTTCTGTAGGAATATCACAAATGGCATAAGGTGATGTCAAATACATGGTGATCCTTTGTTACAAGCTTCCCCACAACTGGGGTTGGTTATAACACATGCTGGGGAAAGTTCTAACAATTAGACAAAAAAGCAACAACAGAGGCCACACCATGTGATGTGCTTAAAAAAAAGGTTTATTGAAATTAGAGAATAATCCAGAACAACAACTGCAGACAATTATAGAAATTAATTACATGGAATATATATTTTTTCTCTATCTGCTGCAGACACACCTACTGCTGCAAATACACAGAACTCTAATAAATACACCTGCTACTACAAATATATCTGCTACTTCAGATACACCTAATTCAACAAATATTTGTAGTATCAGGTGTATTTTTTAGAGGAAGATATATTTGTAGTAGCAGATGTATTAGTGGTAATGGGTGTTTTGATGGAAATTAAACAGTTGTCATTGCACAGGTAATGGTATCTTTGAATGAAAGTTTAAAGCATATTAACGTATTTTCTGTCCTCGTCTTTTTGCAGAAACCTGGTCTGTGTCACCGGGTCTGTCGTCTGGCTCTTCCTCTGTGGCTTCTCCTCCTTGCTCTGCTCCTCCTTGCCTTCCTGCTGCCGCTTATGGATGAGGGAAACAGCTGCTCGCTCTCCAACAACTTCGCCAGATCCTTCAACATTATGCTGCGATATGATGGGCCACCGCCAACATAGGAGACAACCTGCAACTACCACAATGATTCATATCAGACTGCTACAGTCTGAGTCAGAGAGGTTATTTTAAACGCTCTGACTCCTCCCACCTTCATTTGACCATCATGTGTTTGTAACTCTGACTCCTCCCTTTCCTCCGATTATCATGTTATTTACACTCTGACCCCTCCCCTTCCTCTGATCATCATTTGTTTATTTCTATGACTCCTCCCTTTGCTTCCATCATCATCTATTTATCACTATGACTCCTCCGTCAGTCCAGTCAGATCTCAGACTGGACCTGTCTTTCTCTTTCTCATTCTCCGTCCACTGGGACTTTTTTGTCTATATTCTTTTACTCTGTGAATGTGGAGGAGCAGCAGAGCCAATCCTGATATTGAAACCCTGAAACTTTTATTTATTTCAGTAAAATCCCTGTAAACAGGAACTTTCATTAATTTTTTTATGAGACTTCAAGAGTTTAAACCAAAATGTAGAAGCTTGAGTGTCTGTAAACCAAAGTCAGAAAAGTCTTTACTTTTAAATCTTCATTTTAAGAAGACATGTTAAGAGGGCCTTCATTTTAAATGACAGAAATGAAAAGCAGATAAGAGACGGATAACTGTATAAAAATAGAGAAGAACTTCACTTCGGCCTGCTTCTGCCAACATTGAAAAAAAATAATAATGTGAAGAGCTACTCTTTAAAAAGATACTGATATAATTTTTAAAAATTGAAACAACTGTGTCTGAAACATAGAAATGTACTTAATTAGTATAATTATTGGAAAATAATTTTCACTTTGTTCTGATTTTCCAAATCACATTAAAAATGATTGAGATTATTGTTTAAAACTTTAAACTGGTTTAAAATAATACAGATTACTGTTTAAAACTTAAAACTGGTTTAAAATAATCCAAAATACTGTCCAAAACTTTAAACTGGTTTAAAATTATTCAGTTTAAAGATTTAAACAGTAATCTGGTTTAAAATAATCCAGATTACTGTTTAAAACTTTAAACTGGTATAAAATAATCTAAAATGCTGTTCAAAACTTGAAACTGGCTTAAAATGATCCAGATTACTTTTTAAAACTGTAATATGATTTAGAATAATCCAGATTAATGTTCAAAACTTTAATCTGGTTCAAAATAATCTATATTACTGTTTTAAGATTCTGTCTGGTTTAAAATAATCCATATACTGTTCAAAACTTTGAACTAGTTTAAAATAATCCAGATGATTTTTTATTATTTAATCTGCTTCAAAATTATCCAGATTACTGTTTAAAACAGATACAGGCTAGAGAGAATCATTGTTTTAAATATTTTAATAATTTTATTATCTATTTTTAAAAATCCTCAAAGTTAAAACCATCTGAGATGGCCCTGCAGAGGATCAACTTTAAAGAACTAAAACATTACCCGAATGTATGAACTAATAGAAGTATCAGACAAGTCTTAATAAATGGAATATTGCTGTTAGACAAGAATACAAGTTTCAACATTTCTGCAAAGAATTTTTTTTATTTGATTTTTACAATCCAGGCTTAATCCTGCCCTGTACTGAGATCAGGACACAGTGATCCTGATCCTGCTTAAAAGACACAAACTAATCAACATTAAGAATCAACTCTATGAAAGATCCTTCTTGCTTTATAAATACTTTCTTGATTACCTGTTGATCAGATTCAACCTGATCAGGTGACTCCAGAACAGCTGGGTGCTTGCCTGACCAAATATGGTCTGTGTTTGATACCTCATAAGTATCACACCTGCAGAATCACACCTGCAGTATTACACCTGCAGAATCACACCTGCTGAGCCACACCTGCAGATTCACTCCAGAGTCATACCTGTCAAACCATACCTGTAGATGAATCTCTGCAGTCACATCCGTAGACTCACACCTGCTGACTTACACTTGTAGACTCTCGAAAGGGTTCTGAGGACTCTATGAAGGCTCTCTGCAGACTCTCTGGAAACTGATAGAGGACTTCTGTGGAGCATCAGCTGGTTGTTGCGATTGTTGAGTTGTACATTGTTTCTTCTAAGATCTCTCACCCTCCTGATCTGATTTATGAAGGTGACTTTACCCCATTGTTCTCAGTCTTGTAAATGATAGTTTGATTTAGTTTTCCCTCTGTTTCGGTCCTGATGTCTCTCAAGCTAATTCGTGTATGTTGTTGCAGGGTATTGGTCTGCAGCAGCTCTTTTTTGTCCTCTCTGTTTTTACCTTCAAGTTTCTACTGAGAGCTGTTTGAGAGTCAGGACTCAGAACTGTTTTGCCTCAAACTCTACTCTCTGCCTTCAGCTTGGTCCAAACCTCTAGTAAAAACACTTGGAGAGCCATATAACACCCCCATGACGTGTCCCTGGACCACCATGAGTGTTGGATACCAGATCTTGCTGTAAACATTGGCAGGCGCTTTTGTTCGGACCTAAAATAGCTCATAAGTGCTCTTTTCTCCTGCATTCTGCTCTTTTCTCACCACGCACACTCCTAAAAATACTCCTGAAATCACCTCCACACACCTCCACAGGCTCAGAGTTTTCCTTTTTAGGCAAGGTTTGCTCTGTTATTGGCCAGGCACTATTGCCACGGAAACCTGCAACAAAGTCCACTTGAACTGTGATGTGTCAGGGCCCGATTGCTGTACTTCTTCACTGTTCCATGTTAGATTTCAAATCTGTTCAGGAGTGAAGGAGCAGGGGAGGATTTATCAGAGGACTCAGGGTAATTTCAATATTTCAGTCTCACCTGAACATCTCAGCTACTCCAGGCAGCTCAGTATGAAAAAGTTTGGGTCTTTTTAACTAAAAACAGAAAGAGGTCACTGCTCTGTTTGCACACCTTTAAAACAGTGTTCACATTATAGCTGAAATTTACTTTTCACTGAGAGTCCACAAGAGTCAGTCAGGTTTATCACAGAAGTATAACAGTAAATGTCCTCATGATCACAAACAGGATTCACACAGTAAGTCCAGCTGCAGCTCAAATATCCTGTTAAATGGGCTTTCTCTCTGCTGCATCACTTAATATCAGATAAACTCCAGAAAATATCAGGAGAATCAGGTCCAGGTTCTCAGGAGTTACTCTCTTCCTTTTTAATACCTGGTGAAGGATTTTCTGAAGTTTCACTCCAGCCTGTAAAATATTCTGTTCACCTGAGACTGTGCTGGACAAGGATAAGGACTAATCCACTTTACCTGAAAGAGTAAAAGCAAAATACAAGCAAGCAAAACTTGCAGGATGCAGCCAAACTGCTGCACATACAGAGCCAAATCTACTAGGCTGATACTGCTGCATAGATTTGTTCCAAAATCAGTATATGATCATGCTGTTGTCAAGGTCAGCCTGTGAGTTTCAGCTTGGAGCAAAAAAAAAAACTCTCTTCACAGGTCTGTGGATCTCAAAGAAGTCAGAAGTGAGTATACATGTCTGTATCACTTCAATTTCACTGCAGCTGTCAGGCCCTTTCTCCCGTGTGATTTTAAAGATGTCTGCATATATTCAGGAGAGCAGAGCATGGAAGGTGCTCTGAAGCATTAATTAAACTTTCAGTAGAGTTAGAATGAATGCTGCAAGTGTGCAATGAGATGTTTAAGCCCTACATGATACCAGGTTTCTCATTCCTCATTCTGGCTAATGTCTGGACATTTTCAGAGGTCCATACAGAACATGTATGAAACATGCTCTGGTGACAAGCTATGGTTCAAGTTTTTACAGGATTGTAATTTAAGCAGCTTTTCTGGATATTGTCTGGACATTTTCAGGAGTGCAGCATTATAAGCTGCAACAGAGGTAAACTCCCTAACCCCTACACTCCCCACAGACTCTGGTGTATATTTTTAGTTATGATGTGGACACAGCTTGAAACAATGAAACTATAGGCTGAGTTATAACTGGGTTTTAAATTAACCCGTTTCATCAGATTAAAACAGGAAAGAAGCCATTATTTACGGCCCAAAGTAAAAGTCTTTCTCTTTATGAAGCAAAGACAGAAAAAAGTTTCCTGAATTTGTTGACAAAAGTTTAAGGCACAGATGCTGTTGGCTTTGTGCTTGATAATGACTCTAAAATTTGATATAATGGTCATAGTTAAGGTACTTGCATTCATTTTCCTTAAAAACCCAACAATTCCCAAAGTTTCTGACCTCTTTTGACCCTGATTTTTAATGAGTGAATATATTAAACATGTAGCATCATATAGCCAGTTGTCATAGCCTTAAAGGCTCTCTGTAAGCAGCATATAACCTCCTCAGTGCCATTGTGACATGTATTTATTGATTACATAGCTTTCTAAAGCGTTAAATACTGTCAATCTCAGTTATGTAACCACTTTAAATATAGAGATATTAATCTGTGTGTGTTTGTGATACTGTATGATAATCAAGCTGAATGATGCTGCTGCATGCGTCCTCTCCGACTCTATGCATTATCTGCTCTGTGTTACTGTGCGTCACTGTCCATTCAGACTTTATGCAACTAATTAAATTACTTGAACCTGCTCAGCTGACCCTGCAGACACAGACTGTAGCAGACTCAAAGAAAAAACTTTTGTTGTGCAAAAAAGTCACAACTGCTTTCACACTTAGGTCCTTCCTATTCCCTTACAAAAATGCACAGATGATGACAGTGAGAGCTTTGTTAAAGGATCAAAGTCTATTTTGTTAAAGTTAGAAACATAAGAAGTGCTTTATATTATTCAACAAGGCTTGTATTTTTTGATGTTTTTATATCCTATTAAATAAATAAATAAAAGGTGTACACTATCTGAACTTGAATCTGTGTGTTTATTTTCAAGGTAATGACGCAGAGAGGCTAAAGACCTGGGGCCTCATTTATAAAACCTGGCGTAGGATCCAAAGTGTACGTAAGTCGAAAAGCTGAAAAGTGCGTAGGACAAAAAAAAATCTGATTTATAAAACCCTGCCTACGCACACCTGCAGGCACTTTCCCTTTATAAATCACAGACCAGCCGGAAAGTTGTGCAGCAGGGTTTTGATTCATGCCCCGCCCTCCCACACCCAAAATTCACCATGTATGGTCATGCAAATTACCTCATGAATGTGATTTGCGTATAAATAAGCCTGATGGATCAACAGCATTTCTCGATTAATCGAAGGCAAAACGAAGAAAGAGAAACTTTTTAGAGACGGAGGTGGAGGTCCTAGTAGATGAGGTGGCGGCGAGACGGGACACCTTATTCGTCGGCCATTCGAGTGGCATCACTAATAAGAGAAAGGCCACCGAATGGCACGCTGTTGCTGTTAGTGGTGTGTCGGTCTTGAACGAACGTATCAAAAGAACTAGTTCTTTTTGGTGAACAAAATGAACTAGTTCTCCCCCCCTAAATGACCCGTTCAGTCCGTTCAGTTCTTTTGATTGGCTGAAGAGGGACTATCTCCGTGCTTGCCTGTCTTATCCTATCGTCGCGCCTCGTTCTGTGTGCGGGTGGGGCTTAGAAAAGCAGCAGCAGTATGTAACCCAGGTTACTAGGCTCTGATGAAAGCATCATCAATTCATTAAACAAATAAATACATAAATATCGAGGTTGGTTAAATAAATACGCCTAAAATAATTTTACATGGAATAAATAAATTAGTTCATGGTTTTAAAAATATTAAAAAGGGTAGTTAAGTTCACTGATTGTGCCTTTTAAAAAAAAAGATCTGTTAAACCGTTAAACCATGAGCCGTGTGGGTGACATTTAGTCTGAAGAAGTGTGTATGTAAATACTGCTTGAGTTTCTGGCCGGGTCTTTTTCTTTCCATGGGTTCGAGAAATGAAGAATTCTTCTGCTGGGTTCTTCCCTGTTCTGCAAGGTAGAAGGGAGGCTCAGTGGTTGTGGCGGGCCACCCAACAAGGACTGTTATCTTTGGTTTGCTTGGAGTTTATTTGTGAAATATTGTCACCGAGCTCATATGTAAATGAATACTGTTCTCTGTTTTAATGTTTTCTACTTTTTTCTAACCGTTACCAATACAAATCAATACACAAACCTACATATTGTCAGTTGAGTCCTTTACTCTGTCACTCATTACAATTTCAAATACCCCTTTCTCCTGTAGCGAATTTAGACTTCTGATTCACTGGTCCACAGAGTTGTTAATATTATATAGAAACGTATCTGTATCATCTAGCCATTGCTAAGGACAGTCAAGGCTGAGGTGGGTTACAAGTACAACTGAGCTGACTGAAAGACCGGGATGACCGAGTTGACTGAAAGAACGGGTTAAATGAACAAAAGACCGAGTTGAACGAAAGACCCAGACAGATGAACGAGTTGACTGAAAGACTGAGTGAACGAAAGATCCAGATGATGAACGAGTTGACTGAAAGACCGAGTGAACGAAAGATCCAGACAGTGAACGAGTTGACTGAAAGACTGAGTGAACGTAAGATCCAGACCGATGAACGAGTTGACTGAAAGACTGAGTTGAACGAAAGACCCAGATGGATGAACGAGTTGACTGAAAGACTGAGTGAACAAAAGACCCAGACGGTGAACGAGTTGACTGAAAGACCGAGTGAACGTAAGATCCAGACTGATGAACGCTTTGACTGAAAGACTGAGTGAACGAAAGACCCAGACGGTGAACGAGTTGACTGAAAGACCGAGTGAATGTAAGATCCAGACCGATGAACGCGTTGACTGAAAGACTGAGTGAACGAAAGATCCAGACCGGTGAACGAGTTGACTGAAAGAACAAGTTGACTGGCGGCCGCACGAGCCGACAGCCGAGCCCGAGCGAGCTGGACAGTCACACACACACAAAGGCACACAGCTGCTGCTGCAGCCAGATGCAGAGAGACAACTATTAATACGCATTTGCACTGTCTGTTGACATTCTGTACTTTTTATTATTGTTTTTAATGCACCTCAAAATAATAAAAACCATTAAAAACCTTATATATTTTGTTACTCCTACTATAATTTTATATTACAAGGAGTGCAGCGTGATCGCAGCGTTGGACCGGGGGTGGGAAGTGGGGAGTGCAGCGGTCACAGCTTCGGACCGCGGGGGGGTTGTAATGCTTCAGATTTCAAGATCACATGTTGTTGCACTGTTGAGTTTGTGCAGTCAGTCCGTTCGCTCATCATGTTCGTTCAGACGCTGAACGAACGTGAACAACATGAACGAGCGGACTGACTAATGACCGATTGACCGAAATAAACGGGTCTTTTCACTGAACGGCCCAGAATGATCCGGTTCACTGAAATGAACGGTTTTGCCCACCACTAGTTGCTGTGGCGGTTAGTGAGGCTGGCACTGAGCGCAGCGTTGCCGAAATTAAGAAGTGGTCGGATCTGAAGATTGAGGCAAAGAAAAAAGTGGCTTTGCACCGTCGGAGTGTGGTGGCTACAGGTGAGGATCAGAAAACACAAGCACGTGTGACACTCATGCATGTGTTCCAAAAAAACCTGCTCCGTTATCCACCGCTGCTTATGTGGTGAAAGTTCGTAAACCAAAAAGATTTAGTCGAAATATTTAACGTGGAATCTATTTGTTGCATTTCAAATTAAATGCTAAATCCTGAAATCAAAATGTTGAATGAGAAGTAACTTCTGAATCATGCTCGCAAGGTTCCTTTTCTGTGATGTCGCCAGCACCTTGCAACTTTTGACTGAGCAGAAAGTCTACAAATTTTACACACAGGTGGCGGCCAGACCACAGAGGAACCAACACCACTTCAATGCAAAATTGCCTCCGTTATTGGAAGTGCCGGTGTGTGTGGCATTGTGTCGGAGAGGGAGGGCGACACAGATTTTGCACAGACTGAGGAGATTTGTAAGTTACAATTTTACCCGTTTATTGAATCGAATGTTTGTACAGACACATGGCAAGAAATGATGTACATTGTCTCCTCAGTCACTTTGCAGTTGGAAGCAGTGGGAGAGGAGGTGGAGGAAGAGGAGGTGTGTCCCAGCGCGTCTGGCACACAGGCTGCAGGCCCGTCTTTCCCCAGCACGCCCAGTGGATCCAGAGTGCCCTCTGTGTCTGCAGACAGTCCTGCAGACACAGAGGGACACGATCGAGGCCATCAGAGAAGTGAGGGAAGAACTGGCACAAATACGCACAGTCTTGCAAAACATGTGTGACATAATGTCGACGACAACTGACACAATAAAAGAGTTGTTGAAAAAGTGAAACGCACTTGCACTTGCCTTTTTACACATGCCGCATCACTTCCTCACGTAGCCTTGCTCCATGCTCATGTTCGTCATGCCGGGGAGGTGGCTGTGGGTCGGGGTCCACGTGTGGCGGGGCGGGGAGGAAGTCAGGTTGGAGGGGGATGGCGTTCCTCATTGCCAAGTTGTGCAGCACCACACACGCCCGTATAATTTTACAGACCTTTCTGGGGTGGTAGAGTAGCCTGCACCACATAACACTAGAAGGACCACAGAGCAGCCATTTGGCTTTACCCCCTTCAAGGACCACGGGGCAGCCGATCGGCTGGAAGGCTTTTGGCTAATATCCTAAATCACCTGTGAACACTCATTTTGTTATGCAAACGAGGCGATCGTTGGTGCACCACAGGAGGGGACTGGACTAAGTGGTGTATGCAGTGGGAAGGGACAATACAGGGCTTGATACAGCACATGTGCATTCAATGCTGCCATATCATGCTACTTGTTGAATGCATTTTTGCATTGACAATACCATTCTGGACTTTGGGTTAAAATATCTACTCAGACTATCTGTCCGACTTTTGTCACCAGCCAGAAATGTATATATATGTGAGTAACCCAAAAACAATTACATGGTGCTGCTGTTTTTGCTTGTAGAAACTGCTGTGTTGATTCTGGCAAGACAAAATCTTTCTCAAATGTCATAAATACATCTACCAAACATCTAAAACAGTTATTGGTTCCTTAGTATATGCATAAGTGACTGGTAAAATGTGTGCCCCTTCACACTTTCTTCACAAATCCTGCCTGATGTGCTGTTTACATTTTATTGCTTCTATTACACAGTAGGTTGTGTCATTCTTATGTATGAAACATAAGCTTTTAGCTAAATGTACTGTATATATTTCATTGTGCTGGGTGCAAATCACTTGAGTTGAGACGTTTTCTTCAAGAAATTTGCTACATTTCATAATCTGAATTCACTTACTGTGTACTGTGTATACTAAGGCACCAATAACTGTTTCAGATGTTAGGTAGATGTATTTATAACATTTGAGAAAGATTTTGTCTTGCCAGAATCAATATAGCAGTTTCTACAAGCAAAAACAGCAGCAACATATAATTGTTTTTTGTGTTACTCACATATATGTACATTTATCGCTGGTGACATAAGTCGGAGATAGTCTGAGTATACAGTACAGTCCAAAAGTTTGGACACACCTTCTCATTCAATGCATTTTCTTTATTCTTTATGGTGTTAGTGTAATAGTTACCGAGGAGCCAGCCTTCATGAGCAGCACCTGCCTGCAGTCTGTTCCCAACACCACTGTACGTCAAAATGAATTAATCGTGTGTTGAGCCAGGCCACCATGCCACTACATTTGTGAGCACCATTGAGGAGTCACAAATTATTTGAACATTGATCGTTCTCGCTGGGGGCCTTTTGCTGTTGGCCTGTTCAACAACAGTGTAGGGAAACCTGATGTAGCGACTGGTCATTTGGATGATCCCATCCAAAACAGCTGGCAGCGCGGCACTGAGGGATGGCTGCGAGATCCCAGACCTGTTAGCACAGAATTAATTAATTTATATTTCATGAATCTGTACATTCAAATTACGCCTATATTGTGATATAACTGTCAT